CGGATTTATCCCTCCCCCGGGAATGCCTGGCTTCCCTGGCCCGGCTGGGCCCGATGGTCATGGCTTCCCCTTTGACGGACGTATGCCTCCCAGCGCCGCTCAGGCGTTCCGGAGACAGTAAACTACCCACATTAGGGAACTACCATCGGCCTTGCTAGTAGAGGCCATACTTCCGTAGCATATCAACTGCTACATCTACCCTGTTTCGAGTCTCATCACCAAATGTTCAGATGTGTGTCTTCAAAAGGACATGATATGAAACACTATAAACGTAAATGTCGGTATAACGACGTGTTGCTTGTCGGATTTGCTGGACTAGCGCCCAACCTCTCTAATCCTCGAACACCACGTTCCTCCTCTTGTGTGGGAACCCCAGTCTATCAGCTTCGCATGAGCCAAACACCGCTTCAGCTACCTCAATGAGGTTTCACGTTTATGCGATACTTTCCTTGCCCACGAGCAGAGGGAACCAACAACTTAGCAGACATCTTTGTCTCGGGCTCAGGCTCACAATGGAAGGGGCTCTGTGCCCTTTCAGATGACGGACGGTACTGGGCTGGTGGTGAAATGGAAAACAGAAAACAGGACTGGCGAGTTTCTGAGGCAGGGGAAGGAGAGCTGGGATAGGATATCCCACTATATTACCTTTAGTCTACCGCGGTGGACATGAATGAAATGAAATGGATGTTGGTTTTCCTGGCTTCCAAAAAGCTGTGCCCCCTCTCATGGTGAAATGTAGTGACGTCCATTCGTGCCTGTATTCATGATTGTTTGAATGCTCAATCATGTTGATTTTATGTTATTGAGAAGAGGCAAGTCTTTCACTCCGGCTGCAAACATTGTTGCCACACAATTAAAGTCGAATCATGTTTATGAATTGGGGTTCATTTGGTTCCACAAGAGGTTCTGAGTACCTATATGTACATGTCCTCAGCAACAGAGCCATCCAAATCAGTCCAGCCAACTGCCGCCAATCCTTCTTTCCACACCATATGCAGGACCACTGAATGGTAAGAAAAAGGGGGGGGGAAAGCCAAGAACAAGCAGTGTTCCCTCACACATCTCTGGAATATGGTGAAACTAGGTAAACCCTGCCGCCCCTAATCAACACCAAGAAACGCCACGCTGGCAACAGAATGTGCAAGAAAAAGGGGGCTTAAGCAAAGTTGGGAGAAAAATAAAGAATCTTTCGGTTTGAAGAGTCCTCGCTTCTCCCTCCCTTTCCCTCCATTTGGGACTCAATGCTTATCCTTGTCCTTGTGGCTCTTCTTCATACCCAAAAAGTTGCGCTTCTTCTTATCCTTCTCCAGCTTGTGCGGTTTGCCGCCGTCTGACGGGGCGGGCGACGCGCCGCCGCCATTCGCCACGGGCGGCAGAGGGGCGTTGAGGTTCATGTTGCTCATCTGGGCTGTCGGCGGCGCGACGGGACGGCCAGGGAGACCGCCTGGCGCGGGTGCTCTGCGTGGTCCACCTGCCGGTGACGGTGCGCCCGGTGGTGCCATACCGGGGGCAGGGCGTTGCGCCATGGGGTTGGGCGGGGGAGCAGGTTTCTCGTAGACCCAAGCCGGGGCACGAGGTGTTGCCCGCTCCATGGGGATGTCAAGCGTGCGCTTGTCTTTGCCCAGGTCGCCTACTTGGCGGACGTAGAGTTGTGGCGTGAGCATGTGGCTAGTCACCAGGAAGATGTCTTTGCCTTGGCGGGCGGAAACCTCGTAGCAAGCACGGCTTTCACTGTATGTTGCGCCACCAGCCATAAAAATGATGTTGCGCTGTCGGTTTTCTGGTGGTCGTCGGCCAGACGAGGCCCAATTCGGCCTACCAGCACGCAACGAGCCTTGTTGTGAGGCCATGAGATCCTCGTTGGGATCCGCTGGTGGCTTCACGTAAGGAAACGTTGTTTGATCAAGAGTGCCTTTACAGAGTTCCTCAAGCATCGTCTGCATAGCCGTCTCGAAACGGGACAGTGAATACTCCTCGCTGATCTCTGCCCCCTTGGTGTTCTTCTGGAATAGAGGTGGTTGAGGAGGTCGCACGTCTTTCAGGCCACCACGGACGGGGTGTCCGCCCAACATCTCGAGGTTGACTATTATTTCCCCATCCCCTTGTGGCAGGCCCGAATGCGCGAGCAACCGATTGATATCCTCCATCACAACGCCGTCTCTATACAGCACATAGAGAATGATCAGGCGCAGTCTGTCGGATGGGGTGATGGCATCATCGTCCAAAAGCCGCACGACCTGGTCCAATATGTTTTTAGGCTTCCTGAAGTCCTCATCCAATCCTGTAGCAAGACTCTGCTCCACCGAAGCAATGTCTGGTAGTTTGTGGTCTTGAAATTTGTTCATGGCTTCTTGCGCCAGGCTCAAATGAAGTGAGTACGCCTCCTTCATTTCTGTGAATTGCGGCAAACCAGCCAGCATGTCTCTGATGGCGTTCAAGCTCGTCGTCTGTTGCTCCTCGTTGGTGAAATTAGGGTTAGACTCCAAGAACTTTCGGAAGTCTCCCATGAGTTTATCGATGGTATCTTTCATGTGTCGGTGTCGGTTGTCGACCCAGACCGGATCCTTGTCAGATAGCTCCACGTCCTTCTCCTCTGCTTGTGGCGTGCCTTCGTTTGTGACCATTCGATACGTCACCTTGTCACCATCCTGTATCGGGAGAAGGTCGTGAGCCATTGCTTGGTATGTGAACTCATGAACCAGAGGCGCCAAAATATCCATTGATCTGTCCGTGATGACGAGGGTTCCTGCAGGCCGCGACGACTGTGGTGGAAAGTTCGGGTTCCATTGCGCATATTCGTCCAGCTCCTCCTGCACGAAGCGAGCTAGATGAGAAGCAAGCACGGCGGCTTCATGGAGAGGGTTCTTCGGTCTGTAATATCGGACTTTTGGGTACTCGCCCAGCGTAACGCATACACCAGTGATCTGATGTGATTGTCAGCAAGGTAAGGTGTGTAACATGCCACCTGTCTCCTACGTACCTTCTGAGCTAGAATCTTCATGTGTCGCGCCACTAGGCCGTTGCACGCGGGGTGGTACAGGATTGGGAAGCTCCAAGGGTCTTTGAACGTGATCAAATGCGACTCGCGAGGGAAGAAGTCGATCGACAAGGTTTCGAATCCCGCGATGCGTTGCTTGGCCGGCGGGCAGCCGTCAATCATGCGACGAATCCTCGGATCCAAGACACCGGTCCACACCAGGTATGCTTCCTTGTATCTGTGGCGCTCAAAGTCGTTGACGAGGATTTCGACAATATTTTCTTTCGGGGACAGAATGTAGATGGCGTCCATTTCAGGGTTCATGTCTCGCTTCTGCTCGATTCGCTCGATGTCTGGACTGTGGTCAGGAGTTGAACAGTTGCAAGGAGGAAACGTGTTCGCGGGACATACTGGCGATGTTGTTGTTGAGGATGTCATCTTCCTTGACGACATTGTCTAGAATTTTCTGGGAGTCTTCGTCGACAACTAGGACTTTCCACTATAGGTGTTGTCATAATTAGCTTGGCTTATTCGCAGGCAGCCCGTCGGGTATTGGGTATTGGGTAGATCTCACGTCGCCTCGTGTAATGTTCTTGATTGTGTCGATGATGACTGTCCAAACCTGTCAGTGTCGAGAGCGGGTCAAGCTGGGAGAGCATCGTGGGCTCTCGGGCTATGAGGCTGCTCACCATCATGCTGCTCCTGGAGCGTGGAGACACCCATCGTGGCAAGTTGCCGCGTGGGCAGCGGACAACTGGCAATGCGTCGTGTAAGGAAAGCGGGGGTTGTCGCTATGAAGTAGAAAGTCGTCGGACGGCAACTCTGATCGAGCGACAACGATGAGCGGGTGCGCCTGTGTGGATTGAGGTGCTACAGATAGCGTGGCGGCGGGTTAAAGAGACGCGGACAAGGCTGGAGGAATGCGCGTTGTCGAGCTCTGTGGATCGGGGGCCCAGGCTTTGTGTAATGAGACGCCGGGTGGAATTCGAAAACCACCTGGTATGTATGTTTAGCTGGAAGGCCGGTGGCTGTCTTGAGCTTCGTCGTTCTTTTGGTCTGGCGGGGTTTCAAGATGGAAGAAGAACCGGTCGCAGTTGTGGGACTCTCAATGCTCCGAAGACCCAAACCGGAGCTTGGGGGAGGGGGGAGGGGGGATGGAGCAAGGCAAGGTCTGGCAGGGTACGTTCCTACGCGGTCAGACAGCTTTGTCGTGATACGGTGGTGGTACTGGTGGTGGTGGTAGGTGAGGTGGGTGAGGTGAGTTAGAGGAGTTACGATCGGAAGAGGCAAGGCTGGTCGAGTTCGCGCTGCACATGTACCGGTGGCTGTATCCGCAGTGGTAAACGTAGCGCCCCGTCTAAGGTACTATCGTATCGTGGACTTGCAAGAAGGACACAGCAATGACCTGATGCGAGTAAAGGTCAAAAGGCCGGCTGGTTTAAGGTAAGGTAAGGTATGGAAGGCAGAGGTCCAGTAGAAGAACGGGAGAGGCAGGTAGTTCCACGTTCCGTTCCCAGTCCCAGTTCTGGTTCCCATTTCCCGTTCCACTGCGCACCGCACCGCTACTTTCCTCAGGACTCCCGCCCGCGCTTCAAGTTGAGGCCCAGGAGGGGGGGCGGGGCCCGGGCAAGCAGGCCGCAAGTCGTCCCCATTGGAACTGGCCTGACCCCTCGCCCCAAAATGTCCTGGGCTTTGGGTTATGCAATGCGAATCCTGGTACGGAGACCGTCCAGTACAGAGTACCTTAGGATAGGTACTTGGAGGTACCTCAGTGTCCGTACCTTCCTGAGTGCCTTAGTGTAGCGGCATTCCCCCACTTTCGGCCCCCAAAAGAGCGACGAATGAGGTCACCGCCTTCTAGGTTCGCACCTGCACCTCACAACGGCAGCGCTTTCTAAAGAAGCGGCGGCGGCACCGCGGGAGATATTCTCGTGGCCACCCGGTCACAAGGATTATGGTTGTTTGCTCAAGACAATCCCTTGTGCGTTTCAAAGCCAATCTGTTACCCGTCTCTTCGTCAGCTTTATTCCATTCGATGGTCAAGCCGTTGTCCTTTGTGATGTTCGTTTTTGGTCACAATAACTACGAATTATAGTAGTTTGGCAGTATTACTACTATCTGAGAACACTTGTATAATAGCATACTCACATGATTAAAACACAATACTGTGGATCTGTAAAATGCGACTGAATTCGAGTCAAACCATCGTTGTCCGTCCTTTATGGGTATCTCGTTGTTTCCCCTCTACTTGTAAACGCTTATAAACCGCTTCCCAGGTATTTGTCAATATCCTCGCTGGCGTAAAACATCTCTCGCAACCTCGCAGCCTTTCTCTTATCTTCATCAGCCTTCTTCCTGCACTGCTTCGCGTCCAGCGTCTGCGGCTTCTTCTTTTCAACCTTGCCCTGGATGCCTTTTGGGATATTCAGCCCCAAACCATACTTGTCCTCCTTTGGTCGAGTCTTCAAGGGATACTGCATGCCTTGCTCTTGGGCACCGAGCCCCTTCCGTGAATCGGGGTCCCAGCCATGGGATGAAAGATATGTCAAGCCCATGCGCGATCGATCTAGTGCTGATGGGGGATGTGAGTGTGTAAGGCAGACTTGGTGAGCAATGGAAGACTCGTGCTTTCGTCTACTTGTCGCGGGCTTATTGGCATTGTCGACCTCTCCCACGGCATCGTCTTTATCCACGGGCAACTCGCATACGGCGCATACTTGCCCTGTTGGCGGCTTTTCGGCTTCCGCTTGCTTCTTGTCGCCGAGCACGAGGCTGAGGTAAAAGTCGCCTACGGAAGCGCCGGTCTTGGTTTTCTTGACTGCTTGTATCGTGCTAAGGCTTGGATCTGATGCCTTGACGAACTGGATGGGTTTGCGTTTGATTCCCGCGCCAAAGGGTCGTTGATGATGAAGCGGCACATCCTCTTCTTGTTCATAGTTCTCGTCTTCTTCCACCTGTCGCTGCATTTCCGCAGCCCTTGCACAGTAACACTTGCCGACGCCTGTTCCTCAGCAAAGCCAATCGTGAAGGGAGATTCTCAAGTCGTGTCCACGTCTGCTGGTTTTATGATGTGGTGAGATGAAGGGGTAAAGTAATGGAGAAACGGTTGATGAAGAAGTTCCACTTTTTGACAGGGGGGAGGCCAATCCCATTACCTTATGTCAGCGACGGTGCGAGGCAACCACCGTGGCACCGGTGGCCTCAGTCCCCTGCAAACTCTGCGATTAGTGCCCCTGAAAGCCAACGCCGCTGGGCTGCCGCCAGAGTGGGACCGCCCCTGTCATCGCAATTCGGAAATCCCCTGGCGGCACATCAGCTTTCCACTCTGTTCTAGAAGGCAAGCTGGCGGCTTCGTCACACCCAGACTACCTACGCATATTTCGTACGCAAACGCAAACGCCAACGCCCACACTGGCCGGCCTGCTTCCTCAACGACCTTGTCCACGACGTTGTAACGATTCCGAAATATCCGCCTATACATACTCGAAGCATTGCTGCCCCAGCATGCCCGACAGTCGCTGATAGACACGACCCCTGCCACTTCACTCTAGTCCCTCGTTCACAATGCCTCTCGACTACTTTGGCTACATCGCCGAAGCCGGCCTCCCGACATACGTGACGGAGAACTGGTGGTTCATAATCAAGACCGTCGCAGCGGTAGCAGTCCTCGTCTTCATCAAGCTATGGAGCTCCGGTGCCTCCAACACGGCCGAGCGGGACATGCACGGGAGGATAGTCATGATAACGGGCGGGACGTCGGGCATAGGAGCGGCGACGGTACTAGAACTCGGCAGCCGCGGCGCGCAAATCATCCTCCTCACGCACACGCCCGTGTCGGACCCCTTCCTGGTCGAGTACATTGGCGACGTGCGCGCCCGGACCGGCAACGAGCTCATCTACGCCGAGCACGTCGACCTCTCGTCCCTGCACAGCATCCGAAAGTTTGCGACCAAATGGATCGACAACTCCCCGCCGCGCCGGCTCGACATGATTATCCTTGCCGCCGCCACAATCACCCCGGCGTCGGCTAAGCGCAAGGAGACGGCCGAGGGCATCGAGGAGACGTGGATGGTCAACTACCTCGCCAACTTCCACCTCCTCTCCATCCTCAGCCCCGCGATCAAGGCCCAGCCCTGGGACCGCGACGTGCGCATCATCTTCGCCTCGTGCTCCTCGTACATCGGCTCCCCGTCGCTCAAGCAGCCCCTCGACAAGAAGACGTGGTCGCCTGGCACGGCCTACAAGCGAAGCAAGCTGGCGCTCATGGTCTTTGGCCAGGCCTTCCAGAAGCACCTCGACAACTACAAGCGACCCGACCAGCTGCCCATGAACGCGCGCACCTTCTTCGTCGACCCGGGCTTCAGCCGCACGCCAGGCATGAGGCGCTGGCTCTCGCGGGGTTCGCTTGTCGGCCTGTTTGCCTACATCGCCGCCTACCCGCTACCGTGGCTCTTCCTCAAGAGCCCCGAGCAGGGCGCGCAGGCGATTCTTTTTGCGGCCATGGAACCCAGTCTTGTGCGCGCGGGTGCCGGCAAGTTGATCAAGGAGTGCCGGATCGTGGACTTTGCGCGGACGGAGATTGAGGACGACGAGGTGGCCAAGAAGCTGTGGGAGGACAGCGACAAGCTCATTGAGACGACGGAGAAGGATTCGGCTGCTCTCAGGGCGCTGGAGAAGAAGATGCAAGAAGAAGAGGCCAAGGAGGCCAAGGAGGCGGAGAAGGTGAAGGAGGTTGAGTCTCTGGTCGAGGCTATCAAGAAGGGCAAGGAGTCGCAAAAGGCAAAGGGGAAGAAGAAGGCGAAGAAGGAGACATTATAAAAGCTTTGGGGGCGTTTGACTATCATCTACATATAGACTATCTACTTAATGAGAAAACAAGTGGCTGATCCAGTCACTTACTTATACGAATGCTCCAAGTATATTTCCCAGGAAAGCCAACATACCTCGGCTGCAGCACTGCCAACGAGATTGAAGAGAAAAGAACACCAAAAAAAGAAAACAGTAGGAAAGGAAGGGAGGAGAATACTGACCATATAATTCACGCCCCTGCCCGGAATTGAACAGCGCGCCCCTCAGTCAACCCAGAATCTCTGACTTCATTGGAGTATTTGCTTATTTTTACCACTACACCACGCACACAGCTTGACCTGACCTCGCCGACCTAGACGGGCGCTGCTGTGCTGGTGACAGGAATGGGATTGAGAGGGTATATATACCCTCGATTGCCTAGGTGAAGGAAGGTGGTGAATTCGGATGAAAAGTTGTGAGAGCCTCAGCCCTCTCAGGGAAGGAATGAACTTCATGAGGGAAGGAAGGGCCTCGGACTCTTTCCACCGTAGCTCCAACAGTCCGGGGGGGCCGCCCCCACCTTTCACCGTCAAACTGCCGTGGCTCGAGTGCCATTACCCCAAGACTTGGAGCTCGGCGAGCCGGGGGTGTGTGTAATCTTTCCCCGCAAGAGGAACCCAAGCATGACGACAGGAATCTCACAAACAACATGCTTAATCGAGCTACAAATCAATTTTCGCATCTGAAGCACCGGGCGGTTTCTCGAAGTTAAAGCTGTAAACCCATCAAATCTTCCGTACACAATGTCCAGTAGCACGGCGGCACCAGGCATGGCGCACCACACCGCAACAGCCTCATCATCACAACCTCGGCATGCCCTACCGCTCCAGAGCGCGTGGGAACGGCACCATATCGCTACCGCCGAGACGGCAATGGCACAACAACAGCAGCAGCACAATTCATCGATCCGGCATCCCGTCTTCTTCACGGAAAAGCTGCGGCGGCCACCGGTGACCCTGGCGCCTGGCATGGGCCTCAGTCCTGTGGCGCACGGCTACGTCTATCAGGATGGGCGGAGAAGGGCGGCCAAGGGGAGCTCTGCGCCGAAGCTGTAAAGAGGAAGGCTGAAGTTGTGAATAACTTTTGGTTCGTCTTTCTAGCTTCTGATTGATGAACAATGTCATCGGAAGCTCGTGGGGAGGAAGCAATGATGTTAATTTTTTTTAAAGTTTTTTTTAGGTTGGCGCGATTTATACGACCTTTGCCGAGGCTGATGGTGTTGTTAGATGCTATGAGGAAGAGGCTACTACCCGGAATCTGGATATGGCCTGCGCTTGACTTGATGATGGCGAATACCCTCATGCCACTCAGAGATTTCATCTCTTTATCCGAATTTCATTTATTATGGCTTCTCGTGCCAAGCTGATGGATACTACCTACGTAGAGTAGTCATCCATCACCTGGCTTCAACTATTGGAGGAAAGGGAGAGCAGTGGGAATGATTGTTGGGTTGTCGATTGAGAGCTGCAATCATCGATATTCAGCGGGTCTTGTGTTTTCAATGATTGATTATTGAGAAGAAGAATTACTTGGTCATCGATAACCTATCTGAAATGGCTAGGCTAGTGGGTTGGATAAGAGTACGGAGAGTTCAGGCGAAGACAAAGGACATGAAGGATATGAAGGGATAACAGACCAGGGGAAAGGTGTAATGAAGCTCGAGTGATGTATTGCGCTGGTTATCACCAGGTCATTTCTGTCCACCTTAGGACATAAATGCACATATTAGAGAGCATCCAGATGAGGAGGTATGACCTTGAAATGGACTACGAACATATAGTCATGAAGTGTCTGTGATCATTCAACTCTCACGCCGTCTTTTTGTACAATACATATGTGAACAATCTTGGTTCTATATTGTTCGGTTTATATTTGGCTTCAGAGGGGCGACACGGCGAGGACGTTGAAATCACTCAGTTCAAGTAGTCAAAGCATTGCTCATGTCCCCATTATTCTTATATCATTGCCGATTTCAAATAATCAAGACACACTGAACAACTTCTGAAAGTGAGGTCACTGTGCCGAGCACTAGGTATTGGCACCCACGAGGGTAGAGTGGAAGTGATTTAATCGATTTACTTGTATTTCGATGTGGTTCCTGAACCCACAAGTGACAGTTTAGGAGATGTGTGGTTGAGTGTAACCCCATCGAGGGTTGTGTTCATAACGAAAATTAAAACCCTCCGTCGTTTTGTTTCCCAAAAAAAAAAGTTGCGTTTCCCGATTCGCCATTCAAGCCAAATCACCATTGCCCAATTTGACTAGCAACACTCTACACCATCGAAACACGCGACGTTCATGTGTACACACTCCGTGCCCGCTACACGAAGCCAATTCGAAACCAAAATCTCGAGCCCAATAACAGGTGAAAGGTTGACCTGCTCTTAGTTCTTCACCGCAATCACAATCGCGAGTACGATGAGCACCACGACCAGCGTGAGAAGCGCCATCAGCTTGACGTTCTTCCACCACATCTTCCTCTTCAGACCGCGGCTGCGGACGCGGAACTCGCGCGCGCTGCCGCCGAGACGGTCCGTCTTGTCGACGAGCAAATCGATGCGCTCGCCCCTCTCGAGCAAGCCCTCGATATTGCGCGTCATGATGCCCCGGACGTCGTCAATCTCGCGCTGGACGTTGGAGATGGCGTCGTCCTTGCCGCCGCTCGTGGTGCCGTAGTCGACCATGAACTTCTTGAGCTGGCCATTGTAGCTGGCGGCGCCGTAGTTAGGCAGCTCGGCGTAGTCGGTCGTCTCGGCGGGAAACTGCTCGAGGAAGCGGCGTCGGATCTCAAAGAGGAAGCCAAAGGGGATGCGGCGGCCCAGCGAGGCGTCGGCGATGACGAGGAAGGTGAGGCCGCCGGCGGAAGGGTGGTCTGGGTGGTCGGAGGGCGCTTCGGCGATGTAGTGGATGTGGTGCGAGCCGTGGGTGTAGGTCAGCTTCTGGGGGGTGGTGTGCTCGATCTTGGGGAGGATGACGGAGGCGAGGGAGGAGGTTTGCGATACGGCCGATGTGGTGCATTCGCTGAGGATGGTGTTGTTGTGCGCTATGCACGAGCTGTAGGACGGCAGTATGTCAGTTGTGTCTCCAGTAGAGGAGGGGCATTCGAGACGGGAATGTCGTGGTAGTCTTCTTACTAGAGCAATGGGGTGATGGGCGTCGACGAAGAAGCCATGATGATAGGTATTGGAGGGTTTGAAGGATCTAAGGAGCCTATCTTGAGATGCCTTTGATTCCTTTTGAATGCGCCAGAGGTGTATAGGCAGCGATATTCGAGATGCGACGGTGGGTTGCGTATGTTGGTAGGTAGACAGATCGGATGTCGGCGTGATGGGCGCTGTCGCAGAATGCAGTGTGGAAACCTGGGGACCTGGGGACCTGAATGCGTGATGACGACGAGGACGGTGCAATCGGAGGCGGAGGCGCTAAGCCGGAGTGGGGTGACCCAGTTCCGTCCCTCAAGGGCGAATCAGGGGTCATGGCGATAAGCATCGAGACTTCTTATCGGCTCCCAAAATTTCCCAGTCCCTTAATGTCAGTGACCACCATGCTCTCCCGCTGACCAGGTGCATGACTGCGAAAGGTGGATAGCGCATGCCATTTTGCCATTGACATACCCAAACAGACGTGCTTCTTGCATGTTGTTAGCCATGGTTTGTTGCACAGAAAGTCACCCACCATGAGATCAGTTTTGCGAGCCACGAAGCTATGCGCGGCGGCGATACGCCCAGCACCGGGCCATGGTTTCGCAACATCCTCCCCGTTCGCCTACCAGGTACGCGATAGCTTCTCCCTCCCTCTCCGATCTTACGGATTATATGCTGACTATTGTACTTGATAGGCGACACATGCGAGGTATTCTACAAAGAAGTATGCACCTCCCGACCGCAAATCATCCAAATACGATGTCTTCAGGACCATGATCCTCACTCAGTTCAACGTCGTCATTGAGAACATGGGACGTTGGTCAGAGACCAACACCGAGTACCGAAACTTTGGCATTCGAAGCGAGTACGGCCTCAACAACGAGGTTACCCTCTTCCGCGATACCATACAAAAGGCGATAGGCTTGGCCAACAAGGGTGCAACACTGCGCAAGGAGAACCCGTTGTTCTGGTCCTTACGAAATGCCTTCATCCGTGGCGACGTCAAGGGCCTAACGGCGGAGCTGCGATATTCATTCCAGAGCTTCATGCTGCGATCGAAACTGACACACTCGACAACGCGGCAGAGGAAGTTGGCCGATTTGCGGTTCCCAATGGAGTGGTTCCCCGCCACACGAGCCATGCAGCGCACTATTCACCTGCACGTCGGACCGACGAACTCTGGAAAGACCTATCGGGCGTTGCAGGCCCTGATGAACTCCAAATCCGGCATCTATGGAGGGCCCCTCCGTCTCCTGGCTCATGAAATTTACTCTCGGTTCCAGGCCGCGGGGAAGCCCTGCGCCATGGTCACGGGCGAGGAGCAGCGCATACCGGACGCGGATAACTACTTCATCAGCTGTACCGTCGAGATGACGCCTCTTAACCGAATGGTTGATGTGGCGGTTATAGATGAGATTCAGATGATTGGCCACGACGAGCGAGGATGGGCGTGGACGCAGGCTTTCCTTGGCGTCATGGCGAAGGAGGTCCATCTCTGTGGCGAAGAACGAGTTGTCGACCTGATCAAGTCCATCTGCTCAAGTATCGGTGACAAGTGCATTGTCCACCGGTATGAGAGGCTGAGTCCGTTGCAGACGATGAAGAACAGTCTGGGCAACGATCTTTCCAAGCTGGAAAAGGGCGATGCCGTGGTGGCTTTCACTCGCGTTAACCTCCACGGTCTCAAGAATGCGATTGAGGAGGCAACCGGCCGTCGGTGCGCCATTGTCTACGGTTCGCTGCCACCAGAGACTCGAGCGCAGCAAGCAGCTTTATTCAACGATCCCAACAACGATTACGACTTCTTGGTGGCCAGTGATGCCATCGGCATGGGCCTGAACTTGGAGATCAAGCGCGTCATCTTTGAGACGTCGATGAAGCACGACGGTACACAGTATCGTACGCTGACAACATCCGAAATCAAGCAGATTGGTGGCAGAGCAGGAAGATACAAGACTGCTCGACAAGCAGCCACCAAGGAAGGTGACAACAACAACAATCAAGTCGAAGAGAAGAAAATGGGCTACGTTACGACGCTTGCCGAGGAAGATTTGCCCGCGATTGCAAAGGGGTTCAACACTGAGACTGCGCCGCTCGAGGCTGCAGGTATCCAGCCCCCGTCACATATTATCGAGCAGTTCGCCGAATACTTCCCTCCTGATACGCCGCTCAGCTTCATCCTTCTACGACTGCGCGAACTCGCGCCCGTCTCGGAGCGCTTCACGGTCTACGTTCCTGAAATCAGCGCCAAGATCGCAGATACCATCCAGGAGTTCCCCATGACGATCCAGGACCGCATCACCGTTCTCCACGCCCCGATTTCGCTTCGGGAGGCTGGGCAGACGGACCTTCTCAAAGCCATTGCAAAGTGTATCTCAACGAGGAGCAACGGCGCCCTGTGCGATATTCAGTCCATCCAGTTGGAGCTACTCGACGCCACGCTCGAAGACTTCAACAACCAGGGCAGGCGGTATCTTCACGCCATCGAGTCCCTGCACGCGGCCATAACCCTGTATCTGTGGGTGAGCTACCGCTTCCCCAACGTCTTTACGAGTCAGGCGCTGGCGTTCCACGTCAAGGACGCCGTCGAGGAGAAGATTGAGTTCTACCTCGAGACCAACGCCGTCTTCGACCCCGAGGTGCATACCAAGGTCCGCGAGAAGCGACGAAGGGAGGCAAAGACGAAGGAGATGCAGACGGAGCTCGAGGCGGAGCTACGCATGCTTCAAGAAGAAGCAGACGAAAGGAGCGCAGAAAAGCTCGCTGGTCGTACGCTTTCTGAGGACGACTCTACCGATGTCGGGCAGAGCTCCATGCCTTTCGAGGATGTCGATCAGAGCTCCGTGGGTCTTGAGGAGCCTCTGGTGGTAGACGAGAGAGACTATGAAGCCGGGCTGGAAGAGAAGGAGGAGAAGCCAAAACAGGAGTCTGCCTTCTAGTACGACAATCGCGGGTTGAGGACTGACAAGGAGCTCGGGAAGATTTGTCGGATGTAAAACAATGTAGGCTTCTAGCTACATGTAGTTGTATAATAGGCTGTCTGGTGGCACAGGAAAAGTACATCGAAAGGCACGATGATGTTTAGAGGGGCCCAAGGGCCATGTATATTACAACACGGACATCACAAAAGGAGTAGGGACAGGGCATACTCCACATTGCAAGATATAAGATAGATATTATACGATACAGAAGCCTCTCACATATTTCCAAGAGGACTCAAGATTTTGCACATAGTAAGAGCTCTGGATAGTAGACAGGACCAAGTCCTTGGCCGAGGTCCACGCTGTCGGTTTACCCCAAGCTCCAAACGAGCACCCCGCATTCTGAAGACTCACCTTGGGCGACCCCTGCCGGTTACCTCACCGACCCCATCATGTATCCCAGTTACCTATGGAGGGGCAAAAGTGACATGGCAGCTCTACCTTGCTCGTCTTCCACGCAACTCCAACTGCGCCCTTCATCCTACATCACCTCACTCCAAACAACCACGAACCTCTCGCCAACTCTGCACAGAACATACACCGCAGAAACAACACACAGCCCAACCCCAACACCAAGACATCCAAAACCACCAACAACTCCTCAAAATGACCGCCACAAACCCCGACCCCTCCGCCGCAGCCCCGGCCTTCATCCCCCTCGAGGCAAACCCAGAACTCCTAACCTCCCTCCTCCACAAACTAGGCCTCTCCCCGGCCCTCCAGATCCACGACGTCTACTCCCTCACCGACCCGGACATGCTCTCCTTCGTCCCGCGCCCCGCCCTCGCCGTCCTGCTCGTCTTCCCCGTCAGCGCCGCCTACGAGAGCCACCGTCTCGCAGAGGACGCCCTGCTGGACGAGTACAAGGGCAAAGGACCGCAGGAGCCCGTGTTGTGGTTCCGCCAGACGATTCGCAACGCGTGTGGGCTGATGGGGCTGTTGCATGCTGTTGCTAATGGGCCTGCGAGGGAGTATATCCGTACGTTTCTACCTCTTTACTAATCCTCTATCCTTTCCCTGCCTTTCCGAGACAAGCGTAGTATTTGGTGGTGGTTTACTAACCTAAAGCAACAAACAGAGAAGCCATCCGACCTCAACACCCTAATCGAAACCGCCGAACCCCTCGAACCCGTCTCCCGCGCCCAACTTCTCGAGAAGACGCCCGCCCTCGCCACGGCGCACCGGGAAGCCGCGTCCCAGGGCGCGACCGAGGCCCCCGAGGCCTCGGAAGACGTGGACCTGCACTACGTCTGCTTCGTGCGCGGCGACGACGGCACGCTGTGGGAGCTCGACGGGCGTCGCAAGGGCCCGCTGAACCGGGGCCAGCTCGAGTCCGGGGAGGACGTTCTGAGCGAGAAGGCGCTGACGTGGGGCCCGCGCAAGTTCCTTGAGAGGGAGGGCGCGGATTTGCGGTTTAGTGCTGTTGCGTTGGCTGGGTCTCTTGATTGAGGAGGTGGTGTCAGATGATGAGATGGCATGCATGTTATTTGGCGTTCAGGTTATGGGGGATGAGTTAATCAACATCAATTCAGAAGACTGAGGTGAAGACCCAGGGACAAAAGGTTCAGCTTTTGCTGTATTTAGAGAATGACTAGGGGAATGGCTACTTGTTACATAGGTGCATTTCCACGCCCATTTCCACCATCGACTGCCTCACCACAGCCTGTCGGCAAGTCTACTGACTATTTGACTTCCAAAGTTGCGCTGAATCTTGCGACTCTGGTTTCCGCCACAACTGGCCGGTTGTCCTTCTCTCTTCGTCTCTGCGTCCCTCGGAGGGAGTGTTGGTTGGCTCCTGAAGATCAAAGTCGAGCGGGCCGACATCCTCTCGCATGTTTGACTGACTATCCGCGCCTAAGTATTTGTAAGGACAGCGTTAGCCTCGGGGAAACGATCAAGTGGGAATATTCACCTGCCTCCCGTTGCAACGACCTCCTTGAACTCGGTCGACGACTTCCTGTGAGCCTGAGTTCCGGTATCAGGTCCACTGGCAAGCACCGCGTCCATATGAATTAACTTTGGAGGGATAGAGTTGAACTCCGTCTTGGACTTTCTGTGAGAACCCGCGAGGTTGCTGTCCGTAGCGGGCGCGGCATATGTTCCTACTGCCTCTGATGTAGAAGGATACTCAGCTCCAGCGGATGGTGAGTTGGTCTCCGAAGCGAGATCCGGCCAGTCTCCCGGCATCGGCTCTCCGTAGTTGTGGTCATTGGGTGTCTCTGGTGCCTGTGCTTGCGAGGCATGGTGATGATCGTGAGTCAAGCTGAGGTACTTGGGTTGTGCATTATCTTCGCTGGGCGTGGCGAAGGACTTGTCTGAGGAAGAAGGAGAAGATTTGATGCTGAGAGGGGGGCTCTTTCTGGTATCCTCGATGATGGGGGAGCCGTCGTGCTCGGTGAAGAAGGGTACCTAGCCCTGGTTGGTGTCGGCCTGCTGGGGCTGGTTGGGGTGTTGGGAGTTTGACATTGTTTCTGGAGGATACTTGGACGGGAGGAGGATGTTGGCAAGAAGCTGCTTGGGAAGCTTCTCAAAGGTGAAAGAAATAGTGTTAGGGGATCGTAGTTGGAGCTACTAAGGGGTGATGTTCAATGATTTGGATGACGATAGTCATGGGCTTAGAGGTTGTATGAAGATGGAGATGGTGGTTTGATGAGGTATGTTTCTTCTGGCCACAGAGAGGTCTCTCAACGCGTGTGTGTACCTTCCCATCAAAATCCACTTACATCGTAGAAGGCTCGGGTACATTGCTCCTTCATTGATTAACACTCGGCGAACTACGAAGAAGGTGCCTCCTTCCCCTTGGTGGCATCAGGTACATGGCTCACTGCAGATAATCGTGAGCTAGAAGAGCGAGGCCAAATGCCTCTTGCCTTTGTCAAGTCCGTCCAAGTATTGGCTAGTGATTCGCTGGAAGATTTCTGCCCTCTCTCATCTACATGGTCAGGATTATCAAGCTGACCGTCCAATCACCGCAACGGTTATGTGCTTTACTGGCTCCCAGAGCTACGTAGGCTTACCTGAGATGTCAAATCTTGGAAAATCACTTAAGCAATCGACGACGTGCTCTTTGAGATCGGCAGCCGGAATCTACGAGCTGTCACAAGACCCCTCGTGTTCGGGCTAGTCACGGATGGAAGGCCCCTTTTGACGCTCGTGGAAGCCATCTTGATAAGACTCTGGGGAAAGCCTCAAACCAGTGACTAGTGGTGGTTGGTGGTGTGTAGACCTGTACCCAATGATCTCCTCAAGATCTGCTTCCCCTGGGGAACTCAGAAGCAATCTTTGAAGAATTGGGTATAGTGCGTGTGATGACACCGGCAGCCAGAGATGAGGCGGCGCCACGACTTGTCTGCAGCAATTGAACCATTCGAAGGATGTCTTCTTTACCCGTATTCACACCGTATTCGTCGTGCCATGAACAGGGGGGTTCGAGGAGTTCATCCGGGTTATTGGGCAGTAAACTCGGACTATCGTATCTGCAACAGCAGTGCCATCGAACAACGTCCGTTTCATCTGGAAGCTTGTTTCCTCTCTTCTTCGCGCAAGGCTTCTGCGCTGGAAATGCCCCCCAAGCCCCGAAGGGTCGGACGGTCCGGGGGAAAACCACCACCACCACCATCACCTTGCAGTTTGACGTGTCCGCTCGGACCTCGGGGGCTGCAGCGTCCAACGTTCGGACGTCGAATGGGGAGCACGGAGCACCGTCCGAGCGGCGCCGGGGGCCGATGTGCTTGAATCTGGGAGAGTTGCGCCGGACTGCGGGTATCCCGCCCACAAGAGGAATGGGCACACCAGACGGCGTGACGGCGTTCTCGTAGTGCCGCAGGCCTTTCCTCTTCCTGGACCCTTCATTTGTGAACGCGAGGGGTGGTGGAAGATCCTTTCCCCTGAACGGGTTACCCCGCCTGCTTCTGGTGTGGCCGTAAGTCTGGAAATCAGACCATGATTGAGGTTGGTATGGAAAAGCAAGCTGAACGGGTACCAGTATAACGCTTCTGGAACCACTTCGCTGCATGACAGCAACCTTCGGATTTTGGTTGCATCTTTGAAGTTGCGGCTCACTTGAAAGCGCAGGTCGGTGTTGAAAGGCCTGTGATCGCGTTATTTGGAGATAATAGGGAGAGTTAGGATAAAGCTATCCATAGAAACCGCTGTGGTCCACGTGGTGGCTGATCGCCGCTAGAAGGCTAGCCGGATCGTGCGGTATGAAACGCTGAAAGCTTGCCCGTATCTGGCAAACAAACGAGTGGACTCTATGGGTACGAGCTAAACAATTCCCCTGAGTTGAGGCGTTTGCCGTTTGCCGGCGTCGGTAAGCAAATAGGTATTAATCAAGGCCCCCAGCTCGCCCTGCTGTTGCGAGAGACGCAACACAGCCACGAGAGGGACACTCGAAGAGCCGGAGAGAGAAGATAGAAAGTATGTCAAATTCCGCCCGTTTGTGCAGCCAAGCAGCAAATTGCGGCATTGCTGTCGGTGATCGCCGTTGCCCACTGCAGTGCTCATCAACATGATGCATCCGGCCGCAAAATTGGCAGTGGCTGTTTTCTGTCACATTCTGTGACGCAGCTGAGAAGTTGACGTGTCGATGCTTTGATTTGATGATGCTCATATAATCTCGTTCCAGTTGATTCGTGGAAATGGTTCTTTGCAGAAGGGAGAAGCAAAGATTGGTGACGGAAAAGAAATAACGGCAGCTGCGAGGCGTCCAGAACATCTACAAAGTACCTAATCCAATACACCTGACTAAGCAGATTGTGTGGCAGGTGTGACGCGGTACCTGACTTCCCGGACTCAGAGCGACGGGTGTGGCTCGCCAACTCTTCCCTGTACCACAGCAGAGATCCCATCAACATCAATTGATCCATCAATCATCAACATGTAAGGCCTTGTTTACAGCTGCGACAGCCGTCACACCAAGAAATGCCGCGATATTCATGGCACAGTTCGTTCATCGCCCAGAATAGAGTCATTCCGGGCCAGCTCGTTCGCCGTCCACTCAGCTGGGACCAGCAAACCTCACACCGCACACCGCACACCGCGCAGAGATGATAGACCCTGCAATCATTGAGCACCACCGCAGCTAGCGCCGGAGACTCGATGCTTTTCTAGCAAATGTGGCGACCTGAGCAACCATTCACATGAAATCTCGATTGACTCGGCCGTACTCCCTTGCGTTGCCTTATGCTTATTGACCTGCTGGGCTTGTCAGCTTGGAGCAAGTCGACACGGCACGCGCCAGCCTCCAAGATTCATAATTGACTTTCGGATGCGTCATTCCAGTTCCATCGAATTGCGGCCAACACATCCGAGGAATACCAGGGGCGAATCCCTGAGTGATCTGCTTCCGCCCGCCTCCAATCAGCAGGGGGCGCAGAAAAGATGTCTTGCACACGCGCATCTACACCAGGGGCCGGGGACCCTCACAATGATCAATCCAGGGCCAGGCACAGACACCACCATGGGAGACATGCAAGCAAGATGGACACAATGCAAGATGCAGGTGGACGACGCTTCAAACAGATGAGCGGAGAAACGTGTCGTCAACCATGGTTCGATACGCGCCGTTTGGCGGGACGACGCCTGCTTTGATGCCACTGCCGGTCGACGACTAATACCTCACGAATACCAAGAACAAACACTCATCCGTCTGCGCCGTTGACCACTCGGCTCGGGACTCCAAACGTCGAGCCCACCGTGACAAAGTCTAGTTTTCCAAGACCAGCGGAGCAAAGCCACACGCTACCGCCTGGCGTTGTCCAACAGGAATTCTTTGACTTTGTTCCTGGGACACACTAACACGGCTAGCTAGTCTTGAGACCAGTCAGCTGGTGTTGCCAATAAAAGCAGCTGGCAAATGGGCTTCTTTCCAACCCTCACCGATTGCTTTTTTTCCGAAGTGGCACTAATTACGACGTCTGACCCCTGAACCCAGGGCCAAGTTTTCTTCTTTCCTGGATCGGCAGAGTGACCAGCATCGTGGAGGCGCATCGTCGTCTTTTGGAACAGATCCATGCTTGTTTGTGGCTTTGCACTTGCCAGTTGCAACAGCTATCAAGATTGGATCTGGAATCTGGTTCAGGATAGCAATCAAGTTCGAGGCCAGGCACAACCTCAATACTGGATACCCTGGCACCGACAGGCCAGCCAAGAACAGCCAATCTATGTTTACACGTTGCCTTGGACTTTTAGTTTGGCAATCGTGGTGCCCAGCAGAAAGTCGCCCAGGAGCGTGTAAATCCGGGACTTCCATCGACTTGCACTCGAGCCAGACAATCACGACAACGGCCGGAGGTCCTGAGATGCTACCAAGAGCTAGACCATGAAACTGGCTTATAAGCTGTTTCGTGGTGTTCACACCTTTGTTGTCACTTTCGCACGGGCCGCGGTCCATCCCATCCCTTCCCATCCGACCATCTATCCGTCTACTTACCTGTTTTCGAAACCTTGATGCGCCATTTCATCCGAGCAACGAGTCTTGTCACCACCACACCACACCGACCAGCCAATTCCAAGCTTCTTTGCCACTCCTGCGCCATTCCTGAAGGCGCTCAGAAGCCTGTTTGCATCCCAGGACAAACAGACGATTCGGGCATGTGGAAATCAGCATCTGATTGAAGCCTTCCCCGCTTTGCCGAGGAGGAACATGGAATTCATGGTTATCTTACAACGCTTTGTCGAGTTGTAGTCACTCCACATCGTCTATTCATGAGAAACTTCGTCTCCTAAGCTGGAAAGAAAGCAGCCACCCGTTCAAGTGACGGACTACGGACGGCCAGCGATCTTGCCTGTCAACAGTCCTGCTCTACAAGAAGATACTCCAAATGTCTCGATACTGATACTTGACCTTTGACGGAAGCCATGGCTCTTCCGCGGGTGTGTGCAACATCACCCACCCCATGCAACTCGGAGAAGCCACGCTCGGGGACATGGGTATCGCATCGTTTGACTGCACGAAGCCTTCGACCTGGGCCCAAAACTCGGTCTAGCGTGGACTATTTTCTGCTCATTCGCTCCGCTGCGTCATGTATATGCACGCACTTCAGCCTTAGCACCCTTACACGACTCGTCGCGTCGCATTGTCCCTCCTTTCCTTTTTCTTTAGTCCACCTAGGTCCTAGGATCTGACGCTATCCAGCCCACCCGCTCGGCTTTTAGACTCCCTTCCCCCCTTCTACCGGTGCCCTCTTCCTTCTTTTCGTCGTCGTCTGTTCCATCGTCTTCTCACATCGTAATCGTCTATGCAACGAGGCCTTGGTCTCTTAGTACTCAACTGTCTTCCAGCCTTTGACTTTCGATCTCAACATCATTTTGGACTGGAAGACATCACACCTTGAACCTGTTGGCGGTTCACAGCCTACCTAGTTGTCTCTTGTAGTCGCCATATGGAGGGCGATAAGCTGCGAGAATGGGCTTCTTGAAATTCTTCTCGTCCAAAAGGTCGTCTGACAAGTCATCAAACGGAATCAAGGCGCAGGCATATGATGCTACGACTGCTTCTCTTCCCCCACTTCTAGGTAGGATTGATCCAATACTTTGGTCTAGCTCTGTACTCTAAACTTACACGATTCCCTAGGAACTTACCCGGTTGCCGGCAATGGACCAACTAATGTCTTCGAGGACCTCCAACGGTCTCACCATAAGATGAGCGAAACCAACTTGTCTCTCGCAGCGGGCTCCGAGGCTTCTGCCCCAGCACCGCCCGTTTTCCGATTCCGCGATTCCAGCGTCGAGCGCCCGAGTTCTGCCCCGGGTAGTGCCGTACCTCCCAGCTTTTCACCGTCTCCGTCGGGTCGTTGGGGAAGAGACTCGTCGAGGGGTCCGCCTTTGTCATTTAGGAAACCACGGATCGGGTCACTTACATCGACGACGTCAGGTCTATCGGGTCTGTCTCCCGCTCCAAAACGAAGCAGCAATTCTCTAGCAATACCGTCCGAGGGAGAGCCGTTTCGCCCACCAACTGCTCCTTTCACACATAACCGGCACCTTTCTATGCAAAGCACAAGCACAGCTGCAGTCAGAGGCTTCATCGATCTCCTCGATGCGCAATCCGAAATCAAGCCTTCTGGATTTCAGAGCCGGGTCAAGGCGTCAGGCGCACGGGATTACGGGGAAGATGTTGCAGACCGCAACATTGGCGAGAATGGCGTAGACCTCGAGTCCGACAAAGTCCAGGCATTTTACGCAACAAATGGTGGCAGTCCGCGGGATCGACACAACGGCGCGTTTGCGGCTCCAGCGAGGGCCCAGTTTGGAGACAAAGAACAAACGTTTAAGACTCCCCGACGCCACGATTCTCTGGACAACGAGGCCCGCACAAAGTCTTTGACGTCAGCGAGCCTCGGCCAGGTACCATTTCGAACTAATATGTTCAATCCCGAGAGCTCCCTTAGCCGCGAGCCAATAATGGAGTCTGTTTCAGAGACGATTCGCGGCCGTCGAAGGCAATCACTAGGTGCCTACATTCCTACGACGCCATCGAATGCGGCGACGGGTAGAGCGCTGAGTCTTCGAAAATCGACAGCCGATGCCTCTGGATCCCCAAGCACTCGACAACACAAGCGGCGATCTACCCTCGGCGGTGAAGCGCCGCTGAACGAATTAGGCATTTTCACATCCCGAGGCGGGCCTATCGATTCGTCTTTGTCGCCAAAGACGACCCAGAAGCCAACGTTCTTGGTCAAGCACAACTACTCGTTACCGGTTCAGCAACGCCCAAAGACTTCTTCAGGTCTCGTCCATACCGAATCATACCAGGCGGTGAGGCCGCCATCCCGCGGAGGGTCAGTAGCCAATCCCACACCCTCCTCCCCAACCCAGAAGTCACCATCCAAACGGCACACCCTTTCCGCGATAGGCGGTGCTGCATCATCTACCCGCTCTACCGAGTGGCCGCGGAATGCGAAGCCCGACGGAGGGTCCGACACAAGAGGATGGGTCGGCCGAGTTGAGGTTGAGAGCTTTGTTGATTCTGCGGATGTGTCCTCACCGGCGCCTTCACCTCGTTAGTGTTTACCGTCGATTTTCTACCGTCTTTTGTCGTTCGCTTTGCAAAGAGTGCCTGCTAACATGCTTCGCGTGACAGATGTGATGAGAAGTGGCCACTCGTGGCGTGAAACGCAGGATGATTCTTATCTACGGTCCAAGAGTAACGGGACACTGTTCGGCAAGGGCAAGCTGGACGAGATTTACGAACACGTGCCGATGCGGACGAGTAGTCTCCGGCACTGGTCTATTTCGTCAGCGACGCCCACCATGTCGAGTACCAGCTCCTTTCAACGACCTCATTCTCGACACACGACAACGACAACCATCGATCTGGCTACCATGTCGTCCTTCATCAACGACAGTCGCAGCTCCTTGCACAGTGGCACGGGCGACCACGCGTCATTCTGCACGGCGCTGGAGAGTGCGTTGCCTTCGCCGACTACTCCTGCAAAGCCCGGAGACCCATTCAACATTGACGACTACTTGTCGTCAGACGACGATATCGATGCCGACTCGTTCATCACCACGCGCAAACGTGATTCAGCACACAGCGGCGGTTACGAGGAAGGCCTCCTCTTTTGTGATGAAGGGTACGGCGAAGGCGGCCTGCAGTTGCCGGGCCTCTTTGACAGCCTGTCCAACATTCCGGACCCCGACACCACGTCGCCAGAGCGGTATGGTCACAAGTACTCGCTCAGTAACCCCGGAGGCCATCTGCACCGGAGGTTCTCTCTGGACCCTAGGATCGAAGCGCCAATCTCTACTCTTGATGAAGACGATGATGCCGAGGACGAGGATGAGGACGATGGTCTATATGACATCCCCATGCGATCGGATTTGGCTCTCGGGCGCCGGGGGACGAGGAGGATCTCGGCGCTGGGGACTATGTACCAGAGTATTGAGGAGGAAAAGGACGAGAATGTCGACGTTCGGGCTGCTGTTCGGCTTCGCAAGGAAGATAAGGCGCGGCAGCGGGCGTTGGCAAGATTCAGCAAGGTGCAGCGCAAGAAGGTGTCGCACTTTGAGGGGAAGCAGGGCGGTAGTGAGTGAGCGAGTCGAAGGTGTGATTGGGGCAGAAACCTTGTTATCCTTTGTTGTATGGCATGTACCGGGAAGACACAGGAGTGGATTTGTATATGTTATCGAGGAGTTTTGGGGCGGAACAATACCCAGGGTAGGATCTCGAGGATGGCGGAAAATGGGTCTTTGGTTGGAATTTAGAGACGGATGGCATCCCTCGGGGGGAGTTTTGTAGGAGACGTCACGAATCACGCTTGCTTTTTGGCCATTCGATAGAACGACAATATGATACCACGTCTTATTTGTACCACACTTCGTTCGTTTGGGTCACATCATCCATCATAATTGAAAATCGGCTTATTGCTTGAATCAAATCTTTGATATCGTTTGTAAGTGAGCAAGATCTTAAATGGCTTCCTGGACCTGGCATGATAAATACTCTTTCCTTTTCTTTTCTAGACCAGGAAAAGCCTGGAAGATACATTGTAGCCAAGAAGCATATTTACCTCCAAATATGCGTGCACCAGCAGTCCGCTCCACAGTGAATTCAGAATTAACTACGAAAAAACAAACATGCCATTATGCACTCCGTCATCGCCGCCGCCATCACCACCCCCACCAAGGAACGCACTCCAGTCCATTTCCACCAGCTGCTCGTCGCACCACATGGACATGTCTATACTATTGTCTGTGGTAGTCGAGGGCGTGCGGATGGCGGAGCCGGCCACAGAGCCTTCGAGGTCGGCGGTGACGGCTTCGTATAGGGCGCCAACGATATCGGGGGTGCGATCTGAGGCGCGCATCCAGGAGCGCATTTCGGTGAAGAGCTCGAGGGCCTTTGTGAGGCTTGCGCACCACGAAGGTAGGAGGATGTTGTTCTCGGGGGAGTGAGCTATCGCTGCCGTTGGCATCGGTAATATTCCCAGGTTTGTGGTTGTTTGTGGGGAGACTGCGGGTAGTACGGGTGGTGGTGGGTATTGTGATTGTGATTGTTGCTGTTGCTTGCGAGTGAGGTTTCGCAAATGTGCGTCGATGGCGATTGAGAGTATGGGAACCATGCATGCTTGGAATAGGTACCATGCCGAGTTCCAGACATGGACGCGGTTGGGTGTCCAGTAGAGCGTTATGGCATCGATGGCCTCCATGGCGACTGAGCGACAGGTGTCTACGAGGGCTAGCTCGTCAGGAGTAGGCCCAGTGACAGCTGAGATGGCGGTGGCGCCGCGTCTGAGGGTATGATCGTGTGCAACGTAAAGTAAGAAGCTGCGGGTAAGAATGAGGCGGACGTTCAAATATCGGTTCCGCATGAACTCGCGAGCTTCCGTTAGGCGGGGTGGAGAGTTTGCTGGGTTCTTAAGGTAGTCGGGGAGAGAGTCGTGCCATTCTACCAACTCGCGGTCGAAAGCCATGGCCTCGTGGGCAGATAACCGCGCGGGCTGTGCAAAGCGATGCTGAATCCTGTCGCAGATGTGGCAGAACAGACAGCTTGCTCTCAAGGAGGCTGCAACGTGGTCGTCGGGGAATAGTGGCGTAGGTAAGAGGGTGTCCATGGTACTACTGTCCCATCGACCGCACGTTGGACGGCCGAGGGTCATGCTCGCCCACGTATCGAGGCAGAAAAGACTCCACCAGGTGCGTCTGCGCGTTTCGGCGCGTGAGAGGTAGTTGCCGTGCTCTGCGACGTTCTCGGCGCGACTGCGAGCGGGTTCTCGGTGTAATCCCAAGGCTATAGCGACGCGATGAGCGGCACCGAGGATGGCATACGCCATGTTGGGTGAGTTTCGGTAGTGCAGGTAGTAGCCCCCGAGCAGGCATAGAGCTTGTAGGCTCTCCATATTACCAGAGCCCAAGGAATCGAGGTCGAGGTGGGCGCGGGCCTGTTTGTAGTATTGGACGTGGAGAGAGTCGCTGCCGGAGGCGATAGAACCCAGGGTGTAGACCATATTGAGTAGGGCCAGCCAAGAGCTGTCGAGACGGGTTCCTGATGCAAGATTGCGTCTAAAATCGTCTTCATTGAGAATCGGCGTTATTGGATGAATGTGATCAAAGTAAAAGTCGATACAGCGCTGTTCCCGCAGAGGGTTCAAGCTCGCGCCTGGGCTGACAAGAGACAGTGGCGGAAGCAGCTGGGATTGGTAATGAACGTTGTTCCACGCCTTTGCCCTCTGAGCAGTGTGCTCTTTGGCAGCGGGACAGAGACGGAAAATGGCCCTGAGAACGGCGCTCATGGATGTCGCGCCGAGATAGGAGCGGCGGTGCTGGTCTGTTGCAAGACTGACGGCGTTGATATCGTCGCTGGAGCCTAAGGTCGCAGGCTGCTGGGCTGGTTCGTCCCATCGTCTATCGTTTGAAGCCTCTCCATTTTCAGAATTCTGCGCCGAGTCATCGAGGCCGGAGTCATCGTCATCCTCGTCGGCCGCTGAGACGCCAACTGGTGACGGGTCGGCTTGCGGAGCTGAGGAGCGTAAAACAAAGAGAGATTCTCGCGGCAATAAGGCTAGCAACTCTGCTCGACTCTTGCCTACCAGATCATTCACGTTGGCGTTGGGAAATAGTTCCTGCAGCACGCTGGACTGGGCCCGGAGTTGCTCCGAAGTCTTTTCAAGAGTACTGGGGTAAATGTCAACCTTGGTGATCCTGCAAGAAGGAGCATCGGGGGATTTAATGAGGGGCAAGGATTATTGTATACCTTCTGCTGACGGCATGTCGTCTGCTTCGCTGCCTGTACTCGCATGAGTCTGCAACCTTGTAGTACTGACAGCTCGCACAAGGATGTCCACCATCGCACTTGACTTTGCGTCTCGTGCATTCCTGACATGAGCGGTTGACCTTACGTGAGGTTGTTGGAGAGCTCACGGCCGAGCCCTCGGGGCTACGGCGGCTGTCAAAGGAGTGGAACATGGTCGACCGACCCGTGACTGTTGTGGTGGTTGTAGTCGGCATTTACACGGCCCTCGGCACGGCGAAAGACCCAATTGAGCGGTAGACATTGGGGGGAAGGGATATGCGGAGTGCCGGGGATTTGGAGGAGCGGGCCTGGAAGAGAAATATGTGGGTTGAAGAAGAGGACAGGAAGGGTGACGTTCAACTGCCCGTGAGGAGGAGTTTTAGGATGAGGAGGAGGAGTAGGAGGAGGGCCGAGCAGGAGGATGTCAAAGGAACGGCGCGGGGAAAGTGCGAGGAGCGCCTGTGATGAACATGGGGGAAGAGCACCCGATTGTGGGGTTAAGTTGGCGGTTGCCAGTTGGAGTTCTGTACTAAAAACTCGACTTATATCGGTACTTACACCAAGTACCTACACTACTTGACTACGTACCTCTTAGCACGAACGAGGATGGCACTGGTGGTTCTTTTTGGGAAGGAGTCGAGACCACCTCACCCGAGTCGGCGGCACCTTTGGGCCTTGGGCCCTTCCTTCCATTGGCCTAGACCGGATCGCCGATTTTTGACACTTCCAGTTTCCTCTTCCCAATCAACTCAAGTCGCAAAAGAACCTGGAAAACTGGCTGCCTTGAGAGTCTACCTAGTCAGTAGTCAAGGAGAGGGATCTCACGATGAAGATACTACTTTACTTACAAAGCCACAATAAGGCAGTGTCAGTCTCGACATCTTCCCGTTCTGATAACCCTGAGCAGTCAAAACGTTAAACGTCAAACATCAACTTGTGTGCCTTGAGCACGTTTTCCAGGCACCAAGCATTTGACTTTGGCTCTTGTCTACGATGCCGACTAAGGGATTGGCCGAACGACTTGTTCCACTTTCAGCCCGGCCCGATGATCTCCAGCACGTCAAAGCGAATCCAAGGTAACCTAGGCCCGCCCCAGATCTCTCCTCCACTGCCCACTGCTCCTAGCCCCTGATTGAAACACTGGGGACCTTAGTTATCAACCGCAGGCAAGGTAGGGTTCTTTCTAGGCAACAAACATTCTAGCTTTTGCTTATACGATCTCTCCCCGTAATTACACCGTCAAGTACCGTCAAATGCCCCCCTCTAGTTTCAGCCCCATGGCTACTACCTACCTTAGGTAGGGCTAGACACCTTGCATCACGACATGCCCATGACCTTTTGCGATCCATGGTCCGTGGTATCCGCAAGCAACGTTGCAAGAGGCACGCTTAAGCCTACTGTCTATTCGTATTACCTGCCTGATTGATTGTACATGTGAAATGATGTTGATCGTACGTGTGAAAAGAGGTTCATCGGCAATGTGGCTGGCTTGATGGTAAATAAATTTCCCGGTAATATATCTAATCTCCCTTGCCGGCTGACACTGAATTCTTCATGACAAACTTTTCAGGATCATTGCTTATAATACCATTAGCATTATCACGATGAAAACACAAACCATTCCGAGCCTATAGGCCACCCTCATCTAGGTGGTATCTAGTCACTTGTCAAGCTAGGGAGCTAAAGAGGGTACCTAATGTGCAAGGTATGCGGGAAAGGATCGACCTAATTCTCATCTCCTTTCCAAAAGGTCTTAGATGTGAGGCTGTCTCTCGTGCCGAAGGCATGGATGTTCTACCCCATTGTCTACTTCCATCGCCGGCAATCCAGTCTCGGCCCACACACACGGCAATCGAGCATGGCATGGAGCATGGCGAGAAGCTTCCCAAAGGATCAAGGTGGAGACTGAAGGAACGCCCGCTGGGTTTCAATTGACCCTCCCTGCCTCTCACCTTCCAGGTGCTCAACTTCTCAGGGCAGATGATCATCGGCAGGACCCGCCGTCAAGGAGGCTAAGGAGCCCATCACGGGCCGGAGGAAACTGCCGGTCAAAGACCGAATGCAAGATGTACGTATAGTGGGCAGACGTATCCGTACTGCTCCTTTACGATTCGAATCGAGATACCTCAAGGACCCGTTTGACTCTAGGTAGATAGCTGCATGGGTTGTGGCTGTTCCTATGCCCATCACACGGAGACACCGAACAGATGGGCAGCCGAGAGGGCGTACGGGAGGATTCTTGTGGATCACATACCACCATGCCTCGATCATTCTTCACTAGAGCCTGTTCTCTCAAGTGTGTCTCGCAATGATTCGACGATGAAAGCTTCTCTGAGCTGCTCCTATCTACAAGCAGAATGATGTGGATTTCCTAGTGAGAGAGGGTCGAGGTGGTGTTTAGAGTACTCTTCAGGGATCAAAGCTGGTGGCTGAGTGCTGCATTGCCATTACCTTACTCACTGAGTAATGCAGATACTCCTTGTCAGAATGACCAGCTGTTACTTTCGGCTCCTTCGGACTGCAACTAAGGGGCCAAGGCAAGCACTACAGTCTTTTAGTAACTCACTGCGGCGGCAAAGGTGATGCCGAAAATCATGTGTCGACAGTTTGCTATCGGGGGGCTCAGGTCGGAGTGTTTCATCACACTTGCGCCTTCCTGCTGATTTTTCATTTCTCTAAGCTGCAACCTTTCTTCGGCTTGGTGCCTGACCTGCAGGGTGTGAATTGGTTATGTGATGCTGGCGGTTGAGAACTAGCGGGACTTTTTTACGACAAGTTTGACTCAATCACTCTCTACTTGAGTATCTTGGTATCATTATGACGGGTCTCTTATTCGCTCATACTCGGCCTGTGAATGTGTCTGACTGTGGGCAAGATGGTGATCAACTTGCTCAGCCGCAGCCAAGATCCAAATTGTATCAACAGGTGGCGCCAACGAGGGATGGGAACGGGGTATTTGTGTGTTGGGTTGAGATAACTACAGGGAGTTGATTTGGAACAAGCTACAGGCTCTTACTGACAATCACGGGCGGCGGACACGCATCGTTACTCAAGGTAGGTAGCATTGGAGCCTCGGAGGTTTGAGGGAAGGTCCTTGATCCATCAGCAATACGACGCCAACTTCATCTTCTATTGTCATACGATTGTGAATAGTCCAGTAGATAAGGTATCAAGCGGTATCTGGGACTACGCTTTGAGTGCTATTCAGTTTCTGAGTCCTGACCAACTTGAATCTACTACATCTGGAGAAGGCAGGGAAGAGTACAGCGCGATGCTTAGATACTTGGTAAGCCTTTGAGAGACCGCCGGGATGGATGCTGGTACTTTACTGAGAATGGCGTTATGCACAGCGTTACGGCCGGATGTTCAGCGCCCAGGGTTGCTGGAGGTCCTCGATACTTTCTCAGGCGGTCTCACTATATGAGCCTGCCGGGGAATAGAACCTTGTGAAGCTTTGTCATTGCATCCAATCTTAGGGGGCTATGGTTATAGAGGGGCTAGGCTGCATTTCTTCGAATGAAGCCAGACCCAATGCTCCATGGAGGCTTGTATTCCCACGAGCTCCGAATAATCTCGACACTGGAACATACATATGGTTACAAATCAGCGGGATCTCATTGCAGTGCTGATTGCTGAATAGAGGATGATTGGAAGATCATGATTTTCAGGGCATGAGAAGTAAACTCAGTAATTTCAATTATCTGTTCCTTCAAGCAAGGTCAGATGATATATCCTTCGTATAGCTGAAGTACACCTGCCAAATATGCAGCTTCTGTCGAGTCGTTAGCTTTCTACGACCTCCTGGTTTGCAGCTAGACTCGGAGTCTGAATAATTCAGCTGTGGATATCCACATAGAGTCGAATGGTGTCAACATAACAGCAGTGAATGACTGGCATACACCCTGGAACAATAGAGTCCTTGGCTCATCCTGACGAGACTTCCTCCTCGGTTAGACTGTGACTTGTGTATCCACAGACAGGATCAGCGCATTTGGGCATATCTAAAGTGATCAGACTTCGGGAGACACGAGGAAAGTCCCGGGACCAGGATTCGGCGATCGTCGGACATTGCGCGGACTTTTAGTTTCCAGACTTGGTTCAAGTCCACCAACAATGCATATTACTTCAAGGGGACGGTAAAACCGTTCACTAATCCAAGGTATGGATCTTGGGCATAAGCTGATAATTCATGACATCAAAGGCCGGGAGCTCCAAGAGTTTAATAAACAGCAAGAATTCTTCCCCTAGAGGGTCCTCTAGAGGGCTAGCAAAGCCCCGTGTGCATTCTTGGGTATTGCGGAGGTACGGGGGACGAAGTCTGTTGTCTCCCATCACCCTTTGAACCACCATAGACCATCAGTAATGGAATGACTGGAAACGGATTTATTAGCTTCTCATTCTTCGAAGCGAGAGTTCGCATCCTTGTTTGAAACTTTATCTTTCAGATTTCAATGATGGGCCCTGATTTATAATTATTCTACTTGGATCTTCCGAAAAAGGGGACCATGAGCCTGTAATACTCGTCCTTGCCTGTACCTTAGTCAAGCCCATAACTCATTTTCCTTCCAATGGGTTCCTGGCCTACACCCAAAGACTACAGAGCTGTGCTCAAGCCGCCCGAGCCTGATCTAACCGTCGATCGACGATTCCATCAGGAACAAAATGATTGTAAAATACTTCAATAGCATCCCTCATCTCTCGAAAGCAGTCTCCGAAAGCCTCAAACCCGTATCGTTGAGACTGGACACGGTCTTCAGGGCGGCAATCACTTCCGTACCAAAACTTCCATAGCTGTATGCGTGGCTGCCAACTGATCTCAACAAAGCTGCCCGCGCTGCTCAGGTCAGGCTGATCCATGACCTCGTGAAACTGATCCTCATTCCTGAATGAATCCTCCCATGAGGCCAGCACGGCTTCCTCGTCTTCCTTGATATGGTCGATGACAAAAGCTCAACGCGCGAGTCGCGGATCCATGATACGCTCGGCGAGGAACCACGAGGCCGCCTCAGCCTTGTCAGCGATGCGCAAACGACTTTGGTACTCGGCATCTTGGTGGCGCATGCAGGCCTCAATGCGCCGGTCCATGGAGAAAGAATTCAGTAGGGGCAGCGTGACGACCTCGATACAATCTGCTCCGTAGCGTATCGTGTCTCGATTCATGCGCGTGTGGTCAAATAAGGCGTGGGCAAGCCGAGCACTGCGGGCGGGACGAGCAGTCTCCGTAGTATCATACACGACGAAGCCGAATGAGGTGCGTAGAGCCCGGAGCGCGGCCGCGTCGGATTCAGGGGTGTCGTCGTGGATCTGGTACGCGGCAAAGGTCGGGGCGCCGTCGTGACTAGGCGCAGCCTCGACGAACGTCTTACTTGGTGACCTTGTTGGGGTCATGAAACGATGATCCTTCATTGCTTCTTCCTCTTCCGCTATCTCATCTGCTTTGAGCTTTTCCAAGCGAGCTGTTTCTTCTATTTTTCGGCGAGCGACCTCCTTTGCTCGCATGCTGGGAGGCGCGCCGTCGCGATGCTTGTTGTCGAAGCAGTGGCGACACATGGCTGTGGGAAATACCGGCGTTAAGCTAAAAATGCGTGAAAATATGAATTGTTTTTTGTTGCCTTTTCCGCTGTTGGCTGAGGGAGATTGCTGGTTTAGTTGGGAAGTAGAAAACACACGGTCGTTGGTTCACTCATTCAGCGGTCATGGCTGCCTAGAAGTCATCGTGAACTGGGTTGCTGCCGCCTAGTTCCACCTCCCGATGGAGGTTAGATGCCTCGCAGAGGTAATGTAGACTGGCAGTGAGCCTGTTCATGTGTGAAGATTGACGGTGATTCTGGTGGAAAGAAGAAATGTCGACAAGCTTTTATTGATTCCGACCCTCCCAATACGAGTCTTACCCCTTGTCGTACAAAAACGAATCCGTAATTGCCGGCCAGCAATTACGCCTTATTTACCACACCCCTGGAAGCTCGCACTTCATCGGAGCCCGAACTGCTTGCCTGCTTCGCTTCTTGCCTCTTAAACTCCCCAGAACAAGATGCAGTTTATTACTATAGTCTCTCGGGAAGGCGCTGTTGTTACGAACTGAACTCGCTCACCTCAATACATTTAAGAGCCTTGGCGAGTGTATTTTCAAGCAGTTCATCCTGAGACCAATTTTCAGACAACAGCTAACTTCCAAGAGAGCATGCATTTTGAGGGCACTGTGCATTTGATGTTTGACTTTTGGTGGCAACGGCATGTGTTGATTGATACATTGTGCTTTGATAATAGGTAGTTCTTCATCCTATTTACAAGATCTCTCATTCCTAGGTAGATCAGTCATTGGGCGAAAAACATGGCAATCATCCTTCGGAGTGTTCGGGAAACTCTGGCTCACTGTGTAACCTCTACGCAAGTGACAGCGGCGCCCACCATTCGGTGTGCTTATTTGGGGCGAGGGGACCGGTGAAGACCCCTGGATCGGGTTTAGCGACGAGTTCTCAAGCACAGTGGTGTGAAGCTGCTGGTTTATTGGTTGATGATCGTCCCAAGGGTATGGTGGGTTATCTCCATATCCGATGAGGATTCTGCCAAGACACAACAGCCAACAACGGATAGTTTCCTCCGATGAAAGGAGGGGTAATACCTATCGTATCGTCCCTTCAAGATACGTGTCTATGCCCTAGATCTCTGCGTTTCCCTTACCGTTGATACTCGAGCGCTTTCGCTGGTCATATTACCCACGTAACCAGCCCGACACGACGCGGACGTGATTCAGTGAAGAATGGAGGCCACAAATCAAGCCAGCGCGGCTGGTACGTCTGCCTCCACAGCCGCCACAGCCTCGCCGGCCGTGGCCACGATTGAGCCTACGGTAGTAGCAAACGACCCGGTGAGAACCTTCGCGCGAATTCCAATTGCTATGTCAGGGCTTGTGACTTCAGGATCTAGAAGAACCTGCCCTGAACACGACGAAAGAACACCAGTTTACTAATAAGTCATGGAGTGCTAGAACCCTGTTGTCCCAGCTGAAGACGACGATCACGATTCTTTGGCGGACACAGAGAGGTATGAGCGCTACCTCAAAATGCCAAGTGAGAGCCAACACTGACAGAATCTGGTAAAGCGTAACGACTGAGTCAACTGCTTCGCTTGCCGAGAGTATCACAGAATACCGCAGGATCCATGGTCGTACTTACACGCAAAAGGCCGATTACTGGGGCCCGAACGATGAACAGCAAAATGAAGGGCTTGATCTCGCGTGAGTAAGAAGTAAATTCCTTCTCCTCCTCATTTAGCTAATATGCGCTCTGTTTTAAGGCACTATTGGGAGACCCTTCTTCTGGGCGACAAGCTTTTCCTTTCGCCACTGGGCGATGGTCCGTTGGTAAGAACACCCTTCTCTGCATCAAGATTACATGCAGTCTCTGACGAATAGAACAGAAGGTCCTTGACTTGGGAACCGGTACTGGCATCTGGGCAATGTAGGTTTTGTGATTTGTTCTACACAACATGCCGCTCTTGGAATTGATCAAAGCTGATGAGTGATACAGGGACTTTGCTGATGAGTTCCCGTCTTCCGAAGTAACGGGCGTTGACATCTCACCCATTCAGCCGGGGTGGGTGCCGCCCAACTGCAAATTCCAAATCGACGATGTCGAACAGCCGTGGACATGGACACCTGATTTTGATTTCATTCATCTCCGCCACATGGAAGCTTGCATCTCCGACTGGCCAGCTTTCTACAAGCAAATTTATGATCACCTCAAGCCCGGTGGATATTTCGAAATGAAGGATTTTGACATTGAGTTCCGCTCCCAAGCCTACGGGGATAGTCTCCCGGAAGATCACGTCTACCGTAGATGGGGTAAGATCTTCTTCGAGGCTGCAAACCATCTCGGCAAGTCAATGGACCAGTCCCGAGGTGGGCATAAGATCGCCGATGCTATGAGAGACGCTGGTTTCGTCGACGTTGTGGAGAAGAGCTGGCCTGTACCTATCGGAGGGTGGCCCAATGATCCCACGCTGAAGGAAGTTGGCATTTGCAACCTGGAGTTCCACGACCAGTCGCTCGAGGGCTTTTCGATGTTTCTGTTGACTCAGGTGATGGACTGGGACACCATATCGGCGGGGGTGTTCGTCGCTGAAGCACGTAAAGCCCTCAAGGACCCAAAGCTTCAGACGGTGATATACTTGTAAGTTGATCGCGGTTCCTGTGGTTTATTCAAGACAATGCTGACGTGAAATAGGCAAAATGTCTACGGACGCAAACCTGAGGGAACGACTTAATTGGGCTCTGTAGGCTGGTTCCTGCCATAGCTTTGTTCATCTCGGCTAGTCCTGAATAGCAGCGTAGCTACTTTACCTAGATTGATTGGGGTCTCACAGCACCTTCTATGGAGCGAACTGAGAAGCAGACGGGAGCAACAAATAATGTTCTTGGCCGATCTATTTTCAACTATGTTTCGAAGTTCTTTGATTTTGTACCTGAGTAAAAATTTAACAATGAAGATTTTACAGCTTTGACTTCAGCTCCGCATCTATCGCTTCCAGGCCGGACGGTCCCCCGTATAGCTGCGCTTGTAAGACATTCGTGTTGATCTAATGGTAAACTATCAGCTCCGTTGCCACCACCGACAACAAGACTAGGGTTGGTGGCTCTGAACTCACATGTCTCGGCCCAAGTTGATCCACACGCTCAACACCAAGTAGCCTCATCGTTGTGATAGTTTCGTCTGCAAGAACTATGCAGAAAGTTTTAGCTCATGGGAGGTGACCCTTGTTGTTGGGATAGACTCACTCTGTAATGCCCTTTCTACCCCGGCTTGTCCCCCTACCGCTAAGCTGTAAAGCGCAGCTCTCCCGATACCTACACCCTTGGCTCCCAAAGCTAGAGCTTTGACGACGTCTGTACCTCTTTTGATACCTCCATCGACGAGAACATCAATCTTGTCAAAGACCTCTGGGCAGAACTTCCGAATCTCCAGAAGCACTTGGACAGGCGTCATCGTCGTGTCCAGAGCCCGTCCGCCATGGTTGGAAATGATGATGCCCTTAACGCTCGGGGATAGGGTCGCCGCGTACGCATCCTCGTGCGTCTGGATGCCTTTCAACACGATCGGGAGGGATGTATGTTTGGACAGCCACGCCAATGTCTTCTTCCACGTGAGTCCCGACTCCGTGCCCCATACCCCCGGCGGCGCGCCTCCCGCAACCTCCGCCATCTTGAACCGCTCATCTGCTTCTCGCTTTCCGGGAAATGGCGCGTCTAGTGTGAGTACGATGAACTTGATTTGAGGAATGGCTCGTATCTGTGCCAATGTCTTCTCGGTCGCTTCGATATCTTTTAGGACGTAGAGCTGCCAAGCAAAAGTCGCGTCTGGCCCGGCCTGGACAATTGCCGACGGGGACATTGAGGCATTCTTGCTAATGAGCTGCAAGCCCTTGAACTTTGAGCACGCTGCTGCGATGCCTGCCTCGCCTATCGGGTGCGCCAATCTGGCCATGGCCGCGGGCGAGACGTAGATTGGCATTCCGACTGCACTCCCAAGGAGACTGGTCGACAAGGAGCACCGGGTACAGTCAACAAAGACCCGTGGTCGTAGGAGGATGGAACGGAAGATGGTGCCGTTCGCAATCTTAGTGACCTCGTCATCGGTTCCGGAGGCGTAGTATGAGATGGCCTTTGGGCTCAGCTTTTGCAGGGCATAATGCTCCATTTCAGCAATGCTCAGGATCTGAGACACTGGAGGTATACCATCCGACTGGTCTGGTGATGGTGACGGGCCCGCGAGTACGTTGAGGGGAGGCATATCTGGTTGCTGCCCAGCTTCTGCTGCTGTGACTTCAAAGATTCCCATCAATTTGTCAGGCCGGAGATACTCTTCGACGAGCTCAACCGGATGAACGGCGTCAAACGCTGCAGTAGCATTTTTGCCGGCATTCTTCAGGAGGATGGCTTTACCGCCAGGGTGGCTAGGGAGAAATGATGTGATCTGCCGCTTCGGGTGAGTTTCGAGACTCTTGCTGGAGAACCAGGAAACATACATCGTAGACTTTGCCATGAATGGCCATCCAACAATCATCAACAGTTTGATGTTGCCGCACTGGGAACTTTTTAGCTTTGTGCTGTTTCGTCATGAGGCACGAGATAGGCACCTTCGGGGAGCGACCACCTTCGGCTCATGATGACTACAGAAGAGTTGACTCAAACATCGTTTGCTTCTGCGGATGGATGAGATTGACAGTACAGCATGGAACTGTTGAGTTCTTGCAGGCGGGTGTCACGATGCTCCGAAGTGACCAAGCACGATGTGGGATCTCTTTGAACTGGTACCTTCAAGTGGTCTGTGGCATGTATCTCACCATAACCACACCATGCGCTCGGTCGGGAGTTTATACTCCCGCATGCTTTTCTAGGACGCGGGCTTTCATATCCCCGTTGAGAGGTGGATACATTCCCCAAGCTCTCCCGCAGTTGATCCACCGTTCTCCCCACCATCTGGGCCAACCCCAAATTCCTACTCCGGAGTCTGGACAAAGTGGTATCCGTAAGAATACAGCAGAGAACCAGCCGAACCCTTGCTCATGACCAGTGATCGAGTTGAAGCTTTGACTAGCTAGGAGGAAAGCGTAGGATCCATGAGATCCGAGAGGAGAGATCTTAGTATCACAGACCACAAGTTGTCCGGTCTCTGCTCTTTAATTACCTGCACTAGCAAGCTACTAATAATCGTGGGAGCTTATTCTCAACTAACGAATTAAGCAGTGGAGGGACTTTCGTAAGATAGGTACCAAATTGAATTGCAATCTGATGTTGTCTTACGGTGTGACCGTGAGAGAGGAAAGGCTTGTGGGGACCTGGTCGAACTGGTCAGTGAGTTGCAACTCATCAATCTTTCTCGTAGCACAAGAGAGCTTTTCGTTCCCGACGAGGGCATATGGCGTGGAATAGCTCTCGTACCATCAACAACAGATATACACAATCATTGACTTTACTCCTTGGCTCGGTGAACTGGCAAGTATTGTAGGCGAAGGCGCCGAGATTCTGTATAATTTCGGAGTTCCGCTTTTAATCTCCAGCCCCTTCCTCAAGTTCCTCGTTGCGTTGCTCGGCAACTTGAGAAGACTTTCAACAGAACCTCCAAGTTCACATACCGCCATCCTGAGATCGTCAAATCTTATATTTGCTTGTTCAGACAACTAATTCCAATATGGGTCGAGGGCGGAGACGAAAGAAGACAAAGCGCTTGGAGCCCCACCAGCAACAGGAGAAGCAACAGAGTCACCATTTACAGCAGAGACTACAGCATCCTAAGGAAGAGGCGCGAAAGCACAAGCAGGGGCATCCGCCAAAGCAACAACAGGACCAACACCAGGGAAACCACAAGCGTCCACCTCCACATATGGTGCCAGGGACATACATACGACCCCAATTCAACCCCAAAAGTCCTGAATGGTTCTTTCGCTATCTAGAATGGTTAAACGTACCTTGCTCGTCCGCCGACCCCAATTGCGAAGTTGCAGTCTTTGAACTCAATTACGAAGCCTTTGAAGAAGATATTTCTGATATTGAGCCCTCAAAGAAGGAATGTACCTACGATGAAGATGGCTCTGATTGCGAGTGTGAGCTGCCTTTCTGGCGAGAGTACACAGGCGATGATGAAGAGGAAAAGCTTTTTCGCGAAGTGAAATATCAGCGGGCGATGTTCAAGCGCGAATGGGTGCCCGAAAGCAGCAAGCACTACGAGAGGAAAGAAAAGAAGAGATTGGAACGTGTGGGCCAACAAAAGAATGAAAAACTCAAGAAAGTCAAGTCTGCCGTCGAGACTCTACTACGAAATGTATCGAGAGATGAGAAACGACCTCTCTATTATATGAGTCGCAACATCATGTCTAAGTATGACTTGTTCTCTGAGGAGTACACAGCTCGCTTGTGCCCCGATGGCATTCGAACAACCAGGACGATCGACTTTACCGACATGGCATCATTCCACAGCATGGGATACCCAAGACTCAAGGGAACAACGGAATTGAAGGTCGATAGGGTGTTAACAGGGTGTCTATCAATCGATGCCCCAAACAACCCTGACGATGACATCCGCGTTGAATTTGTATCATTTGAGTGCCCTCAAACTACAGGAGTTTACAAGATTCGAACAGGCAGAAAGGACGGGGCTCGGGAGTTAAAGGTTGAATTTCTCAGCGATGATTACATCGTATTGGATGTCCACCCCGACGCGATCTTTCGTGATGAGTGCGGAACAAAGCTTCCCACTTGGCCGAGAGACCCTCTACCCCAGTATCGATTTTACGGCATGAATAGGGCGTTAGGTAGTGATACCTATTACCATAGGTGAGGTATCTCAGTCCAAGGTTAGGAGGCAGAAAGAAGACACGGATTAGTGTATTGTAAATAGTGGTGATCGTTAATAATTTGAAAATGACATCTCTCCTCATTTCGCCGTCCAACTTGTTTGAATTGATGCCTCTTTGGGGAAGGTCCGGAGACAAGTAGAGAATGTTGCCAGGGAGCTTCTACAGGAAGTACTTAGGAAGGCAGCGAGAAACAGTCGGTGCATCCCGGGCTCGGGTATGATTTCGAAGGCGCGGACACGCATGCTTGGCCAAGGAAATTCAGAGATGATTGTACACAACAAGGTCAAAAACTGAAACAAGTTGGAGAGAATTTATAATCGCGCAAGGCTTTCGTTGACAAACACACTTCTAACGGTTTCTTTGTTCTGATCTAAACTTGAGTTTGGTACTATTATTTGACAACTCGGAGATCATGTTGAATGTAATGAATGACTGGTAGAAGTTTCTAGGAACCGCCCATGAACAACACTTCCCAAGTATGCTATGATACCTTACTCACTGCCGGAGCCGCCATTCTTGATGCAGGCGTCGGAGAAGTCGCCGCCCTCCATCAGCTTGCCGGGAGACTTGCAGGTGATGGTGGTGCCGCTATTGGAGAGGACGCAGTCAGAACAGAAACCGGGGCAAGTCTTTCTGGTCACATTGTTATTCTAATATTGTCAGAATGTGTCTCGATTTTCATCTAGTCAGTTTGGAGGGCGGAAGAGCTTACGGGCAAGCCGACGATAAACTGACCGCTACCACTGGCGGTGATGCAGTGGAGCTCCGAGTGCTTCTTGGCGGCAACCCTGTGACTGTTAGCCAATAATACTCAAGAAAAGCGTACAATCAGCCAAACAGATGAGATAGTTTTGACAATACTTGCTGGTTTGACTTACGTTGTTGTTGTATGTTAACGCCGTAGCGGCAAGGGCGCAGCCGCCCTTGCGGCAGACCTCCCGAAGGGTATATGGCGTGGAGGGCCGTAGGCCTATAGCTATCACTAGATATAGTCCAGCTCGTCCTCCAAATCGTGCCCAAAGGCAACTATGTGTTTAACCTGTCTCTGGGTGCCGCTGGCTTGCCCGAGACAGTGCTATGGTCGTCCCTAGAACGCAATTCCGCCAGTATCTCCTATCCTTCGACCCAGAGCCCCCAGGCTTCTGGTTTACACAACGTTCCAGTAACCGTCCGGAGTATATCGTAATAGGTAATACCGCCACAAGGGAAACCACAAGGGGTAAAACCTCGTAAGACTAGGTTGTAGGGCTTGCTGTTAGGTTCTGTAACGAGCATAGCTGTATATAGCCGTGGCTATACATCGCTACCCAATGGTCGTTTCGTCTCTTCGAGGGAGTCTTCGATCGTTTAAGGGGCAAAGGTGCTGAGAGAGCGAAGTCGAAAAGTCGGTGGGTGATGTTCAATTTGGGCCCGGAAGCGCCACTTGCGCCGGGAAAGAAAGTCGCCCGTCTCCTTCGGGAGGCTAGATGGAACCTCTGCTCCCTGCCCTATCAGGAAGACTTCGTCTAGCCTGCGGAAGGCGAATTCGAGTCGACGGCGGCTCGTTAGGTTGAATAATCGTCGGCTCGATTCGAGGGGAAAATGTGCGTTGTTAAGGGTTTGATTAGCGTATAGCTAATCCACCCCAGCGCGCAGCGGCAAACCGCGGGGACTGGGGCCCCTCCTTAGCATGGCAATAACAGCCCGTGCCAAGCTGGAGAGATGTTTCGTGGAGGTTGTTTGACTTACGTGGTGGCAGCAGCCAGGAAAAGAGTGGTCATAATGGTAGAGAACTGCATTTTGACGATTGCTTTCTAGGCGGTTGATCTTAAAGAGAGAAGTGGTTGGAAAGAATGAAGAGTTGTAAGAAGTGATGGCTGAGTTTGATCTGGACTGTGAGCTGTGATGATAACTACTAGAAAGAGGACATTGTAGACATTTATAGAGCGAGTTCTTGCTCACTTACACGAATAAGGCTGAGCATTAGTGAAGCTGGCATCACAATCCGCTCCGCCCTACCCGTAAGGCAGGGCCAAGATCTATCTACAAGCACCTCGTACAACGTGGATTCAGTATCCCATCGACTGCGAGATGACGTCGGTACATAGCTACGTACCGTTCATGAGAGGAAGCAGCAAATCACACATTATTCCATGATATTCCGATTAGAATCCGTTTTAATTCCGGCCGATGCACCCAATCGAATAATTCGGCTATTGGAGAAAACTGGAGGCTTATGTACCGACGTCATCTCGCAGTCGATGGGATAGTAGTGAGAGGGTGTCCCGAAAGCGATAGCGAAGGTTCCAGAGATACGGATAGTCATAGCCGTTAGAGCTGAAGCCCGTGCTCCCTCGCATTTGCCCCTCGCCCAACACAGTTGCCGGACTGACGACATTGACGGCATAGTGAGGGTTGTTCTTCTTGACAAAGGCCCACATTGCCTTCTCAGCCTCGACTTTGCTGGCTTGATAGACCATGTGCCAGTGATCAGGGGCATGCGGAGGCGGTGCCCACGCAATTTCGACTGCCTCGTCGTTCCAGGCGTCTGGCCCCGCGTGGGTAGTCTTCCCTGGACTGAGATCAACTGCGGCGGCAATAGAGCTGGTGTAGACGATCGACTGGACAGACGGCTCGCAGGCCGCGGCCTTGAGGATCGAAACGATGCTATCGACGACGGGAGGAATGACTTCTTCAGGATCATCGGAGAAGGAAAGAATCGAGGCGATATGAGCGATTGCCGAGACCCCTTTGATCGCTTCGTCAAAGGCGTGTTTGGCACCAAGATCGGGAACGTGTACGAGTTCGAGATCGCCGCGCTCAGCAAAGACAGCGAAAACGCGCTGAGTGAGCCATCTAGCCCTTTCTAGATCTCGAACCGTTCCACGGACCTTGAAACCGCGTTCAAGAAATTGTTTTGTCGTGTGTGCTGCTATGTGGCCGGTAGCCCCAGTGACGAGGACCCAGGAACCACTTGGAATCGCGGTTTGAGGGCTAGACATGGCGAAAAAATATGGGCAAGGTGTACGAGTTGTAGAGAGTATTGAGTCGTTTCCTTCTTTGAATTGGTCATAGAAAAGAGCCTTCTGGTTCCGCGCGATTACTTGCAATCATATACCTTTCAGATCAAGTGAGCAATCCTAGCGGGCATTTTCACCCAATCTAGTTGGGAAGGCGGACTATGCTCTGTTAAGAAAGAGCAAGCCTTGGCAGGGCTTCTGATATCAACAACTGATCCATAGAGAGGATTTCTATGGAAGTACAGGTGTAACTTGTTAGTCCGAAGACGGCCGGATTCTCGGGGCGGCGCCTTGAGCCGGCTCCGGTATTGGTCGCATTCCCAATCTGGAAGCAGCAAGCCTTGGCAGCATTAGTTGCTGACCCGGACGTTGAGCCGCATGAACTTCGACCATTACCCTTGCTTGTGCTACGTACAATAATGTACTCCATAAGTTGTCCAATTACAAATCATCACTGGGGAAGAATTCGCGTATTTGCGGCTTATATCCTAAAGCAGCTGACAAATGGCACAAACTTCATTTTCGAGCAACTCCCAGAATCAGGAGGGCGACAATCCGAAGGACTTGGTATGTGAGTCAAGCTTTTGACCAGATTGTCAACAACATCGCTGTTATGTCGCCCAAAAGAGACGAAATCCAGTTCGTGCATGTATATGGACAGAACAGCTCAAAAGCCGCGTCCGCTGAGACGCAGCGTCGAGCTCATTCGCATGCAGCTAAGGCAGCACACGCAAAGACTAGGCGACGGAGAATCGTCCAGTATCAAGCCATCAGTTCAGCCGAGGTACAAGTAGCTGCCGTTTCAAGCCCAACTGCCCCCTTGGGATCTGGCCGAAGAGACCCCTTCGCCAGCTTGCAAGGCTTCTTAGTCCGATTGAAGACTTTCTCCTAGACTATTGTAAGTCAGAATCATCTGTGCGAGAGATAGTTGGAGACTGGGATCTTGAACTTCCCAGCTCGGCTTCTACTGTTTTGTTCTAAACACCAGCTTTTTCATTTCTAAATCTTGATTCATAGATGTGCACAACGTCGTGCCATGTTCAAGTTATGAGTCAATCTAGAGTGGGTTTGCGGGTGGCTGCACGCAAAGATTGAACAACGAGTTTGTTCAGCTAGCTGCTACCAGCACCAGCGCTCTGAATGGTCTCTTTCTTGTGACTAGCCGACATCTGTCAAACTGTGTACCACAACATGAATCACACTATACTCAACTCGCCCTACAATACAAAGTCGCCTGCGCGCGGCTGCTCACGGAAGCCATTTCATGTCTGAAGATGCAATCCCCCATTAGTGATGCAATCATCACAATAGCTGTCTTTCTGGCACAAGATGAGGTGAGGCATTCCAACTGCGCTTCTTACAAAAAATACTGGTATTTGTTTAACTAAGCTTTGATAAATGACAGATCTTGGCGGGTGATGTTGCTTCGACACAACAGCATCTACAAGGAGCGATCCACATGGTGAGACATAATGGGGCGCTGAACAAGAAGGGCTTCAACGTATTTCTCTATGACATCATCCAGAAAGACATTGCAAATTCCGAATTGATGCAAAGGGTTGTACCATTAGCTTCATTATGGTGAATGGAGTGGTCAAGTCCCTGATCGGGAATTGTTGGGAGCAATAAGTACAACTGCATTGAGTGACAACAACATGCAACTAACAACGACTGAGTTGACCATCGTGGAGGCCCGTGCGCAACCTCAATTTTGAACTGTCCTGAGCACACAGGCGCAACAGAGCGGGACCTGGACTAGCACTCCAAATGACGATTGAGTCTACAAGATTGCCAAGTGCTTTGTCCTGAATAGTTGCGTCAACGTATGGACCACTTTTTTTTATAAACCATGCCACACTTGCCTAGCTCAGCATGGAACAAGGAAAATGGTGCCACAGGCCCAGTATTTCCCCGACAATTTATATCCCCGCGTGGACCTAGCGTCGATGCTTTCCGGGGATGGTTAAAATCCGGGGCACTGTCGTTGCCAGATTACAATCAGTGAGATATGCAGTCCATGTTGTGACAGTTGATCAGCTGCATAGCAGTTTCTTGTTAGATTACACAAGATCGCAAACTCCCTCCCGCCTCCCTCCTCCACTCGGAACTCGTGGACTGACCAGTTCGGGGTTCTCGTTTCCTACAGGCCACCTTCTGGGGTATCATCTCACGTTACGGGAGAACAGGCTCCAGTGGAAATCGGATCTCACGACAAGTCGTCCCGATTCCTTACGCGATGGATAGCGCCAAGGACGGTCCCGTCCTCAAACACTTGGACGATGCCGACACCGGTGCTGATACTTATGCCACGATCATGGCAACACATAAACCTGACCCGAGAGGACCCGGATACATCAAGCTGTATCTCCTTGCGACAGTGTTGTTCTTCTGTTCAACCATGAATGGTAGAGAAGGTCCGCCTTCGCACTGCACTTCCGACGGCTGATTCGATGTATCACGTAGGATATGATAGCGCTCTCCTAGGGTCTATCAACGCGTTACCCAACTACACAGAATACTTTGGGCTCCCTGTGAAAGGTAACGCGAGTACTGGTATCGTGTTCGCCATCTTTCAGGTATGTTCAAAAGGAAAGAGTTGTAGAGCCGAGGTCACTAACACGGGAACAAGGTCGGCCAAATGTGTGGCGCGCTTTTCATCTGGATGGCAGATTGGTACGGTCGAACCTGGCACATCTTTTTCGGCTGCTTGGGTGTTTGCATCGGGGCAATCATAACGGCACTCTCGACGAGCCTGCCCATGTTTATCGGCGGGCGCTTCATCTTGTCCTTCTTTGCTACTTGTGCTCACACCTCTGCGCCCCTCTACCTGGTTGAGCTCGCACCTGCTCGGTATCGTGGCACTGTGGCAGGTCTTTACAACACCTTTTACAACGTGGTATGGGATCATCCAAAAACAAATTTGGGCATTTCAGAAATCCAGGCTAGTGCTGACGGTCATTGCTCCATATAGGGCTCGATTCTGGCAACCTCGGCAGTGTATGCATGCCACCGCTATCTCAGCGATCGAGGAGATCTGGACTGGAGAATACCGCTATGGCTTCAAATGGTGTGCCCTGGACTTGTTTGCGTCTTGATCAAGTTCTTCCCGGAATCTCCTCGATGGTTAGTGTTCCTCAACCACAAACTCAAACACTGGCTGACCCTGAGACAGGCTCGTCGCCAAAGACCGACATGATGAGGCCAGAAATATCATAGCAACCTATCATACCAACGGAGACCCTGAGCACCCTCTCGTGGACCTTCAGATGAAGGAAATGATCAACTCGATCGATCCGACCCACGTGCCTTCGTGGAAGGATCTCTTCGATTTGAGGGTTCTCGTCGAGAGTCGGTCTAGCAGGTACAGACTTATGCTCAATGTCGCATTCTCTTGGTTTGGACAATTCAGCGGCAACAATATCAGTGAGAACTTTCATTACTCGTGTGACAAGTTTCTCATTTTCTTCAGAAACTGACACATAATTGCTTACTAGTCTCATACTACCTCCCCATCATGCTCTCAGGCGTTGGCATCACCGATACGAACACAAAGTTGATACTCAACATCATATACTCCGTCATTGGCTGGGTCTTCTCAACTGCAGGCTCTCGTCTCCACGACGTTGTCGGCCGCCGCAAGATGCTCATCTCCACCACCGCGGGCATGACTGTTTGTCTCGCGCTTGTCGCCGGCTGCTCGGCGGGCTACACAGACTATGGCAATAAGACGGCGTCCACAGTCAGCGTTGTCTTCATTTTTGTCTTTGGTGCCATCTTCGCCACGGGGTTCACGCCGATGCAGCCGATCTACCCGGCTGAGGTCGTCAGCAATAAGATGCGCGCCAAGGCAATGGGGACATTCAAGCTGACGGCTGGCGCGGCGGGCTTCCTCAATACGTTTGTTGGGCCAATTGCTCTCTCGAATGTGAGTGCATATATATAATCTTGATTGGCCGAATTGACTGCGCTGCCGTACAATACTAATGCAAATAATCCACGGCAGATTGGCTATTGGTTTTATGTCTTCTTTGTGGCCTGGGACAGTTTCGAAATGCTGTTCATGTATTTCTTCTTCGTCGAGACAAAGGGGTTCACACTAGAGGAGCTCGATGAAGTATTCGAGGCAGAGAACCCTCGTAAGGCTTCGGTAAAGGCAAAAAAGAGACAGCAGGAGATCATGAGGGCCGGTTCAGTCACTGAATGAGATAGATCTTTCTGTTTATCATAGGTAGAGGCATGGCTGGCCTGAGGAAGTCCAACATTGGACGAGATCTATCTCAACCTCTGGCTTATTCTCAAACCAAGAGTCATCTCTTAAACAGAACCACCCAGCCCGCTTCCATTTTCCCTCATGCGGGACAATCATCAAACCCTCTTTGTCAATCAGCGGAAGACCCCAGACCTCTTCGAATTGTTCTGCTTCCTCGGGCACATCAAAGGCCCCCACAGCAACGACCTTGTCTTCGTTTCCTGTTGGATCTGACTTATTTTTGGTTGAAACGAGCAAGACTGAGTGGCTCAGCATTTTCTTGTAAGGAAGCCACCGCTTTCTTGACTTATCTGCCTCAAACCATCCAACAATGCCCGTCTTGATCAGAGTCGCCTTTGCAGTACGCCCCGAGATCTGCAGTGTACAAGAGGGCATGTGGAGGGCAGTCACGTCGCAGTCTTCTGCGGCTGTCCATCTGGTCCCCAGCCTAGGCTTAATCTTGACGTAATTGCCGTCTTGGAATAGCTTCGATTTCCTTGGATTGTAGATGCGACGAAACGGGCCTTCGACGGACGCCCAAGACCACGACGGCGCGCGGATCACCGGCGCTGGGGCAAAGGGAGTTGGTTTCGGGCGCGTTACTGAGGTGTTGAAAAATGCGTGCACCTGATTGCGTGGTTTCCACAACAAGCCTCTGACAAGATCTTCTTCCCAAATGCCCGCGAGATAGCGAGATTTCAGCACGTCTTTCGCAAGAATCGCGATGGATGCGATGGCCTCGAATACGTCATGCGGATTCGATAGAGCCCTCATTGTGAACAGGTCGACAAACTCGTACCACATCATAAGAGTCGTTTCTTTGTCCGCCGCTGAGTGAGGAGCGCCCGTAGAGAAGCCAGGGGTGAGGAAAGTGGGCTTGAGATCCTGAAAATCGACTTGCCCATCTTCCCAATTCTTCTCCTCGCGGCATTGGTAGATGATCTGCTCCTGACCGAATACGATGGATCGAGTTGAGAGCTTTTCTTCCTGGAAACACCACCCTCGCGTGGACACGGGTCCGACGAGAGCAGATCTTGGAAGACAGACGTTGATAGTATCTTCCGTGTTTGGACCAAGCGGCAACGCGCAAGGAGGGACCTTTTGTTGAAGTCCATTCGTGAGGAAGCCGTTGCGGGCATCATCCGAACGGCCAGCGATGATGTCAAAGCCGCATTACCGTACACATGTGCCATGCGCTGCGATTCCAAGGCCCAGTCATCGGCATCGCCTTGTATGATACAAAGCGCATCGATCCAGAGATATTCAATGCCAAGGGAACGCGCAAAACGGATGGACTCTTGGTGAGCCCTGGTCAGCTTTTCTTGGACGACGCCATCCAAGAGCTCATTTTTGGTCTTATGCGTCAGCTTAAAGTTATCCATCCCGGGACCCCAGCAATACGATAGAGCAATGTATGGCTCTGTAAGGCCATTTGTGACTATCAGTTTCGGCTTTTCATTGTTCTTGCCGACCGCAATGACGCGAGTTGGCATCTCCAAGGACCTCGGTTTGCAGAACTTGTGAGAATCTTTGCACTTTTTCAAACGCCAACTTGCAAGATGCATGTAGACATCAGGATCGTGGTTCGCAGTTATGTACCGTTCGATGTACTTGCGCGCTGCCGGCGTTGTACGGCTTCTGCAAATGGTCAAATCTCATTCAATATGCTGAGTCCCGGCTCAAGAATGGTGATAAGAAGTGCGTTGGACTTGGGGGGCTTACGCAAAAAGAGATAGACGCGAGGCAAATGGCATCCCGGGGCGATTCGTCTCTTCCAGATCGGCATCCGGATGCATTCTTCCGCACGAGATCCAGATGGCACATCCTGGAATTTGGTCGCCGACGCCGCGGTTGCCTTGCCTCACCTCGCCCTGGAGCCAGATGCTCTGGACAAAGGACTCTTTCTCGTAGCCTGGAGGTATCTGATCATTGAGAAGGGCGTCGGTGACGGTATGATGGTTGTCTTCCATTACACGAGTGTAGCACAGGGTGCAGAAGGGACACTTCGCGGCGGCACTTCGCTGGAGAGCCTTGAGACTGGGGTGAAAACGAACATCTGTGGCGTCTAGCTGGTCAATATTGAGCTTTGAACAGACTTTGCAGAGAGACATGGTTGCGGGCTTAGGTCTCCTGATATCTAAAGCGACGGAATGACAACGTTAATGTCTTGCCGACGGCATGAGGAGCATGAAGTTGTGAAGTGAGGACAGTCCATCGTGCCAGCCACGAACAGCTGACACCATGCCAGCCAGCGGGACACTAAATTGAATGCATCGCGAAGATCCTATTGGTCATTGGAAGTTGGCATGTCCTAAATATGCAGGTAATACGCTAAGTTCTACCGGGCTCCATGTCTGCCCGATGGCATCTGATTAGCTGACGATGGGGTTAGTCGGAGACGCTGCCGATTGGAACTTTTGGGAACCCGAAAAGCATCCCATCATTGATGAGCTGCAATACATACTAGGCGATGCTAGAGGCCGTTCCAGCTCTGATGAGAAGGATTGATTCGTTAAGTAGGTAAATGTGACGATGGGAAGCAAGGATGAAATGATCGAGCATGAGGAACGTACCCACAGTCCCGCACTAAGAAATAATTGCCTTACATAAGCGGGGCCTCGACGTAACACTCGCCGATAAGATAAGCAAAGACCCGCCCCTCCCAAATCTGGATTTTTTTTTTGATCTGGATAGGATTGCCTGCGTCGCAGACTTCTGGTGCAGGTTCCTTTAAACACCATACATTCGCAGCACAACAATATCCACGATGAAGAGAAAAGCCGACGAGACCGCGACAGCGCCCGAGAGCGAGAAGCGCGCAAAGACGGAAACCTCTACACCCGAATTGTCCTTCTCCGATCTAGGCCTCGACACTCGATTGGTACAGGCTGTCGCCGCCGAGAGCTTCAAGGACCCTACCCCGGTGCAACAGAAGGCTATTCCATTGGCGTTGGACGGCAAAGATGTCGCCGCGAAGGCTCCCACAGGTTCCGGAAAGACGGCTGCTTACGTCTTGCCTGTGCTTTCGAGCATTCTGAAGCGCAAAGCTGTATGTAGCAGTGTTGTCATTGAATTAACTGAACCCTGCTTACCGCCGAAAACTTCAGACCGATTCTTCACCCGCTACGACCGCCCTGATCCTCGTTCCGACCCGTGAGCTTGCCGACCAAGTTCTCAAAGCGATCGAACAGTTCTCAGCATACTGCGCGAAAGACATCCACGCAGTCAAGCTTGTCGACAAGATCTCCGATGCGGTTCAGCGTTCCCTCCTCTCAAACTTCCCCGACGTCGTCGTCTCTACCCCCGCTACCGCATGGCGTAACATCACCTCCGAAGCGCTGTCTCTCGATAGCCTGACATGCTTGGTTCTCGACGAGGCCGATCTCATCCTGTCATACGGCTACGATGAAGACCTCGAGAACATCGCGCGAAAGCTTCCCAAGGGCGTCCAGCTCTTGCTGATGAGCGCGACGCTGTCTACAGATGTTACCGCCCTCGGAGGAATCTTCGGACGCAAGCCTACAATCTTGGATCTCGATGAGGAGGAAACAGAGAGCGACAATCTTTCACAATTCGTTGTCAGCTGCGGAGAAGACGAGAAGTTCCTGTTGGCATTCATCATCTTCAAACTGAAGCTTGTCAAGGGCAAATGTCTCATCTTCGTCAACGACGTTGACCGTTCATACCGCCTGAAGCTGTTCCTCGAGCAGTTCCAGGTCCGCAGCTGTATCTTGAACTCGGAGTTGCCCGTCACATCGAGAGCGCACGTGCTGGAGGAGTTCAACCGTGGAGTCTACGAGATCATCATCGCGTCCGACGAGAAGAGCGCAATGGGCGCCGAGGAGAAGGATGGCGAAGAAGGGGAGGCGTCAGAGCCAAAGAAGGACTCCAAGAAGAAGCGGAAGTCGAAGCGGGACGCAGAGTTCGGCGTTTCACGGGGTATCGACTTCAAGAATGTGGCTGCTGTGGTTAACTTCGACCTGCCGACATCAGCATCATCATACACACATCGCATTGGCCGTACAGCGCGCGCTGGCCGGACAGGCATGGCACTGTCATTCTACGTTCCTCAAGAGCTGTACCGCAAGCACGTGCCCACGAGCATAGAAACCGCGGAGAACGATGAGAAGATCCTCGCCAGGATCAAGAAGCAACAGGCGAAGCTGGGCAAGGAGGTGAAGCCTTACAACTTCAAGAAGGAGCATCTGGATGCATTCAGGTATCGTCTGGATGACGCCTTGAGAGCGGTAACCAAGGTTGCAGTTCGCGAGGCGCGTATGAGAGAACTGAAGCAGGAGATTCTCAAGAGCGAGAAGTTGAAGAGGTAAGTTTAATCAGATGACTGATGACTCGGCTCATCATGTTGAATACGGGCTTTGACTTGAACCTTGCTAACCAATCCCAGATACTTTGAGGAGAACCCGACAGAGTTGCAGCACCTCAGACATGACGGAGAGTTGAGAACAGCCAGGCAGCAGCCTCATCTGCGGCACGTACCCGAATACCTGCTGCCCAAGGAAGGCAAGGAATCGCTCACGAAGAATGACATCGGTATGGTGCCGTTCCGAAAGATTGGTGGAAAGCAGAGGAGGAATAAGAGCAAGCCCGGTAAAGGCAAGAAGGTGGGAACGAGAAAAGTCAATCCTCTGAAAACTTTCAAGGCACGGAGAAAATGAGTAAAAGCATCAATCTTTCTCGGGACCGGTGGACTGTAGATACTAATAGCGACTCCCATTGTTTCCTGACATGATTCCTACCCCGAACTACCTTAACTACTTAAGGCACATATGATATCGAGTCACTCGGCAACAGCATTTCCGAACTCTGGACGCATCTCAGTCCGCGTCATCATCGTTGCCGCTCCCAATGCGCCCTTCACCGCGCGGCTATCGTAGGGACGATCTGCGCGTGGGGTTATCGTCCGAGCTATGGCGATCTCATGTGATCGTGATAGCCTAGAAGTCTTCTTTTTTCGCATTCTCTGGTATTAACCCGATTGGCGTCTGGGCAAAGGGCAAATGAAGGACGGCTACGGTAAATATAATTAAGGTGCTCGAACTCTTGGTCTTTCGTTTCTCACTCCGTAGATGGCCTAGTTCGCACAGCCAAGTCTTGCGCTCGCGGCTCGGCCGATCTGACAAGAGAGAAATTCTCCCTGAAAGCCGAAGAAGAACAGAACACTGACCTGCCATTAGACCTGCTGCATGTCATCGGGGCGTGGTCCGAAGATGCTTCTAGTCGACGCTGACAACCCGGGGAGGGAAGAAATCGAAGGGGCGAAGGCCTGAAATGCTCAGACGGAGAGAGGCGCTGGAGCCACGCACAATGTGTTTCGGCACGAGTCGAAAAGTCATCCCATCTCTCGGCCATTGCGAACCTCTCTCACACAATCGCAGCCGCACTCGCTCCTCGGAACTGACGAATCGCACCTGGTTCCGAGAAGTCTCGGCGGTTCGATGCGAAGCTTGTGGCATCGCGGATGGTCCCGGAGCACGGATGGCGCACCCGTCGCAACTCTGGGGTCTTGAATCTTGGCTATCGCGGACACGCCCCGATGTGGAGGGCTTTGTTGGACCGTTGATGGATGTGTTTGAGGATGTTAGGTGGGAGGTTTGTGGGACGATGCTCTTGTTCGAGGCTAGCAAGCCAGGGGCACAAACACTTGACACAGCTACGAGTATACATCTCTCATGAGACGCATGATGTGGAGATAGTGCGAAGAGGTCCGAAGAAGCGGTCTGAGGTTTCCATGTTGTAAGAATGGCGGATGTAAATGTTGACGAGACACATGAAGAAATAATGACCAAAGATTCAATTCTGATAAAACCTGACACATACGAGAGTGAGCCGCGGCACAGCCTTCGCAAACATTATCCCGTCCGTTGAATTGACGTGATATCTCTTTAAAGTTACGAATGATCTGCCCGCCATCGCCGAAATAAAACCGGATTTAGGGTGAGCGGGTTGCGGAAGTTGCCAAAAGGTTAAAGCAATATTCGCCAGTTGGATGAACATATAGTACGAGTGCACGAATAGGAAGTCTTTCGCCGGATTCTTTGGAGAATTAGAGTTGGGAGTAGGCCGTGATCAGTCGTACTGACTGAGATGGCACCATACGGTGATCGGGACAATATTCGGTCAGGATATTTACGTATTACTTTATCAGCCTCGTGTCTCAAATAATCTTATAGTATTGCAATGAATTTCAGTTCGATGATCGTTATTAGTTTGTACGGACGCGTCATATCTTCCCGGATAGCCGGCACTATGGATCAACTTTGTCAAGCGGTGGCAAACGTCAAGTCTAGAGAAGAGCAACAAGCCTTTTTTGTAGGCGCGGATCCGTTTGGATAGATGCATACTTTAGATATCAAGAGTTAAACATGACTCCACGAAGTCCGTCTTTGTTATTTATCTATCCGCATACGTCTAAGAAGAATGTGTCTAAGGCCCCAGTCCCTTCTACGCTTTATGTCTATCCCAGTCTGTGTCTATCCCTGTCCGTGTGTACCCCAGTCTGTATCTATCCCTGTCCGTGTCTACCCCAGTCTATGTCTATCCCAATCCGTCTATGTTTAGTAGAGCTACTCTAGCATCATTCCATTTGTTTAACTCCATACCCATCATCCATCTCAGTACATTTCTCCATGTAGATCGTTAGTTTCTACATCGCCATGGGCTGATGTGATCCAGTGCCTGACACCGTAAATAGAGGCCTTGGTGCACCGCCATACTGACGATCTTGGGTAGAAAGTCTGACAGAATCTGCATAGTAAGCCGCACGATCTTACACTGCGGCTCTGGCCCTTCTTGGCCTGAGACCTTCCATTTTCCATCTGCCGGTAGCCAAAGCTTTCTTCTCGGTAAACCTCTTCTCGATAGCCTCAAGGCTGTGCCCTCGGGTCTCGACCATCACAAGGGCCACCACGACTGTGCAAACAAAGGAGCATCCAGCGAAGAGAAAGTAAGCCCCAAAGGTTGACTTTGATAACAAGACCGGAGTAGTTAGCGCAACGACATAGTTGGCAAACTGTAATATTGCCTGTCAGCATAATTCGGGCTTACACGGACTACAAGGGGAAAGAGACACCGAAACACAAACTTACCCAATTCGAGCTCTGTGCCAGGCTTGAGGCACTACTACGAGTCCTGGACGGCAGGCTTTCCACCATGAAAGTGCGAAAGCCAATGGCCCATGTTGTGCTGTATACGATGGCAAAGACATAGATGCATACAATGACGACCCACTTGCCGGCACCTGTATCAGCGTGAACTTCTCCAGCTGCATACAGCGAGCCCATTAAGACCATCAAAGCGGTGATAAGCACTCCTCCGAGCAGACTTGACGTCCTGCGGCCCCACCTGTCTGCTAAGAATGTCGCCGGAATGGTGGCTGCGAGAATCACCAGAGCTGAGACGCCAGATGCGAGGAATGTGGCTTCCTCGCCGCTCAGCCCGGCTTGAGTAAAGAGAATAGGGGCATAGTAGAGGATTCCATCTATACCGCTCCACTGCTGCATCCCAAGCAAGAAGCAGCCAAAGATGGTCCTGCTTCGGAAGGGTGCCGAAAAGGCTTCTCTGAACTCGGAGAACATCTGGCGTAGAGTTTCCAGCAGTGTAACGTCAGGTTTCTGCTCTTGAGCCTGGGCCAGGGATTGCTCCAGCAGTTCCTCACGCTCGCTTTGGTCAAGACCCAGGCGGTCCAATACGTCTCGGGCCTCTTGGATTCTTCCTTTGCCGAGAAGCCATCTGGGTGACGGCGGGACGATCCAGTACGTGCTCGAGAGAGCGAATCCCAAAAACGAAGCTACAGCCAGCGGCAGGCGCCATGCCAGGGATGAGACTTCGATACGCGCGGTGCCATAGCACATGAAGTAGCCGGTGACAATCCCAGTGACGATGGAAAACTGCGGCAGGGCAGTGATGATACCCCGGACCCGGGCAGGCGAGATTTCCGAGACTTGGACGTAAACGTTGCTCAGAAACATGCCCTCGCCGACGCCCTTGATGAGACGGCCCAAGATGAAGACGCCCAGGACGGGTGAAGCGCACTCGATGCCGGCACCGCAGCCATAGACGAAGGCGCCCATAGAGAAGAGGAGGACGTGCCCGAAACGGTCTGCCATGGCACCGGATACTAGAGCTGATAGGGCACCAGGGATGAGGACGGACGACACGATTACTCCGTGCATTGTGGGGGAGAAGTCGCCAAACGTGCGACGGAAGGACGGCATGGTCGTTACGGGGCCAATGCTTCCTGTATCGAGGCTTGATGGATTGGGCAGCATGTTAGCTAGGGGTGGGTTCGTCCGGGGTCTGGGTCTGAACAGTTTTGACGAAAGACGAAAGCGAGTTACGACTGCGAAGAGCATTGCAAGAGAATGGCAGTAGGTAGAGTAGTGTGGAAGAGTCAGACTCCCACGCCGGCGGGCGCAGAAGCTTTCTTGAACATACCCAAACAACATGGCAACGCATGATGCGACGATGCTTGCTCTCACATAGAGAGGAACAGGGAATAATGCCGCCATCTTTGCCACCGGCATTTTGAAATGGACTGGGGAAACCTTGACAGAGGGTTGTCAAGAAAAGAACAGAAACCCACACGGGTGGTTGGCGATGGTGTTTTCTGGAAGGATGTGGCTGATCTCCGCGGACTCCAAAATCTCTCCGTGGGTTGCAAAATTTGGCGGGGGGGCTTATCGTGTTCCCCACCTCAACTGTTGAATCGCCGGTGGCCGGGGAAAGCGTTTTCGGTCCCGGGTTGATATTTCAGTCTCCACTTGCCGGTTTTCGCGGTGCGCTGACTCGGGTGAGTTTGACGACCTGCGGAGTTCCACTTTTAATCCGACCTAGCTGACCAATGGCACAACACCGTGAGCGGGTAAGACGGTTGTGAAAGCATAGGAACCAGACGGTAAACTCGCCTTTGCCCCGCTTGAAATGCTCGCTATTGCCAAAGTCTATTAAGGTATGGTAGCTTTGGGGTAATATAACCGCCCGCCAGCCTTATTACGATTTTGATTACCTGCTGCTAGTGTAGCATTCAGCGCAGCACGCAGCGTTGGCACCTCTCAATAAACCCCTCCAGAGTTACTACGGCAAACTTCAATCGGTATCTTGGTTGAACATGTGATTCTAGCGAGAATGAGAATGAAATTGATGAGACTAGTTCAGCCCAGAGTTGCAAAGTGAACCATTATTGCTTAGCACTTTCAAGTGATGGGAGCAACGGGTACCCTAGTTATTCGAAACCGTCAAATACACACATAAAGTGGGCGATCAAGATCTCCTTCAAAGCTTGAGATATTAACACTATTTCTAGTGAGTTGAGCTCGATGATCCCGAGCTAGTTCCCCGTCGGTGGCTTGTGAAGTCCGTGGAGTGGAAACACGACTCCGGCAGTGGTTTAAGCTTCTTGAAAAGGTACGGGGCCTTTTCGGGTCCAGCTCTGATCACCTGAATGAGAAAAGCGTCAGTTGCCTATTGTGGCCACTATTTCGCTTTCGGAACGGCGTATTCCACCGGAGGCGGGCCGCCCATGCGCGAAGCACGTAAGCTTGATCCTCTCTGTGCACCAAAGCCTAGACTGATAGCTGACGGGGAAGAGGATTGAAACGTTGACGGGGTTTGGAACTTTGGAAGTTCGCAATCTTTTTACCACATGCAGAACACCCTAAACTAGCAGTTCTTCCCGCGCTTAGAGTTGAATTAGCTAGAAGCACGTTCCTGATAGTCGGTGCTACCATACCTTAGGGTTAAATGGCAGGCGTCGTCCGATGTCACGTACGGCGAAAATCTTGCCGTATACAGAAATTACAAATGGAACATTCTGGTATATCGTAATTAGGCTTATTTTTTTTACGTATTGGATGGTAACGACTTGTTACTGTAGGCCCGAGGTAATGGTATACGCTCGCAGAATATCAACTGACAGCGGCAAAACTCACTTCATCTCCTCCCCGTTTAGCAATGTTCGGGCTGACTGCAACACGTGTCATGCCATTGCTTGACTGTCGATCATACTTTTGTCGGGACCTTGCAGCTGGTGGGACGCGAACAGAAACTCGGGATTTAAACGACATACCAAATGAGTTGAGCAGAATCCACTCAACTGCGATATTCTCGTGCAATATTGAGGCGCTTCTCGGAATTGGTTTCGTCGTTGGGTTCCGTTATCTTCGGATCGCTAAAAAGACGCCTGCAGGTCTGGGTTCACGAGGGTTCTCTTGAAGGACAGGGATACAGATGCGAGATTGATACGAACCCACTTATCCGTGACTCGAGCGATGTGCTCGGAGGAATGCTCCGGATTCCTCTCGGCACGCCATGCGGGCCATTCTCTGGTTTCCCCTCTCTTCTTCCTGGGTACCTAGAGTCTCAGCATGTCCGAGAAAGAGAGCCCTGGACGGAAGCTTGGTGGTGCTCAATAAGCCAAGCTAGATGCTTTGCCAGGTGCTGCTATGAAACTGATGATATTCGCAGACTGTAGCTACCATTGGCTGAAGCGGCTAAGTCGTGAGGTGTTACGTAGGCAGGCCCAAACTGTCGGCAAAGAGAACACGCAATTACCAATTACTGCCCAGACATGAGCTCGTCAGCGCACCCAATGCACCGGTTCACTTCATCGCCAAGACAGACAACATCAGCCAAAAAAGGTGACCTGCCTCAATCTGCCGCCAGTCACAAATCGAAAATAGCTGAATTTCAGGGCGCAACAACCAGACAGTTCCACAACTATCGCAACAGTCCATCCGGGTGCGAACGGAGATCAACAGTCAGTGCTGTCGCTTTACAGATAATTAAGCAGAATAGTGAGATATACCAGATAAGACCGTGGCCAGGCAATGCAGAACAAGAGGGCTTTCCCCATGCAGCACTGCCCTTGCAACGACCGCAATCTTTGCTATGTGACGAGAAATATGCCAGTTCGAGGTTACACTGGGATGCGTGGAAACATGAGGAGATCCTCAATTCCGTGTAAAACGTGATGCATTTGTCGGTTTGCGATACGAACCTTTCCATGTCATAGACTGGTGATTTAGAGTTGCCTGAGAAAACGAGAGGAAGCTGATCGAGATCCAGTACTGACTTTGAATTGACAGCGCTGTATGAAACTCTTTGCAAAGTGATGACTGAGCTGAGCGGCTGTGACACACCTCGGCTCATGGAACGAACTGGCTGAGAATAAGGTAGCTTGCGAGAAGATTGGGAAAAGCTGAAACCCCAAAAACACCCATCTTTGGGGTCAGAATCATCCAATTTTGGCCATCAAGCTATTGCCAATGACAAGGTACGTGCAATTGACGGCACGGTTACTTCATAGTCCGACAAAAGTTCTACCAAGACTTTAATTTGACGAGGGAAACAACGAGGGTTCTAGATTTCGTGCTGTTGGCAATCATCCCCCATGGGAATTGAGTTTGGGACGAGCAGCAGCTACAGACGTGGGCCACGACAATGCCACAGAACAACGGGGATTCCTGTAGGGATCGTTCTCTATGGTAAAGCACACTGCACTCTGCTGTCAAAGTCCAATCCCGCAGAGAAGGACCCGGGCCAAGATGCCAATGTGCCAAGCCAGTTCCAAGTCGAAGACAAGACCTTTGACGGAAAAGCCAAGTCAAAAAAAGCTGGAGCTGAGATCTTTGGGTATAGCAAAACATCCACAAAATCGCTCGCATCACCCTTAAGGGGAATTCCTCGGTTGAGCCTCATCAGCCCCGATAATTGGCGGTTATGCCTTCAGCCGCTTCGTCAAGACGAGTTGACAGGTGCTTCTGGTTGCAAAGTACGAGGGATCTAGGGGTCTAAGCCGTGCGGAAGGCCGATTTTCACTAGTAAATCTCGATTATCGGGCATTTGTCCTCGTTTCAATGACCTCTCCATTCAAGTACGTAACAAGATACAGTGTGTTTTTCAACTTTACCCGCACACGCCATACAACCTGATTAAGTGACAGGGTGTGGGAGTTTACCTTGTGCCTTACTGGGATCCGCGATGAGGCCTCTGACTGGCTCTCCAACAATCTGGAACTTGCCCGCCGGACGCAAGAATAGGTAGGAGCTTCTTGGACACTTCCTCCACACGTTCGAGCGAGATCACTGAGTGCCACAGGTGGCCAGTTTCGCTGTCGCGACGTCGGGGACGAGGCACATCAGCTGAAAACTCTAAAAAGAAGAATTGTTATTCCCCCTCAACCCCTCTCCTCACTGATTCATTTGACCCCTGTCGACGCGAAGCAGTAGCTCCAATTGGTCCCACCGTAGCGGAAAACTCGGACAATTAGGTTCGACAGGACAGAACATCGGGAACTCACTTGGGAGGAGAAAGACGGGGCGAATGGCTCGTCCCCGTTGATACCACTTCCCTTATTCGAGAAATCAGCCCAGTCTATCCCACACCCGCCACACCCTCGGGTGGTCGGGTTCCAACATGTCGGCACCTTCCATAATACAATGGGGCAGCCTATATCAGCCCTGCTCATTATAGCTCATTATAGGAGAAACGGAATTAGTCCCATTTAAAACGGAGCTCTCAAGTAGTCTGGGGGCGGGGTCTAGACTTAGGGGTGCATGTGGGCACGAGAATGCTTTTTGATGCTTGGCAGATATTCTCGCGACGAGAGTCTGTGAGAAGGGCTTCATGGTGTTTCATCTGGAGAGGTAGAGGAATACTCGATCGTCCAAAGCGCTGAGTTGTCTAGTAAAATAACCACCGGCTTCAGTGATAGCTTTCGACAAACGCTATCGCCCCGCTGGCTTCCGACGTCTCGCAAACTTACGACTAACTAACTTTCCATTTGAGCAAGGACTTGACTCAAGACGAAGACTTCCATCGCGATGTAGTATTGCAAAGATACTCTACTTAAGCTCCGTCTACTCTACGACTTCAGCAGAACACTAAATTTCTAATGACGTTGAACTTGCGTTCTCTGTTTCTTTAGCTCCAGCTTCCCCATATATATTTAAGCTCGTCATACACACCCCTTCTTGTCTGTTTAAAGACATTAGGTATCTGCGGTTCACAATTTACTTTCTCCTCTTGGACGTCTTTATATCCCCAAGAACTGCCGGTCAAGACTTCTCTGTTCGGGTGGCATCCATTAAGCTTAGTGTGCAGCCTTAATTCAAGAAGACCGGATCTTCGTTCCTCAACTTGTCAAACAAGGCAATGTCGACGCAGACGCCCAGAGAAGATATCTCTCTTGTTTTCAACCGCAAGAGAAGAAAGGTCCGCAAATCCTGCAACGCTTGCAGCTCTCAAAAGATTCGCTGCGGTAAACAACGTCCAAAATGTCAGCGCTGCGAAACAAAGGGCCTCGAGTGCGCGTACAGCATGTCGATGCGTACTGGTGAGCGTCCTCGCGTTCTCGCCTCGCCAAGCTCGTTATCGGATACCCAGGCAACGATATCACTGGTCATGAGGGACGGTCCGGCACTGACCATGTCCAATGCATCTACTGTTTCTCAAATCTCACAACAGCAGCAGCAACAAGAACGCCGCATGTCAGAGCAGCCTTCGGAACATCAAACCGACCTCCAGGATGAGATGATGTGGTTGCTGGAAGGCACTTCTGATTCTGACAACCTCTTGGACCAGAGCCTTTGCTTTGATGCGGGTGCAGACTTTGGGGTCCCAATGACTCTGAACGACTTGTCTGCCGCTGCGACAAAGCATTCATCTGCGGCTATGCCGACTCCTATGACGCAGGAATATGACAAGACCTCCTTTTTGGACCAGCCCATAGACCACAAAATGCAACATTCCATGGATGCACCACTGAGACGCTCCGGTACAGTTGATTCAGCCCGCAGCAGCTCCAGCGCGTATTCCGACGACGGCCTCTCCCGCCATGGCAAGATCCACGACTGCACCATGGAGGTCCTGGAAATCGTCTCGGACTTTCATGTTCTCGCGCAAGGTTGCCTCACTGCCGTCAAGGACCCGGCGTGCACGTCCCATCTTGAGCGGCTACTCGACGACACCCCCCGGGAGATGGGCACCGTCTTATCCCACAACCGGGAGATCCTCCGCAGACTCAACAATCTTCTCGACTGCCGCTGCTTCATGAGACAGGAAGTGCTTGTTCTGGTGTACCTGGCTGTTTACAAGGCCTTGGGCTGGTATGCAGCCATCCTTGGCGACGACGGTTCGTCCCAAGACGCGGACCAATCACAATTTTCGCTCTTTGGACGCATAGCCATCACTACCTCGTTCGTCGGAAGTTACTGTCTGGACAATGAGGCGCAGCGACTGGTTGCCGCGCACCTGGTCCTGACGCACGTTCGCGAACACGTCGATCCTCTTATCAAGAGGTTGCGGCACTGGCACCCTTCTGCGGCCAGACACAACTCGTTACCATCTACACCGTCTTGTCCCGATGCAACCATCTGTTCGATATCTTTCACCGCCACCAAGGGACGCATGTCCAGTGTTATCGAGCAGCACCACCAGGCACTCCAGGAGGAACTTGAGCGAATTACCTTCAAGGCAAACAGTATCAAGCGTACATGATTTCGTATTCGTTTTCTTTTATCTGTCTTTCTTACTTTTCTTTGTCTGCAACATCCGGGGTTTAGATGGGACATGGGGGTTTTTGGGTAATTTCACAACTTAGGAGGTACTTTATGTAACTTTCCGGTCCGTCACATTGAAGCGAAACACCAGAAGTGTAGAATTAGGTGTCACATCTTATGTTGGTATCAAACCAGCTTTCAGGCATTAGTAGCATTTAGTGGCTTTTAGGCACAGCATTTCTAGGATACCAGCTTTAGAGATACCCAGCTTTACGAGCCTCTCGCTCAATTTCGTAATGCTCTCTATCTGTTGCTATGGAATATCTACGGATATGGAAACGGCCAAGCTCAACAAAGTCCTCCTCACTCCAATGACTCATGCTAGGCTTATGTCGATGAGAGAAAGTTCCCCAAGCTCAGGGCGGAATACTGTCTTTACTTGAAGCTTAGGCGTCACCGCACTGCAGAGGTTCTCGAATGCAGTTCTCGTCCGCTCGCGACCATTAAGGTTCATCAACATCAACAAATCACGGTCACTAAAGCTTGTAAATACGAGTTCTGCCAGGTTAAGACATGAAAGGGGCGAAACTTACTGCATTCTGCGCTCTCTCTCACGGCTCTCTTGTCCCGGCTCGGGGACCACCACATCGTTAATGATGATGCGGTCTTGAGGTCTCAGAGACGACGCTAGACTCTGAAGAATATTTTGGGCATACTTGTCGCTCCAGTCGTGAAGAATGAAACGACAGAAATACGCAATGCCTTCTCCATCTGCAACCTTATGCTCAGGCTGAGGCTTCATGAAGTCGTGGGGGCGGAAAGTGACGCGGCTCTTCAACCCCTCGGGGCAGGACTTGGCCCCAACTTCGACAGTCTCGGGCAAGTCTTGTACCTCGAACTGGAGCTTGGGGTACTTCTTGGCCAGAGCCATGGAGATGTGGCCAGGGCCACCGCCGACATCGACAATGAGACGGATGTGGTCCTGCTCCAGCAAGTGCCAGGGGTATCCGCCGTCAACAGCGTGACGTAGGTCGTAGGCACCGCCAACCGCAATGCCGCGCATGGCGCGAGCGAACATGTCGTGTAACTGCTGACCATCTGCTTCGCGAAAGCGCTGGAATTGGGAAATATTTCTGCCAATAGAAACTCCATAGGCAGACTCATTCGCCTCCATGCTGTAGCCGTAGTTTTGTAGGGCTTTGGGGACAGAAGCTCCAGCTGGGTAAGCGATGGTGGCACTCAGGTCCATCCATGCTTCTAGGTCAGGGTCTGTCACAAGCAGCGCAGACATGGCGTTGTGGGCGACAGTACCGCCTGGCCGGGCTTCGAACAAGCCATAGGAAGATGTGTGCTGGAGAATGCGTTCGACGAGAGCAGGGGTGACCTCGGGCTTGCTGACGGCTTCAGCAACAGCTGCGTATGCTGTGCTCCCTTCAAGTGGGATGTGGCTGGCAAGCTTGTACTTCAGAGCAATTTGCAGAGAAGCTGTCGCGCAGTGCTCGAAGCTGAGAGTGATCAGGGTATCTCTAGGTCCGCGGGCAAGACGGACAATACGCTCTGCCGCATCAACTATTGATGTCTTTGCTTGAAAATAAGGTAGATTCTCGGGAGTGAGTTCGAGACTGGGTGCAGCGGCTTCGGTGAAGAGCTTCTCAAGACCCCGCTTGGACAGAAACTTGTTCAGCTCGGCCGAAGCAGATGAAAGGGTTGCGACAAGCTCAGTGAGCTCGTCTTCGGCAATACGGCTAGGCATGTTGATGGTTGGCGGATAATATGGGATGAGATATCAACTGAGATTGATGTAATAACAACAACAGAGGCTTATGAGTTGAGGCTAATTTGGTAGAAGTGCACGGTGTGACACAACGCAAGGCGTGGCGGTTGATGTTCTTTAAATCAAGACCGTTTGGGAATGAATGCCAATCCGCATCGCTATTTTTGCAACGCCGGCTTCCCGAGTTGCTTCACCGTAAGCCGGGCATCCTCAGGAATGATTCAAGAGTCTGATTCGGTGCAACGCCTTGCGAAGGTTCTAAGTGCCAAGGCTGACAGAAAGCGCCGGTGGTGAATTGCGTTTTCCTGGGGGGGAGCATTCCGGACTGGAGGTTGGAACAAGCTTGGACATGGGGTAAATGATCACCGACCGTTTCTGCTGTCATGAGTGGAACCAATCAAGGCGATTTAAGGCGCCATTTGCTAACCAAAGCTTAATGAATAGAGTTTATGAAAGCGGGACACGTCTTAGTCGCCGGGATCGATGATCCCCGGCCCAGTCCACAACGTTCGGACGAATCTTTGTATTAGGACGGTATTCCTAAACCCGGGATTTTGACAAGATACCCGATCACGTTTATGCAATTACCCATATGAGTGTTGATGTCGGCGTTTATGTCGGGTCTCGGATTTTCTTCCACGAAGTGAAGTTGCCGGCTTTCCTCAATTGAATATGTCTGATATTCGATGACGTTCACCTTTTCCATAATCATGACGTTCACGTCGTGGTTGCGAGCTCGTTTGGAAAGTCGGTAATGGGTTGGTAATTGTCGCCACTGTCTACAGATGTTTCTACAAACATCTGGTGAACATGCCAAGCATTCGTCCCTAGTGTTGCCCCTGTGCCGGTGGGAAGCTTCTCAGCTTTCTCAGCTTAAGATATTCTTGGGCACTTTTAAGATGCGTAGAACTCTTTACAGCCCAGAAATTAGGGGCACGTAAATAGTGCCTGTACGAAAAGTTAATATTGTACGGGCGCGCAACGATTGGCAATTTGCACAGCGTCCCAATTCTTATGTCCGCACAAGCGAACCGACCACTCACAGCGCTCGTATTGTCGCAACATGAACCCCCGGCAGCGTTGTGTCATGGTGTAAGAAATCATGGCTATGAGTAACGCATGCCGTGTCTAAATGCCGACCTACCGAGATCATCTTTACATACTTTCTGACTGTGCAGCACTGCTCAGGTCATGAGTGCCGATAATTGGACTACTGTCCGGCAGATCCCTCTCGATCCATCGTTGAGGAGTGTCATAACGATTGATGAAGGTGCAACGAATCGGTCTAGACAAAGAAAACGAGGGAAGAAAATGCTGACCATGATTTAATTTACTTCGTATCAATCTGTACTTGGTCTTAAATCTTAGAAACCTGTCCATGGCTCACATTCTTCCAATGACCGAAGCCCAAACATCTTTTTTGAACCCACTTCACTCTGCAGAATACTTCGGTGGGCACGTTTCCTCATGCCCTCTTCAAATGCCCCAATGTCTTCGGCAGTAGGGGATCCCTGGGCCGCGGCAATTGTCTTCGCAAGACTGGAAGCGTCGCAGATTGCCGTCTGCGCTCCTACTCCACCACAGGGACTCATTGGATGAATGGCATCCCCGAGTAGGGTCGCCATAGCAGACGGTGACCATGAAGGAACGTTAGGCACAGAGGACACGACGCGAATCAGAGTCGCTTGCCTCGTATCCTGTTGCTCAAACACTGATCGAATGGAGGGATGCCACTCTTGCGTGATGGACAAACTCAGATGAGCTGCCTCGGTCGCTGCCTGCGCGGAGGTCGAGCTGCTGACCTTGGATGTCGAAGTCTCTCCATCTAGACGGAAACGGGCTTCAGGTCCAATGAGAGCCCAGTAAATGTAGTCGGCAGGAAGCTGGTGCTGAGACCGGTTTACTTCGCTGAAACGGATTGGCTCCAAGAGTAAAGTAACCGGCGCATCTCCAATGATGCAGGATTGCAGCATGGGTGTCTGGTCAGATACGATGGTCATCCATCTCATGCCCTTTTCGGGGAATTTCTCGAGTACCTCAGGTGTCATTGGAGTTTTCCCGTAGATACAGGCGGCTCCGGTGTCTCGGATCTTGTGGCTGGGGACAAGATTACGACGGACAACCGAGTGCAAGCCATCTGCACCAACCAGGAAGCGGCCCTCCACTGAGTCACCGTCTTTGAAAGAGACAGTAACAATGCCATGATCCAAATCTGTCTTGTAAGATGCCAGCTCCTTGCTGAACTGGATACGGTCCTCAATGCCTGTCATCATTGCGGTGCGGAAAGCAGCCCTGTCAACGCAGTAGCTAGGGTGAAGGCCAAGCTTTCCGCTCAGCCCTCCGCCCGAACGACTGTTGACCACAAGACCTGTGAATGGATTAAAGTCGGTTTCCCCGATGGCGAGGGTGGCGCATGATGTCTGAAAAGTTTGATAGACTTCCTCGGGCAAACTCTCGGCCAGTGCGACGGCAGCGTCTCTGCGAAGCTTCAGGCGGTATCCCTGAGGCCGCGAATCAACAGCGGGATCTCGTTCAAATACCCGGAAGGGAATGTTGTGCTTTTTCAAGGCCTGGGCCAAGCACAGACCGCTGATACCGGCGCCCATGATGAGGACTGGCTGCTTTTCCGTGGCTGGCATGATGGGTTTCTTAATCTGGATGAAATCGTTGGGGCTGCCGGGTGCGGAAGACTGAAGTTGGACGGTCAAAAGCCCCATGACGCTGTCGTCTGGTTGACGCGAATGCTCAATCTCCATCCCCACGTCATGGAGCAGTGCTTTCCAGTTTTCTAACTCTCGCTCTCTGGCGTTGAAAACCTGCATCATCATGAGGTCTCTAACTCTCAGCTGCTGCTCATGCTGCAGAGTCGTCGACCCCGGGGGTGGCAGAATCGTGTCCATGATGACGATGCGAGCTTTAGGGTTTCCTTCGAGTGCTGTTCGAAGGTTTTGCAAGATGATGCGAGCATCTCTGTCAGGCCAGTCGTGGATGATCATGCGAAGGAAGTAGACGTGGGCATCCAAGACTGTCTGAGGCTTGAAAAAGTCCGACGACATGAACTGGATATGCGATTTGACTGCTGGGTCGATGCTAGTGTCGGCATCAAATGCCCGTTGAGCAGTCGCGACCGTCTCTGGTAGATCTTGCACAATATACTTCAAGTGTGGAAACTTCGAGGCAACGTGGACAGCGAGCTGGCCGTGAGAGCCGCCCACATCGACGACCTTTGCGCCTTTTGGAAGCGAAGCCCAGTCGAAACACTCTAGAGCATGCGCTAGACTCCAAGGCCGGGAGGCTGTCACATTGCGCATATAGCTCGAGAAAACAGATGTGAGGTCTGGATTTTTTCGGATGTGGTCGAAAAATGGATCTGTGGTATTCTCGGCAACGTTGAAAGCTGTTTGATTCTTGGCGTCTGTGTCACCCCAGCGGCGAGTTGCTTCAGGAAACTTGTATGCCACTGGCATGGAATAGTTCATCATCCAGCGGGCCCAGCTCATGAAGTTCTCGTCACGAACAAGCAAAGCCGACGACCGGCTGTGTGCAACGTGACCGGATGTGGGTTCCTCCAAGAAGCCGTTGAGCACAGCCATCCGAGCAACACCTTTGAGGTGCTTTTCAGGAACGCCTGCTTTGGCTGCCAATACTGGGTATGCAATCGAGCCGTCTCGGGGGAGGTGTTGCAGAACGTCGAGATCCACGAGCCATCGGACGCAAGTCAATTCTTGGTACTATGAAAAGTTATTGTCAGCTAAGAATGTTAATTGCGAAGGATATCGTAGAAGCTTACGCCATTGGCCAGGTGGTCAAGGTACTCTTCGGGCATGGTCGCCAGCTGGAGAAGCTTCATTGCCGACTCCATCAGCTTCTTGCGTGGATTATGAACAGCCTTCGACTTATCCTCGAAAGGACTGGCCCCAATTGACCCATTCTCTGATTGTCGAAGAAGTTCGGTTCCGTGAGATGCAATCGAGTCCAAGGAAGATCTCAGTTTCTGATAAAAGTCCATCGCGGCGAGTGTTTGAGCAACTCTGGCAGCTTGAGAAGGTCAATGGGCTATGCTGAAAGAAAATTGCTACTGCATCACGCTGGTCACCTGCGACTGGGCTGAGGGATTGGACGATCTATGTTTTAAAGCAGCCTGTTACTTCTTAACCCGGGCAATTTGACGATCTACATTGTATGGGGTTTGGATTCAATCTCTGAGCGCCAAGACAAAGCTTCCCGAGACAGCTGCACAGGGCGATCCGCGGTTCGCTAATCAATCTAGTTGTGTGCCGCGAGTCCGAGCTGATGGGTGGCTCGAGGTATACTTACCGTTAAAGAGACGGTAAACGGAGGCTCGCCAATCACGTAGAGCCAATGACCGGGACAAGTGGAACCCGACGGTGTAGGTTCCCGATGTCGTCTGGACAGTGAAACTCGCGAATGCCCAATTTCGATTTCCCGGTGAACACAAACTCAACAGATATCGAGTGGAAAGAAGTTCTGAACTATCGGAGATCACTTCAAAATAAATTTACATGACGAAGTTCTGATCGGGCTAAGTTCCGCCGAATCGTAAACTCATTCCATGGCTTGCCCCTTGCCGACGAGCTTGAAGACTATGATGTTCGTGTAAATCAGTTGTGTAGAAGAACGCTTGCAGAGACAAAAGCAGATGTTCCAGGTAAGAGGAAATCCCGAACCTAACTCGCGGTGTCTGAGAATCTCCCGTAGAGGGAAGCCGGTCTATAGCCAGGGAGGAGCCTATACCGGTATGACATCGGAGAATGTTCTGCGTGCTGCGTGGAGGGCGCCGAGTCAGTTTAGCTTACCTTTTTTGACAGATTACTTGCTTCCTGCATGGTCTGAACATTGTAAAGATTGAGTTGGGTGATGTAACCCACACGTGTACAGAAAGTTGAGTTTGGCGCTTCTTTCGACTGAACAACGATCCAGAAGATTTACTAGTCGATTTCGATCCACGTTAGCTAGGCTCGTGTTCTATTTGTTACAGATGTTGTAGTATGACGCCGTAATATTGCTCGTGCTCCTCGATTCGGGTGGGATAAGGTGATATTGCAGACATCGAGATTGGTGATGGACCATATGATAGGAAGTGTTTACTACCTGTGTGGAATAAGGTAGGCAGCACTTACACATTCCCGAGCGGACCCTAGATCCACTGTGTCTAACCGTTCTCCTGTGCCAGACAATAATGTCTCAGATGGTGATCAAACGGCAACTTACCGGCCTAATCGAGATATCTCATAGCTGCTAGGTAGCAAATTTACCTGTCCCCGAGATGACACAATGTCTCCGTGCCTTACCAAGCCGCCGGTTCGCAAGCCGCGCTGCTAATCTCGCCTGAACGGTGATAGGCCAAGTCTGGCAACGCCGTGGCTTGCTATGAGAGACAGAGGAAGGAGGAATACGAGCTTTCCTTTCCCGGCCTATACGATTACCGATCGGGACATTCTGCAACGATTATGACGAGGCATCATGACGATTGGGATATAACTTGACCAGCTTGGCAACCTCGTATATCGTTCTTGGAAGCACACTCAACTGCACAGCCTCTTCTACACTCAACTGTACTCGGCCTATCATTCCCTGACCAACGACCTTCATTGAACTCTCGATCTGATTTGTCGATTTCATCTGAACCATTCCTATTATCACCAAGTCTTCCTTCTAGCTTGGCAACTATCACACAGCCTTGTTCTATTTTCAACTCAGACTCCTCCAACATGTCGGGTCAAGATCAAGTACTCGCCTACGTGTTTGGCGACCAAACGCATGACATCGCAGACACACTGCGCAGTCTGGTACAATCACACCATGATCCACTCGTGATCGACTTCCTCGAGCGAAGCTGTGGAGTGCTGAAGCACGAAGTTGCCCGCCTATCCCCAGAGCAACAGGCAAGATGCCCACGCTTCGCCACCTTGGCAGATCTCCTGTCACCGTATCGTTCTGGCACCCTCAACCCCTGCCTTGTCCAAGCCTTGACATGCATTACACAACTTGGCCTCTTCATCCGTCAACACAGCAGCGGGTGCCAAGTCTATCCCACACCTGAGAACAGCCTTCTGGCGGGAATCTGCACCGGTGCCTTGGCTGCTGCGGCCGTGAGCTGTGCTCATAGCGCCCCAAGCCTTCTCTCACCGGCCCTTCACGCCGTTGCTGTTGCCGTTCGCCTGGGCGCGCTCGCATGGGACGTCGCTGATAGAATCACCAACAAGCATGAGATATCCGATTCTACCATCACGTTCGATTCGTGGTCCCGCGCTGTGACTGGATCGAGCCCAAAGATCCTCGCCGACGCCCTGCTGCAATACGCCGCGGAGGCTGGCTTGCCCGTGACGACTACCCCTTACATCTCAGCCGTCATCGGGCCTAATCAAGCAACAGTCTCTGGACCGCCTGGAGTCCTCTCCAACTTCTTGTCTTCGGCCATCGGCAAGTCCGTTGCACCTGCGTCAGCCTCGCTGCGCATAACTGCCCCGTACCACTCTGCACTATTCTACAGTGAGCATGACATCGAGCAAGTTCTTGCTGGTGTCCCTCAATGCGGCTCACTGGCTCGTATTCACGTCATCTCCACTAGCACGGAAGGCCAGGTGCTCTCCCCCACCGCAAGCATTCGCGATGCGCTGGAACAGGCTGCCCGCGACTGTCTCGTCCGAGAGATGGCGCTGGAGCAATTGCCAGTCCGTATCGCTGAGCATGTTAGACGTTCCACCAAGCCGGCGACGGACAACATCACGGATGTAATTATTCAGCCTTTTGCCTTCCACAGCACGGATCGCTTGGTCTCCCCTGTTCGGCGACTACTGCCATCAGACTCCTACTGTGTACAAGAGAAGTCTCCTCTGGCCACAGAGGAGCTTGCCTCGCTCGCCGGCAATGGTGCACTCGGTGCCAATGGCGGTGCTTCCAAGTCGCCCATCGCCATCCTTGCGGCTTCTGGAAGATTCCCTGGCAACGCTGACACTATGGACGCCTTCTGGGATATCCTCCACAAGGGAGTCGATACTCACGAGATGGTCCCTGCTTCCCGGTGGAACGCGTCTGCCCATGTTGGCGACACATCTGTAAAGAACGTCTCTGGCACAGGCTTTGGCTGCTGGCTGCATCAAGCGCCGCAGTTCGATGCCGCCTTTTTCAACATGTCCCCCCGTGAGGCCGCTCAGGTCGATCCCGCCCAGCGTCTGGCCCTCCTTACTGCCGCAGAGGCTCTCGAGAAGGCCGGAATCGTACCCAACCGTACTCCGTCCACCCAGAAGCACCGCGTCGGTGTATGGTTTGGCGCCACCAGCAATGACTGGATGGAGACCAACAGTGCGCAAAATATTGACACCTACTTCATCCCTGGCGGTAACCGTGCTTTCATCCCTGGCCGCATCAACTATCACTTCAAGTTCAGCGGACCCAGCTACACCATAGACACTGCTTGCAGCTCTAGCTTGGCTGCCTTGCACCTGGCATGCAATGCTCTGTGGCGCGGCGAGGTTGACACCGCCATTGTCGGAGGCACCAACGTTCTTACCAACCCAGACATGACGGCTGGGCTGGATAGGGGCCACTTCCTCTCCCGCACTGGCAACTGCAAGACCTTTGACGATGATGCTGATGGATACTGCCGCGGCGAAGCAGTCGTCACTATCATTCTCAAGCGACTAGATGATGCCCAGAAAGACAAGGATCCTATTGAGGCTTGTATCTTGGGCGTCGCCACGAATCACAATGCCGAAGCAGAGTCCATCACCAGACCCCATGCCGCTGCTCAGAAGGACCTCTTTGAGCATATTCTTGCCGAGACCAAGGTCAGCTCCAACGACATTAGCTACGTAGAGATGCACGGCACCGGCACGCAGGCTGGCGATGCAGGAGAGACTACTTCTGTCGTGACGACCCTGTCTCCGTTGACGGCCCGCGGTACCTCGGTTCGGCCAGCCACTAGTCCTCTTCACATTGGTGCTGTCAAGTCTAATGTCGGCCATGGCGAGGCCGCTGCTGGTGTCACCAGTCTTGCCAAGGTCCTCATGATGATGAAGCATTCGACTATTCCTCCCCACATTGGCATCAAGACCAAGATCAACCACAAGCTGCCTGACCTTCAGGCCCGCAACACGCGCATTGCTACTGTCGCAACTCCCTGGGTTCGACCCGAGAATGACAGCCGAAGAGTATTACTGAACAACTTCTCTGCCGCCGGCGGCAATACCGCTATCGTCCTGGAAGACGCTCCCGTCTTTGACACTTACACCGGCCCTGACCCGAGACGCCATCACGTCGTGACGCTCTCTGCCAAGACTGGCGAATCATTAGTCTCTAATATCGGCAATCTCATTCAATGGCTTGACGGTGCGGCACCGCGCGAAGACCCCAATCTCCTCGCAAAGCTCTCTTACACCACCACCGCCCGCCGAATGCATCATCGGTACAGAGTCGCTGTGACTGCTACCAGCATTCCTCAGCTCAAGTCATCGCTTCAGAAAGAACTCGATGCCCGCAGTGGCGGAGAGAAGATTCTACCTGCACCAGCCAAGACTCCCGGTTTTGTGTTCACCTTCACAGGCCAAGGCTCCCCACATGCCGGTATGGGTGCGGACTTGTATGCCCGGTTTGCTTCCTTCAGAAACAATTTGCAGCGCTACGACCACTTGTGTGTCCAGATGGGCCTGCCTTCCATTCTTCCTCTCTTCGAGGAGCGGGATTACTTCAGCCGCGCTTCACTTACTGCTCTGCAGTTGGCACATGTCTCTTTCCAAATGGCTCTTTGCAAGCTTTGGGAGTCCTTTGGCATCACCCCCAAGGCCGTCGTCGGCCACAGTCTTGGAGAGTACGCCGCTCTGTACGCCGCCGGGGCTCTCTCTCAGGCCGACGTTCTCTATCTTGTCGGCAAGCGATCCCAGCTGATGGAAGAGCACCTTGCCCAAGGAACGCACGCCATGCTCGTCGTTATGGCTGAAGAAGCGACAGTTTTGGCTGCCATTCCTGGTGTCGTTGGTCGCGACCTCGAGGTTTCGTGCCGCAACAGGAAGCACAACATTGTCCTCGGCGGAACCATTGCGCACGTCAAAGAGGCCCGGACCATCCTTGAGTCTAAGGGCATGCGCTGCCACGTCCTCGATACTGCACACGCTTTCCACACTTCTCAGGTCGACCCTATCCTTGCTCAGTTCCGCAAGATTGCAAAGGGCATTCACATTCGTCGACCTTTGATCCCTGTCATCTCGCCTACTCTGAGCAAGGTCCTTCGTGAGGCCACTGATTTCAGTGAGGGCTACTTTGTCGAGCATTGCAGAAAGCCGGTCAACATCATGCAAGCCGCATCTGTCGCCAAGACAGAGGGCATTCTGGATGAGCGCACCATCGCTATTGAGATTGGTCCCGCGCCTGTAGTTGCTCCCATGGTGAAGGAAGTTGTTGGATCGACGATGCACACGTTCGCATCTGCACACAAGACTATTGATACTTGGCAGTTGATGACCGATGCCTTCTCCGGAATGTACGCGGCTGGTGCCAATATTGAATGGTCTAGATACCATGCCGACTTCCCCGAGTGCCAGAAGGTTCTCCAGTTGCCCTCTTACGGATGGACTCTCAAGGAGTACTGGATGCAGTACACCAACGACTGGAGTCTCCGCAAGGGCGATGCTGCCGTCATTATGGGACCCGCTAACTTGGCCTTCTCTTCGATTTACAACGTGGTCAAGAACACTCTTCAGCCAAGCTCTGACGGAGAGGTGGTTGTGGATCTTGACCTCAACGCGGACGACGTGCACTCTATGGCTCAAGGCCACAAGGTGTACGGCGTACCTCTTTGCACCCCATCCGTCTACGCCGACATTGTCCAGATGATTGGCAAGTACGTCAAGCAAATCACTGGCATGGACGTCGACGCAGTCGGAACAGAGGTGGCAGAGATGCATATCCAAAGCGCTCTCGTCGCCAACGACGTCGGTCTCAAGCAAGTCCTGCGCACTCAGGCCAAATTTGATGCCGCCAAGAAGACCCTGTTTTGCACTTTCTCCACCATCGACGGGAATGACAAGGTCATGGAGCAGCATGCCAACTGTTCGATCCGCTTCGTTGAAATCGACGAGACCAAGTCTCAGTTCGCCCAGGCTGTCTCGGATGCACAGGTTCGCATGAAGGTCATTCAGGCGCAGGTCGGAGAAGACTACAGTACTTTCCGATTCAGCAAGTCGATGATTTACAAGATGGTTGGTCAGCTTGCCGATTTCGACCCCAAGTATCGTGGCCTATCTGCCATCACTCTCAGCAACAACACATACGAAGCTGCTGGCACCGTGTCTTTCAAGGGCATCCCTGATAACGGGAAGTGGTTCTCCAATCCCGCCTTCCTGGACTCCATCTCTCAACTGGCCGGCTTTGTCATGAACGCCAATGAGTCTGTCGATCTTGACAAGGAGCTCTTCGTCAACCACGGATGGGAGTCGATGAAGCTTTTTGCCCCCAAGTTTGATGCCAACATGACTTATCACTCGTACGTCAAGATGACTGAGGGTAAGGACAAGCTGTGGTCCGGAGATGTGATCATCTTCGATCAGGAACAGAACCTCGTTGGCATCCTTGGCGGTGTTGCTCTGCAAGGCGTTCCGAAGCGCCTCATGGACTACATTATCAACTCAGCCATGAAGAAGGTCTCCGGTGGCTTCTCATCGGTAAAGACTCAACCGCAACCACAACAGCCCCAGGCGATTGTTACTTCAGACATGAAGGCAACTTTCGGAGACATCTCCCTGGCTGAGGCTCAAGCTGCTCCTGCTCAGCAGCAAGCCGCTGAAGACTCTTGGCCCGTGGCTCTCAAAGTCTTGGCTGAAGAGAGTGGTCTCGACGAGAAGGAGCTTGCCGATGATGTCGCCCTCGCTGACATTGGTATCGACTCACTACTCTCGCTTGTCATCTGTGGCAGACTGCGCGATGAGCTTGATATTGACCTACCCGAGCGCGCACTGTTTGAGGAGTGTCTGACTGTGGGCGACATCCGGATGCGTGTGTCTGGTACCGCAGTATCTTCGACTGAGTCTTCTAGGCAGGAGAGCGACATCACGAGCGTTGAGTCGGACACCGCGTCATCGGTCGGCTCGCCAGACCTTGACAACTTGGCATCGCCTTTCTCGGCTGCTATGACGCCAATCAATGGGTTTGAGACGCCCGGTTCTTACTTCGAGGTCATCGACATGAGCGCCGGAGACTTCAAGGGCAAAGCTGTTCCGTCGACTCCTGTTGTTCCTACAATCCCACCCGCATGGTCGATGTACCTGCAGGGCTCTCGGACGAAAGCCAAGGAGACTCTTTTCCTCTTCCCGGATGGTTGTGGAGTCGCCACTTCATACTTGAGTCTTCCTACTATCTCGCCGACTACAGCCCTCGTTGGCTTCAATTCTCCTTTTGCAAAGTAGGCAGCAACGCAGTCTTTTCTATTACACTGATTCAATACTAACAAGTCTCCCTTCTAGGACTCCCAGCCGCATGTACGATCACACTCTCCGCGAAGTCCTGCAATCTTACATTGCCGGCCTCCGTCAGAAGCAAGCACGCGGCCCCTACCGCCTAGGCGGCTGGTCAGCCGGCGGCATCCTCGCCTACGCGGTGACTCAAGAACTCATCGCCGCCGGCGAGGAAGTCACTTCCCTTACCCTCATCGACTCCCCGCCTCCCAACAACGGCCTAGACCACCTGCCCGACAGGTTCTACGACCACTGCAACAAGGTTGGCATCTTCCGCAACGAGATGCGTCGCGGCGCAGAGCAGTCGGAGCCGCCCGAATGGCTTATGCCGCACTTCCGCGCCTCAACTGAGCTCCTGCACGACTATCACGCGCCCGCCATGTCACCTGAAGCCGCATGGAAGTTGCATGTCAACATCATTTGGGCTGGCGAGTGCGCTTTCGATGGGGTGCGCTACCCGACTTTGCCTCCTGCCATGATGGAAGGCGAAGACTGCGAGGGGATGAAGTTCCTCACTGAGAAGAGGAAGAACTTTGGGCCTGGGGAGTGGGCTTTGCTATTCCCCGGTGCTTCGATTACGACTACGGTCATTGAGGGGGAGCATCACTTCAGCATGATGCGTGGTAGCGGTGCAGACAGATTGGTTGAGTCTATCAGGCGGGGCCCCTAACTTTTCCTTGATTCGATTCTTGTTCTTTACTATAGTTTTTCCTCCGGCGTTCAGGATGGCGGATCTTTGATTTGAAGCGGCGTACGGTTGGCATTCGCGAGGCAACTTTGAATTAGCAGAATCGTCGATTTGATACATGATCGATCACATCACAGGCTTGGACTTTCTTTTGTAGAGCATCAGACTTTCATGTAATTACAATCTAGAATTTGTTTTCCCTTTTCAAATCAGTCTTCTATCTAGAAATTCAAAGGTTCATACCATGTGTCTCTGGTATTGAATCTCAATTTGTAACGGTGTCGCGATCGATCATCGACGTCCTATCTAGGATAACAACACACCCCAGGGTAAAATCAACTGTGTCGAGATGTGACTCTAATCGATCAACGATCTGTTTTTTTTTTTTCATGACGATCCTGCGAACGTAGATGATGCATTCGTTATCGACTGTCATTAACTTCCCAGTCTTAATTATGAAAGTAAGAATGGCACACTCGCTACTCTCAAACATCCCCGTGGGGAGGGTAGTCCGCGACGCTAACTGACAGCAACTCTATCCCAATTAAGACTTGGGAATACTCGTATGCACAGAGTTTCATAACGCGACAGCACAGATGGCAATGCTTACATGTACTTTCGGGTATTCAATCCGAATTCGGACTCACCTCGGGCTTTCGCGATGCCGAATTGGGATCGTGTCCATAGATCATAATTGTTGGAACAGCAAAGGCTGATAAGGAGTAATAGGCAGGTACCATGGGCTGGCTGGCACCTGCCCTGGGCGAAGTGGGACAACTGGCTTAGTCATCACGGCCGGATAAAGGTGGGGCAACCACCCAGGCCGTCACTACCTACTTCGACCGACTCCTGCCTACAATGTAAGATAGAACAACAACAAGAAGAACAAGCAATAGGATCACCAACAGACGAGTGATAATTGCTACCACTATTTGTCGTATACGACCCCGTGAACCAACAATAATGAACCTTTAAGCCTTTCTGAGGTGGCGGGAGTAGGACCAATCCGAGTACGATCAATACGAAACAGTTTAGCGGGATTATGGCTAGAAGTGTAAATCGAACCATAAATTGTTAATTAGCACACCATTCAACTCCATTCTAATCACACCGATTCAGTCACTATTTGAGCCATAGCAGCGAAAATGGAAGTTCGCTCGACTTTACTCAATTCTGGTAGTAGCTAAATATACATGCACAACTTCTTCCAACCTTGATGCCCATCGCATCCTTAAGACATGTAATAAGATGTAAGGAAAGAAATGTTATTGAGAAACTCTACACCTTCTCCAAGTCTAATTAGAGATGTGCAGTCCTTAGTCGCCGTCATCACTTGAGATCAGACCTGACTCCTCCGGTGCTCGGCACCGGCAGCTTGAACCCACCAGGGACTTGCTTCTGGAAGACCTGGCGCGGATCATACTTCTCGCTCGTTGCAAGAAGCTCTTGCAGAGTACTCTTACTCCGTCGCTCAATGGGATTTTGCCAGCTCTCGGCGTATGTTGCCTGGAGATAGCTCCTGTGTAGCCCCATCTTCTTCGCCTTGGTCTCGGCATCACCCACCAGCTTCTGTACCGTCTTCTCCACAACCTCATCACTGTCTTTCTCATTCTCATCGACAGACACTCCCAAGTGGATGTAAACAAGGTTACCCTGCGTTTGTACCGGGCCCAGAGAGTCGACGGCGCCGTTGCGTTCCGACATGACGCTGGGAACGGGTTGGTAAGCCATGGCTACCGCGAAGCCGTCGAGGTCGAGGAGGGGGGTGAAAGCCGCGTCAGCGAGCTGGAAGAACTCCTCCATTATGTCTGCCGAGGGCGCGAAGCTGACAGTTGCAAAGATCCAGCGCTTCGGGTAGGTTGCCAGCGCAGCATACTCGCGCGAGATGGAGGTGACGTTGTCGACACGGATGGTGTTAGAGGGGCCACCGGGGAAAAGGGCCTTCTGTTCAATGGCAAGGAGGGGCTTGAAGACTTCGGGCTCGATGACAGGTGGATCACTCTTTGTGTACTGCAGGCTGTTGCCGATGAACCAACTTCGCGTGGCGTTGCTGAGGACTAGGTTGTTTATGTAGTGCACGTAAGGGTCGTAGGGGTGCATGGAGGCGAGTGTCTCGTGGGCCTTGAAGTGTTCCTTGCGCGTGGAGATGTCGTGGAAAGTCTGGCCGCCCCAAAACTTGCCTTGCGTGAAGGTCTTCATGGTGATGGAAGTGACGACGCCAAAGTTATTGCCACCGCCGCGGAGGGCCTTCCACAGATCGGGATGTTGGTTCGCGCTGGCGTGAACGATATCGCCATTAGCGAGGACGACTTCAAACTCCTCGACCACGTCGCAGATGAAGCCATAGCGGGGGGAGAAGAAGGAGGTTCCGCAGTTGAGGACGGCGCCGCCCACGCCAACACCAGCGACGCGGGCCCCGAGGGTGCTCAGGTCAAATGGGTCGAGCTGCTCCGTGACCTGGTCCCAGGTTTGGCTGGGGCTTACGGTGATTGTCTTGTGGTCGGCAGAGATGCCGGCGGCGGGGATATTCTTGAGGTCAATGACGATGCCGTTTTCCATGTTGGCGGCGCCCTTGAAAGGAGTGTGGCCGCCACCACGTATAGCAAACTGGCATTTGCCGTCAAAGGCTTCAGCGCCGGCTGTAAGTGTGCGAACCGCGAGTGATACGTCGTGGGCTGACTCGGGCATGACTACGCATGCCGGATTCAGGTCGGCTTCTTTGAGACTGAAGTATGAGCCGATGGAAGACTTGTAAGCTGCGCCATTGGGGAAGGCGACGATGCTGTTGCCCATCGATTTAGTCAGAGCCTCGCACTGTTGGGGCATCCAAATCAGTATGATACTTTGCAAGAGAGGGAATAAGAGAGAGGTCACTTACACAAGTCGACGATGAAGCCACAGCTCCGTGAACATTGCTTCCCGGGTTGACATTGCTACCACTCAGAGGGGATTGCACAGAGTCACCATAGAAAGATGACAGGCCTGGCAGGCCGAGTACAATCTGTTGGAGACCTGCACCAAACATGCTTGCTAACTCACGAAAATGTTCTGGCTATACTGTCAAATGCTGCAATTGACGATGGCAATGAGAATCATCAGGCGTGTTGATCGTGAGGGGAGCTGCGAATTTCATAGCAGTCGCTGATCGGGCAGTTAATGACTCGGCTTTACCTCTCTCATCGACTTGCCGAGCTTTGCTTGTTTCCCGCCTATTCGAAAATTGCCTTTTCGGGACAACGGGAAATGGACCTACGGTGACTGACGCCCCTGTTCCCGGCCGTGTCCCCGTTCCCCGGCCGGGCCCAAGCTCCTCTGTTGCATCACCGCTGTCGCTCATAAAGTACAAGGAGACGGCATTCATGACGTTGATAACTCCTGGAGCTGAAGATTACAAAGAAACATAGACTGGAAGAAGTGTGAATAGATCTTGATTATCACAACAATGCCCGGCCTTACTACTGATACGCCCATCCGCAAGGTCGCACTAGCAGGCGTAAGTATCCTGTCTCTCACCTGTGTCCCAACGGAAACCAACTTACAAAAATCACAGAAAGGCTACGTAGGCGAAAAGATTTACGATGAACTGGTCAACTCCGGGTATGATGTTACTATTCTATCACGATCTAACCCGAAAAACGCGCCAAACGTCCGCGTCGTCGACTATGCCTCCACAGACAGTCTCACAGAGGCCCTCCGCGGCCAGGACGCCGTCATCTCCGCCATCAACCCCGCAGGATGGCCGCACCAGTACAAATTGATTGACGCCGCCGTCGAAGCTGGCTCCGTGAAGCTCTTCATCCCCAGCGACTTCACTTCCCTATCAACAAACCCTGCCGTCGCCGATTTTCCTTATTACAAGGACGCCGTGGCGATCCAGGCGTACCTGAAGAAGAGAGCGGACGAGAGCGGAATGAAGTGGACCATCATCGCCACGGGTCCTCTCCTAGGTTGTGTGCTGAATGGCAACTACATGTACAACTACCAAGAGCAGACCGCGCTGCAGGTCAGCGACGTAACGCACCGCGTCAGCGTGACGCGGAGACCGACGCTCGCAAAGGCTGTCTCGGGCATCTTTGCCAGGTCTAAGGATATGGAGAGCGGGGTCATCTTCATTCAGGACTATACTACGTCGCAAAAGGAGATGCTTGATATCGCCGAGAGGCTTTCTGGCAAGACGTGGCCTGTTCAACACGTTGACGGGGAGGAGAAGCTCAAGGATGGGCTAGCTATGTTCAGAAGGGCGGATGCGGAAGGGACTACGCCGCCAATTTTTGCCACGTTCCTTGTGATTCACAATACCATCTTTGGCGGAAAGTACAATACTGCTTGGGATAGTAAGGGTAACAAGTTCCTTGAGTTGCCTATCATGTCGAAGGAGGAGTTTGAGGAGCTGATTGCGACGAGAGTCCGGAATGAGCCTATTGATGGTGGGCTGCCCTGGAACTCAGCCCCGAAACCTCGAAATGCGGCCTAGAATGACCACTGTCAAATGTTTGTTATGTAGCGCTCAGACAGTGAATCGAAGAATCCATTCAGAGTCAGCAACTCCTAAGACTGCATACATTTTTCGTTGTGATAAGATGTTCAAGCCATTCCAGAAGACAAAATCAAACTTCGATGCATATAGGCAAAACACGTGTTCAGCTACGACAAGTAGCTTTAGGCGTCAAATCACAATTTGAGCCTTTCAAAGCGAATTAGGGGAACTGTACAAGTAGCTCAATTACCTTACCTGACAGCCCGCTGTTGATATCGCACCAAGTAATACTTTGTCCTCGTTCTCGTGAATCAAGCACAATCGAAGACATGTATGGAATAATAACAATCTAGATAGCTGCATACTCAAATGACCAGAAAAACGAATAACAGTGTGCGAAATCTTTGATCGATGCTACTTCAACTCCAAAGAAGGCGGCTGGAAACCATTCCACTCCAGATAGTTGGTCGGCACTTGAGGAAACTCATCAATCCCGTCCAGCATGACTACACCCATACCGCCAGCGTGGTGAGTCTGCACATGGCAATGCAAAAGCCAAGCACCAGGACTTTCCACCTTGTACCTCACCACAGTCCACACAGCAGGCGCGTCGCCAGCGATATCAGGCGTCGTGAAGGTATCCTGATACGACGGGTCCTCGAAATTGAAGGCTCCGGGCGGCAGAGCCCGCTCCGCTTCCTCGACCGTAGCCCAGGGAAACTTTCCGACCCCGGAGCCGAGAAAGTAGACCTTGTTGCCGTGCTTGTGGACGGGATGGCTCTGCGCAAAGGGACCTTCGGTCTCTAGGATGATGTCGATCCACTCCCCGACCTGGGTTCGGAGGATGAGCTCGCTCTTTGGAACCTCGCTGGGTTGTCTGAAGAGGAAAGGAGGGTCTCGTTCCTCGGCTGTCATGTTGTAGACTTCGTGGCCCGACAGACTCCATTCGTATGCTCCGTAAGGGCGGCCTGGTTTCCTCAGGTACAATTTGAATGTGCGATCCGGGCTGCGAGCCGGCTGTTGTGACGGAAATGGGCGGCCCTCTTCAGGCTTGAATGAGCGAATATTTTTGATGAGAGGCTGTCCAGCGTAATTCATCTTCGGCTGGAGATTTCTTGGTTGATGTGTTGCCCCATCGTATGCTAACTCGGCAAAGCCTCCGAGGATCTGGTTGAGAAGGTCGTTGGCCATGCGGATCATGTATCGAGCTGGGTCCTGGTCTAGTTTGATCAGGACCGAGATTCGATTGCCATTGCCAACGTAAACACGGTCAGTGACAACGGGCTTGATGTACTGTCCATCGACAGCATACACATGTAAATCGTGGTTGTCGACAGAGACCTGCAGAGGATACAACCCGCCAACGTTCAAAAACGTGAGGGCCGCCCAGCCTTCCTTGCTGTCGACATGAACGGTGAAGTTTCCCTTGGAATTTCTACCGCCTACGCATTTTCGGATTGACTCGGAGGGCAGCTTGCCCAGATGCACATCGTAGTCACCTTGCAGTGCTTGGATCGGAGGTACGCAACCTTTTGCCGTCATGTGGTCCTCGCCAAGGTCCTGTAGCATCTTGAGAATGATGGGGTTCGTCATGCTGTCCAGGGAGTCCGGATCCAGACAATACTGCGATCCGATTCCATTGACAATAATGGCATCTGTGCAGGCGAGATCGAAGTTGGCAATCTCCTCAATGTGGTAAAAGTCATCAAACTTGTACTGACTCCAGTCAGCGAGGAGCAGTGGCTGCATGTTCTGTTCAGCTCTCCTCATCGCCTGTCGAGCCTTCATGTCCCCGTTGATAAGGTGAAAAGGCCTGTCAACTTCCGGTAGTGCGTCGACAATGACTGCGCCGTAGAGGCCATCCATTAGCTGGCCCTTTGAGTGAGCATGGTAGAAGAACGTCCCCGGCTGCTCTGCGGTCCACTGGTAGCGGTACGAAGCACCAGGATGGATTTGGCCCTGAGTGAGTCCTGGTACGCCATCGCTCCAGGACGTCTTGCGTTGGTCAACGCCGTGGAAGTGGATTGTTGTGTCTTCCTGGAGATAGTTGCGAACTATGACCTCAACCTCATCGCCTTGCTTGAGATGCAGAGTAGGGCCGGTGAAGCTATTGTTCACGAGAATGGCATCTCGTGGACCAGCACCGAGGGCGTCTACTTGCCCTGCTGTAAGATGGAGCTCGATGCGCACGGGGCGCCCTATCGACCGCTGGATGTTGGATGTCCCAGCGTCCAGCGACGTTGCCGATGACCAGCTGGATAATGGCCAGGGCAGAATGTAGGACAGGATGTGAACGGGGTGCATTGTGATGCTCCAAAGGATCGGTTGACTTATTGGGACATAAGACGAGTGTGTAATGTAGACGATTACTGAGAATGATAGAGTATGAAGCTGAGGAAGCTGGTGTAAGTCAGAGCCAAAGGGATGTGAGAGAGTGAAGCTTGGCCAGCGGCATCCCACATGGGAAGCACATGCGTTGGACACGCTGAAACTTGACGAACACATGCTGCGAAAGGGGCCCAACGGGAAATAAAGACCGGTCGGTGCTGAGTCGAGTGACATAACCCCGAACCTCCCCACGACCATCACATCATTTCAGACAACCCTCCAACAAGCGTACGCTACTTGTTAGCAGCAGACAGCTTGCCAATTTCTATTCTTCATTCTTGCATTCTTTCCTCTTCCCCTATCCTACTCCGGGAAATGCGTCTGCGACTCATAGTCCGTGCAGCAGTACTGCTGGGCAGTGCATCAGCCAAATCACTGAGCCAGGCTCTTGTCAGCCATGGATCACTCTCGATGCTTCACACTCTCTTGAAAGACCTGAGTCTACTGGAAAGGTTCGAAACGGCGGAGAGGTCGACGTTTCTGGCAATGACGGATGATGCCCTTGTAGGTCTCGCCAACTGGGGACTCAATATGAGCACCATCGACCCAACGCTTGCCCAAGCTATTCTCAAGTACCACCTTCTCGAGGGAGCCTTCATCTCGTCAGACCCTTCACTGAAGGCAAACGTCCAACTCGCCCGCTCAGTCTTGCGCCCACCAGTTTTGACAAACGTCACAGATGGTCCAGTGGTGAAGCTCTCCATCATCGACGGATCATTGTGCGCCGAATCTGGCATCCAAAAGGTCATGCACATCAACGAGTCCGACATTGCCCACGACAACGGCGTTATACATACCATTGACAGTAACCTCGTTCTGCCGCACAATATCTCAGAGACTACCAATCTGGGCAACCTCCACAAATTCTGGGAGGTTATTGAGAGGTCAAGAACCAGGGAAGTTCTGGAGGCTATGAAGGACGTGACTGTCTTTTTGCCAGACGATAACGCAGTAAGACAGTGGAGCTCTACGTTGGAGTCTCTCACCCCGGAGCAGCTGGCGACAGTAGTCGCAAATCATGCCGTTCCCAACCGGGTTCTCTATCACAGCGCCTTCTCTGCTAAGGGAAAAGAGTACATGACCTTGGGTGGTTTGAAAATTACTGTCAGACATGATTCTAGAGGCAACGTCTTCGTCAACGAAGCAAAGATACTCAAGCAAGATGTACTCATTTTCGGTGGCGTCGCTCACATCCTGGACGGGGTCCTGGTCCCCTTGGGACACAGAGGTAAGTCTATCATTTCCAAAAATTGCATAAGTCAAGTTGTTCAAGCTTTGGGATTTAACTCATTTCTACAGGTTCCACTTGCCAATCGTTATTCGGTAAGATTCGGACGTGCACGGGGTTGTATTCGACTTCATGGAAGGTCATGGCAAAGACTTTTGTTGTTACCACAAGTGCCTTCTCTCTGGCGGTCCTTGCATTCCTCACGGTCAGAAACCGAAGGAGCAAGAGACAGGCCATCTCGTCGGGTTGGTCAACAACGAGCCGGGAAAAACATTTACGAGTCATCGCCAATGAGAAATGTCATGGCGGGAGCTCTTAGGTGAACGAAATGCAATTTGAAGTAGACGCATTTCTTAGCGGTTAACGATTTTGCTTCGGATGACGTTAGATGATCATTCGCCTTGCTCAAGTCACTGAATTTCGTTCTTGTGGTGAATCTTTCCAGTGTTATTACATCACTACCGCACCTAAAATGCAATGATGTAGTCCTAGTTGCTTCAGTTAACGTCCTTCGGTGCTAATTAATTTCTAGGTCAAAAGTGGTTATGGCCGCTAAACCAACTATTCACTCATGCTTTTACAGCCCGTGAGAAGGCATGTCTTCAGGGGAGTTTTAGCGTCGCCATGGCTCTAAAACGTTTTGGCAGGGCCGGAAAGTGACGGATTTTCCCAAAGTTACCTCTACGCTTTGTCGAAGTACAGCGACCATGGTAGGTTTCGGGGATTGTTTGCCGAACCCAAGACCGCCAACTCTCTCGGGGAACTCAGCATAAACACACCTTAGTACTTTGCACTATTGGCCGGTAGCTCCTTCTTGCTTTCTAGTGGCTTTCTATTCGTTTATGCAAAACGTTGGAACGGTACAATGATCAAATTCTAGGCCCCATTCAAGTGATACAGTAGAACTAGCACGCCTTCTTAATGGCCATATTCCCGAGATCGATCGGGAAGCATTCTCATTTGAAGTACGGGAAAGATAAGGCTATCTATGGTGAATCCCAGGAAAATAACGGCATTCGAACTCGTCCCTTTTAATTGCAAGTCATCGCTTCAACGGCAACTGTTGCGCGAGGTGTAAGACGGCGGACGGGGTTTCAGCGGTCGGGCTGTTCATTTACAATCCGACCGACGGTTGCCGTATCCCCCGCGAGATGCCCCTGCAACTAAGCAGAGCAGCATTTGGCCCTCTATCTCTCTATGGTGAGATCACTATCATATCTCGCAAGGCCTCCATTCAAGAACGGTCGGAGTGACTTAGGCCACAACTCGCCAAAGCAGTCTTGACCTTTGAATAGGAATCTAACTGACTTTATTTTCGTTCAACATTCTCTCTTCGATATCAATCCTTTTACTCTTTCCTTCTGTTAGTACATTGAATCTTTGCTCCATTGAATCCGACGCAACGTGCACATCCACTATGGCGCCGCCAGCAGACGCAAGCCCAGCAGAGGCTACATACGCAGATGAGCCACTATCCCTCGACGAGCAAGTCATCGCCAAGGTCCAGGGTGGTGACTTCATCGTTGACTGGCTCAGCCCAGACGATAAGGGCTGCCCGCAGAACCTGCCCACGCCCCGTAAATGGCTTATTACGCTAGTACTGGCGCTATACGTTCTATCGACGACCTTCTCGTCGTCCGTATTCAGTGCCGCTGCCGTCGTGACGGCCGCGGAGTACAACACCACGGTGCAGAACATGGTCTTTGGCGGTACTTCGCTCTTCATGCTTGGGTTTGCCGTTGGTCCTATCATCTTTGGGTATGAAATCCTTTCCCCTGTCGGCCTTCCCAATGGTCTGAGAACGTCCCTGAGCTAACGACTTACACCTACCTATCAGGCCTCTTTCAGAACGCTATGGGAGAAGGCGCCCCCTGATGGTCGGCTACGTAACATTCGCCCTGCTCCAGCTCCCGGCAGCCAGCGCTCAAAGCCTCTACACAATCTTCGTCTTCCGCTTCCTGCAGGGCGTCTTTGGCGCCGCGCCGTCCGCAATTCTCAGCGGCACGCTCGCCGACATTTGGACCCCGAAGCAGCGGGGCTTTGCCATGCCCTGCACGGGCACCTTCCTCATGATCGGTCCCGTCCTCGGCCCCATGATCGGCTCCATTATCGTCAAGAGTCCCCTGCTGGGCTGGCGTTGGATCTTCAATATTACGGCTATCTTCACGCTGACAGTTGCTGTTGTCACGTACCCAGCTTTGACTGAGACGTATTCCCCTATTCTTCTAGAGAGACGAGCAAAGCGGATGCGTCATATGACGCGTAATTGGGCTCTACGGGCAAAATCTGAAGAGCAAGAGAGCAGTCTCAATGACATTGTCGAGAAGTGTCTCTCACGTCCGGCAAAGATGCTGTTTTTGGAGCCTATTCTCTTGCTGATGTCTACTTATATCTCTGTGGTTTTCGGTAGGTCTATCAACTTGAAAACACTTGCGATCAAACTTTGACTGACGAGATTTAAGGGCTCATGTACATCTTCTTCCTCGCCTACCCAATGTCCTTTGAACGCGAGCGCCACTGGGACTCCACCTCAGCCGGCCTCCCGCTCCTCTCCATCTTGCTGGGCACGATCCTCGGCGGCGCCCTCATCATCGCGACCGTCAACACCAAGCTGTCACCGGACCCCAAAGCCGGCCGCCCCCAGGAGAACAGGCTCTTGCTGATGATGATTGGGACAGTTTGCCTGCCGGTGGGCATGTTCTGGTTCGCAGCGACGAGTTCGCCGTCAACGGACCCCTGGCCCCAGATCGTTGCGGGCGTTCCTATCGGTATTGGCATCATTTTGATCAATATGCAGGGGATGAATTACATTGTCGATTGTTACGGGATCAACTCCAACTCGGCGATCGCGGCTAACACATTCATGCGATCACTCTTCGCGTCTGGATTCCCGGTTTTCGCGTAAGTCTTCCTCCCTCAACTCGGGTTTTGCCCTGGCGTATTGCTGCCCTCTTTTCTGACTGTTTTCAAAAGCACATACATGTACACTTCCATTGGCGTCGCTCGTGCAACCTCGTTGCTGGCTCTGTTCGGTGTGGTTCTGGCGCCCATCCCATTCCTCTTCTATCACTACGGGGACAAGATCCGAGCTCGTAGCAAGTGGTCGCCCTCATACGGACGATGAGACTTTGAGACCGTGAATACGAATCTTAAACTGGAGTCTGCTAGATCCTTACTGATCAAGCCAATGGTGATTATGGTCGTTATGGTGGTTGATAGATTGCTTGTGTTAGAGGTGCTGCGTGCGGAACGCCCATGAGAGCATCTTGCGTTGAGGAGAATCAGATTGGAAAGAAAGGCAGCATAGACGTATCAGCAAGTTTTCATTATTATATTAAAGCTCCTGCATTTTCTCTTCAGAATATTTTCTTGACGATCTAGTAAGCCATAGTGCAAGTATCTATATGCATCAATTGATTTTTCCCTCACTCTCACACTCACTTTTTAGGTTCTCGACCCCCCTAAAATATTGATCTTCGAGAATAACAATTGCTCTTGAAGTAGAACACCTTCACATCTACATAGGCACGAGAAGAGAAGTCCGGCAATTAAATTCCTCTTTCTTACGGACTTTGCACATAGACAAGCATCGACAAGGCGAAAGTTACAGACGAAGGAGTATTGAAGGTTCAGATAGTCTGATAGAAACTTGGATTCGCCTGGTTGAACTCAATAATATGCTGCATTCTACTTTGATCCCTGTACAGTAGAGATCGTTCCTTCAGGCCTCTACTCGCAGCTCTGATCTTCCCAGAAAAGGAAGAATCTAGTCTCGATGCTCCGCCTCGCAGGGCCGATATCATCAGGGGTAGGGAAAGCGCTGTGCGGAGTGCGTCTAGCCCTACCATCCTTCTTGGAGTCAAAGATCTTGATGAGAACAACGTCGTCCCTCGTCATGCCGCCCCGGAACCACCACTTATGCTGATCGGGTGTCTCGGGCGGCGCAATCTGCCACATGTGGTTCTCGGTAGGCTTGTGAGGCCACCGGAAGGGAACGCAGTGCATGGTATCGTGAAGCTCGTCGTCACGAACAGACCTAGCATCGCATAGGGCCAAAGGCTCGCGGTGGACCTCATCCATGGGTCTCCAGAGATTGACGATGGCCCAGCGATGCTTGCCGTCGTGCTTGGCGCCTTCTCCAGGAGGGAGGTCGTCATAGAGGCGGCGCTTGGCGCCGAGGTCGGACTGGTCGATGTGCACGAAGCGGGCGGAGAGCAGGCCGCCGTCTGTCATAGCCATGTCTGGCTTGTCTTTATCCTCTTCGGGGTCGGCGTTCTCCCACTGGCGTTGGCGGATGATGTGGGAGATGACGCGGACGTCACTCGCCCCGGTCCTGGTGTTAAGGTCAGTTAAAGTTGCTAGTCGTCTTGCTCTCTCCCGGGGACACACTAACAGCTTTCTCATAAACTCCTCACACTCAGCATTGTAGATCTTATTGAGCTTCTCGTCGATGGGACTCCACGGGAAGTCTTTGTAAGAAGTAGGGAAGTGCTCGAATTGGAAGCCAGTCTTATCAAGGCTGAACTCGGACTCCTTGCCACGAGCGTTGTAGATCTTGACGGGTCGCGGGTCATACTTGCGGCGCATCTGAGCAAAGGTGCCACCCCAGATCATTTCGTCTCCGCCCTTGGTGGGGCAGAGACGATAATTGAGGGTGGCATCGTAAGACTCCTTGTTCAAGTTGTAGACACCCACGAGCTTTGCGCGCTCCTCGCTGTCTTTCTCCGCGAGCTCAGTCGCGGTGTACTCGATCTTGTCTCCAGAGACTTTGAGCTTTCTCTTGACCTCGGTGTCAAGGAAGGCAAGCTCGTCCTTTGTGGCGTAGTTCAGTTCAAGAGTAGGCATGATGGGCAAGGTATTATTAGTGTAGACTAATGGGCTTGACTGTTGAAGTGATACGGATGTCCGATGAACGCCTGCACAAGTCGACCTTTAATATCCAACGGTTTGCGGTGCTTCGGAGGGAGCAGTAGGTCTTTCGAGGCTTACACTGAGGACGGCCTTCGTGTCGCCGGTGCAGCAAGTGCCGGACTATGCTCCCTGGTTCTTGCGGTGATTGAGTTCCCGGTCGGTGTGCAAAGGGCCTAGGTTTAATGGAAGGTGTTGCCGGTGGATGCAAGCAAGTACCCCCTAAGAACCCGTAGTCTTGCACTTACACTCTAGGCCAGATCCGGGTATCTTGAGGATGAGACGAAGATCGCGATGTAAAAGGAGCTCACTTAGCTATCTCTTAGATTTATCTGAAATATCTAAAATTGTGTGTTCCGAGGACATGGGGTGGTTAGATGGCAGTAGGTAACTTTACTGAACCCGCCTGAAACTACGAATCGGGTGGGATACACCACTTTCACTTTTGCAATTCTCGGGCACGCAGCTTTATCGAATCGCTGGGGGTGGGGGGGAATATTAGCATAACACATAGGGTACTTCTTCGTAGTGCACAGAATAACGCTAAGTTGTTGTCACAGGCACGAAAACACATGCACGTAGACATGAAGAAATGCTTATGGAGAGGAATTTGGATGAACATTTAGACTAATTTGGAAAACAAAATGACAATTCTATTCCCTCGATCAGCCTTTTAGAATGCATAGTGCTCTGCCCAACCCACAACACAACTAAGTTAAACATCAGCAACCGAGAGCGCCAAGTGGAATAAACTGGTGTTCAACTTACCGACTCCGGCTCATATCAGCGAAGTTGAAATGATCGGGAATGAATTTGCCCAAGAAGTCAGGGTCATCACGCATCTTCTCTATGCACCCGATATTAGGTACGATTATTGAGATGACCGAATCGTAATCCAACAGCATGGCGCTAGGTGCATCAGGGAACAGCTTCTTAAAGTCTGCTTTGGCGGATGCATCGTTGTGGGTCTGTTCACATTGTTCTTCAGTTAGACAATCCGCTCTGCGAACATGGCCGCAATAAGAACACAGCATGTTCAACATACCACAGTGTAGGATACAGCCCCATATCTCTCTAGCAATGGTTTGATGATCGGAGTATTCACGCTTTCAATGTGGTTGTGGTGGCTCTGCTCATCTTGGTCTGCTTTCTTGTAGACATAGATGCTGTAAGCAAAGTTGCGCTTCGGCTGTTCGAGGGAGCCCATGCTGTGTGATTTTGTAGTCACTTAATTTGTCGGAATGAGAACTTGAGAGATCTCAACCACGGCTCCCACTCCACAGACTTCGCTGGGGGGGAGGAACACTTTTTAGATGTTTGCAGCGCTCTTTCAGAATGTGAGCTCTCCTTCTTGCATTCTGCCCCAAACTCCAAGCTCCCCTCCAGTTTACACATGCATCCATTGGCAGCATGCCTGCTGTGCGCCCCTAGCGCTGAGTCGGGCACTACGAGAGTTCACAGTTCCCCGGCCCGGTTACCGCGGACGGGAAACACCACCCACACCAAAGCTTTGAACTGCTGGATCGTCTACCTGCCGATTATTCCAACTCAGTCGACGGAAAAAGCACCGATCCCGCGCGGACTCCACGTTATAGTTGAGAGTGCAAAGTGTGTAATTGCCGGCTTGACCTTGGGATCACGAAGATAACCACTGCGACGATTCTATGTACCTAATTTGCTTTCTAAACATAATATAAATGCCAGTTTCCTTAGACTCCTACTTCGTTTGTTGATCAACCCAACTTTTCAGTCAACACATAGGCCAGACAATCGTCTATCGTTCACTGCAGCACCACCACTTCCTCCATCCACCTTTCAATAGTCAACATCTTATACTTCATTTCCACAACTATTGACAATGGCTGACCGCAAGATTGTTCTCATCACTGGCGCCAACAAGGGCCTTGGATACCAAGCAGTCAAGACATTGCTTGGATCCAAGCAAAAGTACCACGTCTTCCTAGGCAGCCGCAACTTTGCCAAGGGAAAGGCCGCCGCTGAGACTGCCGCGGCAGAGGTAAAGTCTCACAGCACCGTCGAGCCGCTCCAGCTCGATGTTGAAAGTGACGACTCCATCAGAGAGGCGTACGAGACTGTCGCAAGCAAGGTTGACAGGATTGACGCACTCGTCAACAACGCAGGTATGCTTCTTCTACTGCGCTTATAAGTCTGGTTCGTTGGCTAATCTTTCTTCCTAGGCGTCATGCTTGACCAGCAAATTGAACGCGGCAACATGACCGTCCGTGAGGCCTACAATAAGTCCTGGGACATCAATGTTACCGGACCTCACATCATCGCCGACACATTCCTCCCGCTCTTGCTCAAGTCCTCTGACCCAAGACTCATCTTCAACACTAGCGGTGTCTCCTCTCTGGCAAACGCGGCAGACTCGTCCCACTTCACCTACAGGGTCCCGCCCGCCGGTACCCCCAAGCCTGTCGGAACCATCTCTTACAGGGCCGCCAAGGTCGGCCTCAATATGGTCATGCTTGAGTGGGTGCGCATGTTGAAGAATGACGGCGTCAAGGTTTGGTGCGTTGCTCCGGGCTTCTTCGCCACTGACATTGGCGAGGGTGACCCGGAGTCTATGAAGAAGATGGGTGCCGGAGAACCTTCGGGTGGTGGGAAGGCACTCGTCGATGTTGTTGAAGGAAAGAGAGATGCCGATGTTGGAAAGGTGGTGAACATGGCGGTTTACGGCACGCCTGTTCAGCCTTGGTAGTGGAAGAGTAAAACATCGAAACAACCAAATAAATATGAAGCTTTCTGGCTACAACGCACCTCTATGACAGATTCAGTGCAATAGTAAGCTTTCTTGAAAACTGTCAACACAGCTCTATAAGCTTTGTAAGCGTTCAAGTTTTCTGGGGTAATAATGCTTGGCCAAGAGCCTGACCAATTGCTTTGAAGTTTGCCTGTATCATCAATCCTTTCTGCCTATATCTACCTCACAACAAATGAAGTACCGATGAACTCCAATCACATAATACAACATGAAATTTTGCAAGCTTCTTAACCATTGAATTCTGGAGCAAAGATGAGTCCGCAATTGCAACTCAAATCCGCTGTATTTTCAGATGCGAATCGAATCGGAGAACCCATTTACGTTGGTCATCGCAGCAGTTTTGCTCCCCGTCAACTACCGCACAACTACCAGCCTTGCCTAATCTTAGTGGTTTTTCATTTCTTTCAGTCCTCTCAATTCACATACCTTGCTAACCACTGAATCCAAACGCCGACAAGCTTTTCTACTCCAATTCCTGATCCTCCCAGAATACAAGGCATCTGATTTCAATACTCTCCCGTGGCGGTCCAACATCCTTAGGTGTCTGGATTGCAGTGTGCGGCACACGTCTAGCTCTTCCATCTACCTTGGTGTCGAAGATCTTGATCAACAGTGCCTCATCCGGGGTCATGTTGCTAGCGTAGTACCACTTATGCTGAGGGCTCGATACCATGTGCCACTGCTCATTGTCTTTGTTGATGGTGTTGGGCGGCTTTCCAAGGACAATGCGAGTAGTGACAGGCCGAAGATCACACTCCTCGACACTTCGCGCATCACAGACTGCCAGTGGCTCACGTTGCACCAACTTGAGTGGGTGCCAGACGTTGATGACTCCCCAACGGGTCTTCGTCTTGGCACGAAGCATCTCTGCTTCAGGAAGCCGATCAAGCACCACTTCCGCGCCCTTGTATGATTGATCTAGTCCGTGTGAGTACCGCGTTCTGTTATGATCATAGGGCAACTTCACTCACCGACGTGAATGAACATGGCGGGTGGCTGCATGTTCAGGACTTGGGAGTCAGGAAGGTCATCCGGGATGTTAAGAATCTTCTCGTGAGGATCTCGGCGTATCACATGAGGAGCAAATGGGTGCACGTATGTAGCACCGGAGCTATATAGATTGTTAATTCGTTTGCATCATGAGTAAAGCTTGGATCGTCTTACTGTCTCATCAAGAGCTCTTGAACATCCTTCCGAAGCTGGTCGGGGAGACCAAATCTATAGTCCCCCTCCCAGCCCCTTTCTTGAACAGTGCTCTCAACAACCTTGAAGCCCTGAGTATCGAGGTTGAACTCTTCGTCGCATGTCCGCATGTCTGTAACCGGGACGAGCTGCCGATTGTACTTGGTGCGCTGGAAGCCCACAGTGGCGATCATTTGCACGGGGACTGCCTCGCCCTTAGGGGGCGGTTGGTGATAGTTGACATAGGCCTCGACGGACTCTGGCTTCTGAGTGGAGTGAGGCATGTTTGCAAAAAAGAAACAATGATAACTTGCTGCAACGAGTATGAGACTGGATGTTTTGAGAAGAGTGGTGATTCACTACCTGGTAGCGGAGTCATTGGAAAGCGGAGGGTGGGAATGTCAGTCTTGCATTTAATCAGTCGACGGTTCCCTTCACTCGGGGAATAAAGGCGAGCGACACTCAAACCTAAAGTTTACATCGAACCTGGAACCCGTAATTAGGAGTTCGTACGAGTTTTTGTCAACATACACCGATCCTTACTTGGCCGGCAATAAGGACATCTCAAAAGCTCCTCGAGGCGCCACTATCAGAGACTCTCCGTTCACTTCCCGGCTAGTCACATTCTCAATACCACGAAGCAGGGCGATCCGCGGATTATTTACGCCTTTCCTTTGCCGTCTGTACAAGTAAAGACTTCCCTAGCGTCCAACTCAGGGCCCAAGGAAACAAAAACGGGCCGGACCTCGACTCACACCATCATTTTAGACGTTCGAGATGCCGTAGTCAGCCATCATTGGTCAGTTCCCCATCAAATTTGCCTAGTTGTGCAATGCGTCGCCAACCAATGCCGGTCGGAGAACCCTGCGCGGTCACTATTCGCCGGTAAACCAGTTGCCGGTGACCCCAACTGCAGTATGCGAGTTCATATCCAGTGGGTTCGTCTTTTGTCTTCGGGTGAAATGGAGCCCAGGAGGGAGTGTTGCCCGGCTTGACATGATTGGAAAGCTTCGTCTCTGATCAAATCATGTATCACCGAACCCCTTCGCAATTCATCTATTCTTCCGGTTATGTTTTCCTAGTAAATTGATACGCATAAGATCGATCCAGTGCCAATTGTCTGATGTTCAGCCCATCCGGGGAGTCAGAGCCTTTTGAGAACACTTCGTAAACGCCCGTACCCGTAAAAGTCCCATGGGCATTTCCGGTTCAACTTGGGCCACAGTTGGCCTGCAATTCCCGGCATTAATGCTGAGAAAATACCTCTAGATAGTCCTGTTGCCGCTCATCCCGAGGGAATGGAAACTCTGGAACGAGTCAAACAAAGAATGTAAAGAAATAAAGCAACCCGCCTACCTTGATCATGGTGCACATCCCCCGAGTCAAAGATCTCTCTTCATTGACAAAGACTTCTTTCCGTTGCAGCTCCATTCGTCAAGATACATATTACCAAGACCTTGTCACTCAAAACACACGACGCCCCAGTGCTTCCAGCAAAAATTCGCAAACGCCAAGCACACGTCATCCTAGCTCTTCTAGTCAAGCTTCGCAGACGCAAAATATCCAAGACACAGCCACCGAAGAAGCTCAAGAAACGTACTTCAACATGCCTTACATTCCCAAACTGCCTCAGATCCCCAACCGCTACGCTGCGGCCCATGCCAATCCCCAGGGTGAAGGCGATGCTCGCCCGACTGCGCTTCAAATCATCGAAGATGAGGGTCTAATTGGCAAGCTAGACGACAAGGTGGCATTAGTCACTGGCGGCACCAACGGCATAGGCCTCGAGATCGTTCGGCATCTAGCCAAGACCGGCATGAGGGTTTTCTTCACCTCGCGTAATCTCGCGAAGGGCGAAAAACTCAAAGCCCAGCTGCAAAGCGAAGATGCCGGCCTCAGACTAGAGGTTGTGGAAATGGAGCTGAGTAGCTTGAAGAGCGTTAAGAAAGGCGCCGAACATGTTCTAGATAGTACTGTGCGATTGGACGTTCTCGTCAATAATGCAGGTAGGTGATGTCGCTATCTTTCAAGCGTTCCGCTTCGTCGCTAACTTCAGCTTTCTTCAAGGCATTGCGGCAACACCGCGTGGTTACACGGAAGAAGGGTACGAGCAGCAATTTGGTGTCAATTACCTCGCGCACTTCTATCTCTTCCACCTTCTCAAGCCTCTTCTTCTGGACACGGCTGCGAACAATAACGTGAACGTGCGGGTCGTCACCACCTCCAGCACATCTCACACGGCCTCGACTGTCCTGCCGGAGAACAATTATGATACAGCGAGCCCCAACGGCAAGGGCTACGAGCCTGGCGTATCTTACGCCCACTCCAATACGGCAAAGATCTGGTTCTGCAACGAAGTCGAGCGCCGCTACGCATCTGACGGTATTCACGCCATCAGCATCCATCCCGGTGGCTTCGGCAGTGGCTTGATGGAGTCTTCAGACGAAGAGACTCGTAAGATGCTGGAGAAACTTATCCAGATGCCTCACATCAGAAAGGTGTGGAAGAGTGTTCAGCAAGGTGCTGCTACAAGTGTGCTAGCGTGTGTGGGCAAGCAGTACGATGGCGTTGGCGGGTTCTACATGGAGGATTGTGGTGTTAGCAAGCCCATTCCCGATGATACCAACTGGGCCGGATATGGATTCAAGTCGTGGGCATTTGATGAAGAGGGAGAGAAGAAGCTCTGGGCTGATTCATTGAAAATGGTCGGATTGGAGGATGAGCCCTAGCGGATTGTTTGTCCCGTGGATCCCCCGCCTAGCACTTGAATTGATTTTGCATATTCTCTTCTTTATGATAATGTATTCAACTCCGTCAACTATTTCTGAGGCATGATTGGAACCTTGAAGCTATCGTGACATCGCTAAGGTTGTGGGAGGTTAAAGAATAAATCATATTCCCACAGACAAAGACTTTGGAGGTTTAGGCGATGGGCTATTCTATTGATCTATAGCAATTATTAGCACGTTCTACCGGTTTCATTATGCAGTCTCCATATTTGATCTTATTTCGTTGTCTTTAATGATGAAGGAAAGAAAAAGATCCCGGGCTCTGGAGTCCGAAAGCCAGACCGTGAGAGCCAAGTAGGACCTTGAGTTTCACGCCTCTTCGACTAGTAGGCAATTCGAGCCGAGGTTTTGCTGTATGCCCTCATGTACTCGTTCAATACCAGCAACTTACACTATGGAGTAGGGACACAACACACGAGCTGTGGATATCGCGATCTGGGCATCTTATTCTGGCGTCTGGATCGAGTGTAAGTTGAGTATGTGGGTTTCCCGACTTCTTATGTTTTATTGGGTATTGCTGATGAGAAAAGTTTAGCTGTCGAAACTGATAGACATCGCTCGGTCCAGATTGAAGGTAACATTTTCTGCTCCTGGTCTTTCCACAATAGGACTCTCGTATACTCGATTAGGACAATACGATCGGCGATGAATCATGAGGAATAGCGGTTCTCCCTGGTTGTCAATATGTGCAAGCAAGCTGATTGGTAGGTCCTCTCTGTCAAAACTCTAAAAGTCCAGATATTATTCATCCTGGTCGTGGCCAGTGACAATTACAGTCTCAGAAATACACTCAAGTGGGCAGCAGATGGGCGGAAAGTCGAGGTCAAAGCCTGGCCCCGGTTCCCGGCAACGCAACCATGATCATCGGCGAACCCAGTTGGGCTATGAATCGCGATGACAACACCGCCAAAGCCATTAGAATAAAGGTACCCAATCACCAACAATACTCCTCACCTCATATTCCCCTAATATATGTTTTCATGCCAATATCAGATCTTAGCTTCAAAGTTCTCTTTTAGGTGATTCAAGCTCATCTCTTCTACTCTTCCTGAACGCTCTACCAGAGCTCTACCAACCATGTCACGCCCTGAAAGTCTCGGGGATCCCCTAAAGAAAGAATGGCAGTCCAACGAAGCCCTAGCGAATGGTTCCTCGCTGGCCAGCAGCATGAAATGCAGCGACGATTCGACCGGTAGGACCGAATCGCAAGAGAAAACGGAACCCGAACCCGAGGCAGATGAGCCACCATACCCGACAGGTGTTCAGCTGGGACTTATTGTCTTTGCGCTGTTTTGCTCCGTCTTTATCGTAGCCGTCAGTCAGACCGTTCTTGCAACAGCAATCCCGACCATCACGAGCGTCTTCAACAGTTCCGACGACATTGCTTGGTACAGCACGGGAGAACAGATCACGGCTGTTGCATTACAACTTCCCTTCGGTCAAGCGTACTCGTTCTTCAATAACAAATGGACATTCTTGACTTCAGTGGTTATCTATCTCGCTGGTAGCGCAGTTTGTGGCTCTGCGCCGACGTCAGTTGCCTTGATCATCGGTAGAGCTATCCAGGGTGTAGGCATGGCAGGTGTATTCGGCGGCTCATTCATCGTCATTGCTCGCATCACGCCGCTTAGAAAGCGAAGTTTATTTGCTGGCTTATTCGGTGCTGCGTATGCCATAGCCAGTGTCATCGGGCCTATCATGGGTATGTCGCTGGTTATCCATCGCCATCTGTATGCGATTCTGACGTTTCTGTAGGCGGTGCCATCACACAGAGAGCCTCTTGGAGATGGTGCTTTTACTGTAAGCTTCCTTCTTCATCTCCACATAGCTAAGTCAGTATCTAATTAGAACAGTCAATCTTCCGATTGGAGCTGTAGTAGTCGCTGTCGTCATCTTCTGCTTGCCCCCAACCCTCTGCCGGACCTCCACAGAACTCAAGTCCATGACCCTTATTCAACTGGCAAAGAAGTTTGATCTTCTCGGTACTACACTCTTACTAGCTTCTCTGGTCTGTCTGATGCTGGCCCTACAATGGGGCGGCGGCGAGTACCCATGGAACGACGCGCGCGTAATCGCAGTGTTGGTTGTGTTCGGCGTCACTCTCCTCCCGTGGATGGCACTACAGTACTTCCAGGGCGATGATGCCACAGTACCTCTCAGCATCGTAAAACAGCGCTCCGTTGCGTCTTCTAATCTTTACTTGCTCTTTTTGAACGGAGCCTTCGGTGTCTTTATCTTTTATCTGCCTGTTTGGTAAGTTTTGAACATAAGCAGCTGTTCAAGTATTGTTGCTGACATGGAAACTGTTAGGTTCCAATCCATCCGGGGAGATGAAGCCGAATCTTCTGGCTTGAAACAGCTGTCACTCTGCATTAGCACCGCCGTCGGTTCAATTGTAGCTGGAGGTCTTGTCATGGCCATTGGTTTCTACAACCCATTCGTGATTGCGGGTTCCGTCTTAGTCACAGCGGGTTCTGCGCTCCTCATGACCATCAAAGCTGATGCTGCACTTGGCATACTGTAAGCTCTTCCAATCATGTCCCCTTGATCCTTCAGATGACTGATGACATCTTTCAGCGTTGGCGCTCAGATCCTAGTCGGAGCTGGCGTCGGTGTCGGAGCCGAACAGGCCAACGTCGCCGTCCAGACAGTACTGCCCAACGAAAAGATCCCCAAGGGTACGAGTCTGACACTTTTCACGAGACTCTTAGGAGTCGCTCTTTCGGTGCCTATTGCGCAGAGTGTTTTCCAGCAAGAGCTGTCCAAGAATCTTGGTAGTTCAGTCGCTGCCAAGATTTACGGCGATGGAGGTGCAACACAAATCAAGGAGAACTTGCAAAAGATATTCGGGAACGGTACCTCCGAGTATAACAATGCTTTGGATAAGGTCAACACTTCATTGACAAGGACCTTCATGCTGGCCATGATTCTAGCCGCGGTCTCTTTCCTGTTTGCGATTCTCTTGGAGTGGAAGAACGTCAAAAAGGAGAAGAGGTCATTTGACGATGCAAAGGAACAGAAGAGCCAGCCCGAGAAGTGATCTGGCCCAATAACCAAGTAAAGCTCCGGCTTGGATGTATATTAGTACACGAGAGCCCTTTTTCGCCAGTGGCGTTGGCTGTATATAGAGATAATTTACCAACAATACAAGCACAAAGAACTGGCGAAGCCTTGTAAAGGACTTGGCTTAAGATGTAAGACACTTTTCTACTCTTGCCAGAGTCTGGATATCAAATAACATCTGGAAAAGCACTCGAGGAAGTGATGAGGTCTAGAAAAACTTGTATTTACAGTACTTAGTTACCGGTAAACAGCAAGCGTGCCATTTCGCTACTTTGTGAGAGCTATTAACTTGTTTGAGCCCGATAGATAGATCTCAGAAAAAACTCAGAAAGCCCATTGAGGCGAGCTCAAGGCCACGGAACCAGTAACCTCTGCATCAGCAATTTAGTTGATACGTCAATCAGAAACATCAGATCATGAATTATTATGGAAGCAATACGGTAGTTTACAACCGTGCACAAGATGTTTTACTAGCCCATCAATCCCATTATTTAATGCTGCATATTCTGAGGAAATCACGAGGTGAGACAGGGTTCCGCTACACTCCCCGACATGTCAATCGCCGTTTCCTCTTCAGAAGAAGGGAACCCAAATGTTTCACGGCCAAATCCCCAAACATTCACTATAACCTTGAGAATTGACATTGGTTACAACATTGTTCCGAAACTCGTAAGGCTTGATTAGGAAGGCGGAGTCATCCCACTGGCTCAATTATAGGACCGGGGATTGAGGTTGAGCTCGGGTCGGGGAATCGGGGTTGACACCGCGAACCACCGGCAAATCTACAATAGAACCCGGAGAAACTCATTGGGTGGCAGAAATCATCCCAAATTGATCGGACTTGGCACCGGGACTTTGCAAATATCGGTGTTTTCTAGTCCATCGATTTCTGTATGATTCAGTGACGATGGTCAGTGGCTCGTAGAACCGGCACCTCGGCACAGTAGCTTGGTAAAGCATGCGCCTATTTGGTTTCAGTCCTATGAAAGACATCGAATGCCCACAAGACGGAGTTGGGTTTGTCCATGATCCAAACACGAGTAAACCGAGACCGATTCCGAATCTTTGGACACATTCTTTTCGACGCATCAGGCAGAGTTGTGGGTAGCTTCTAGCCCGATCAAGACTACGTATGTGGCTACATTCGTTGAAAGCGGTCCTGTCCATGAAAATGCCTTCGCTACCGGGTTATGTGGCCGTTATTTTGGCGGCCGTAAGTATGGTCGGCGGCGTGGTTACGGATGAGGCGGGCATTGCAGGACATGGACTCATTGGCTATGGTATCACTATGTACCAGGTTGGTCATTGTGTTCGACGTCGTGGATTATCATGCACTAACTCCCTTTCGAGCCCCTTTGTGCGTACTCATGTCGTGTGGCGCTCTCAGCCAGTCCGCTTAACTGCAGCAACGTAATGGAAGTTGACGGAATGACCATGGCTGATACCTCTCCGGAATGCTATGCCAACGACAACGTCTTCCTTACTTCTTTCGCATGGTGCATTTACACGGTGAGTGAGGTTCTCTGTAACGACCGCAATCGACTGCTGACTAGCATTTTCTCCATAGCGATGTACTGATCTCTCAGTATGGGAGATAGAAAAGTATTGGCAGTCAACAGAAGCAAGCATTCGGAATAGTCACAGGAGACTTGACGAACCAGGTGTCAATGTCAATGCCTATCCCCCGTCCCCGAAGTGGACCTACCAGGAGGCACTCAGCAACGTTAATGGAACTCCTACAGCCACTGTGGTGTTTGCTATGCCACTGAAGGAAAAAGCTCTGGTTTCAGATGCCGACTACCAAGTGCAGTATAACACCATGGGGATGTTTGAGAAGATGGAGGTTGCCCACGAGAGATACGGGTAGGTCATGTTTT